TATTTTGTATGACCATTGTGATACTAATTACGGTGTACGTTTTCATCGAGATGAAACACGTAGCTGGTATAACGATGGTAATTAAAGTTGTAATTAGTTCGAATGTCGTCATGTAAACGTACGTGTACATAGTTAAATGAAATAACTCCACACGCGAGGAAGGCCTATAATAAACTTGTAATTAAGTCAAATCTGTACTTTAAATATTTTTTGGAAAATCTAATTGAAATAGACATTATTATCGATACAGAGTCCGAATCCATAGTTTTTAGAATTTTTGTTTGTCTGTCTGTTATCGCATCACGAGAAAATCACAAGAATGATTTTGATGAAATTTGCTATGATAATAGCTGGTTATCCGGGTCAACATAATATGTTATAGGATACTTTTTACCGCGGGAAAATATTTCATTTCTGAGAAAAAATACAAAAACTGCATTGTAAGAGTATACTAATATGTAAAACCTAAGAATTTGGTTTTTGCAGCAATGCTACTCTTTTATAAAGTTTTACGTGTATAAATTATATGCAGTTATAAGTTATTCATTTTTAGCGTAATATGATAGTACTGTAAAATGTATGTAGGTATTTTGTAAATATTTACTTTGTGTATTTTCACTTTTTATGGACGTCTAATGTACTTATAGGACAAATTTAAGCATCACATAAAAGCCAACACTACATATTTAATGGATTGTGGGCGTAGCAGTTTATTGGTTTGGCTAGAACAGCCTTCATAGGGCTATGAACGTTGACATAGATGATTCTTACTTACATATTTATATCTAGACTAGCAGTACCCGCGGCTTCGCCAGCGGTACTACTAAAAAAACAACCTTTATGACACACCGACAGCAGCGCCATCTACCAGGTCCAATTATGTTTTCAAACCATCCAGAAGCCCACTGAAATACGTACACACAAAATTTCATCCAAATCTGTCCAGCCCTTTAGGAGGAGTAAGGTGACAAACACACGTACAGATGAATTATATATATCCCAAAATAGTAGGTATATTTGATTAAAATTATCTATAATGTTTATTACTATTGACGTTTAATAAACTCCAATCTAGTCTACAATCATACAATGACTAACAAAGGCTTGCAGGTTGCAATGTCGATTTTATTTAAAGTGATCATTTATGTATTTAATTAATTAATCATTTTGTAGTCAATATAGGCAACGTTTATGGATTATGGATATGCATGTTTCAAAGCAATTATTTTTAATAGCCTTGACCAGTATTGACAAACTAATATTTCTTGGGACGTAAACATGTTATGTTTAATGTTTCGCTTGAACGAATGAATATTTTGTATATATGTATAATATTATTTACAACACAGGCAAAATGCTTATGAGTTTATATGTATTTATTTATTTATGTATAAAAAACTAAATATTACTTATTTCCTTCTTCTGTACTTACTTAATCTTTTTTTAATATATATACCTATTACCGACATACTCGTTTATTAGAACAATGAACGTGAAACGCGCACATCGATTTGTTCTTAGAACAGTAACTTAGCGAAATAGATGTGCGCGTTTCACGCGAAAAGTACTGAACCGATTTTAACTAAATGTGTAGTGATAACTTATTACTCTTGTTAACATTTAGGATACATTTTACTACAGAAAAATATTTCATTTCCACGGCAGAACACAATAACTAATATTACCTAATATAAATTAGCTTTTTTAGTAGCTTCGATGATCGTGTCTTTTATTCAATGAAACGGAATTTTGGAGCTGTGTAGTGCTGTTACCTCTGCCTAGAGTGGAGACTCTAAAATATGTAATACCGACGATATTTATATGAAACCAGAATAAACAAAAGCCCTTCTACTTATCATATGCGTTTCAAATGTCATCACGCATATGTTAGTGATATGATAATTTACAATCAAATCAATTTAACACCTTTACATTATTAGTAAGGATGTTTTGTGCAGGCTTTTCTATCATAACTTCTACGGAAATTAATACTAGGTATGTCCTACATCGCGGTCGTGATCGTTCTGCATTCCTGACTAACGCAATCGAAGAGAACGCGCGGAAGGTCGCCAAACGCCTGTGTTTATTATTTACACGTTCTAATAACAATGAAAATGGTTAAAAACTTAATTTTATACATGGTTGAATAAGTAATGAACTCAGACCATTATATATATTGACCATAATATTTATTGGTCTGAGGTAATGAAGTATATTTTTTATATCATTTATAATTTTTTCTTTAATAACATGCAATTTCGAACATTTCTCTGCGAATTTAATTATTGTAAAATAAGTTTATATGTTACTTGAAAATATTAACACAGTATTTATATTTTAATTTTTAAATGAACTTTTTTTCGCGATTATTTTGATAATTTTTGTTCTCCAACTTTTTCTTTCTTCTTTCTAGATTCGACTCAATTAGAATTTTTTTACGTATAGACAAGTGAAAAACATACAGTTGTTTTACGGGTGCGTAGACCTAGACAGGTGCAATCTTGCGAAGTCAGATGTGGGGGAGGTGCACAGGACTGTCATATATACTTTTATTTGAATGTTGGAAATTAACCGTTCCGAAAAACCGCTCGTCATAAGAATTGGTATACTTTGACAACCCTTGCATTTGACAGCATTTCCATATATTTTTATACTGTGGTAAAACCATGCAATGATCATGTTAATAATCATTTTTATTTATCTTTTACAGGCCAGTCTCCGTCAGTTGGATTTGTCCCTACTATCTGAACTATGGACTCTGAGCGAAGCAATGGCTTCATGGCGACGGCAGCTAGAGCGCGGACCGCGACTTCGCCCGGCCCCTCCTCCGCCACCGCCGCCACACTACCTTAGAACCTAAATATATGCTTCAATAAAAATGGCTTAATTTTTTTTAAATCCCTTGCCTACCAATTTACGCTAATAAACTACTTCTTTACTTACATTTTGATGTAGTTTTTTTGATTTTTGACAAACGAATTTGCAAGGCGACTTTTGTGTAAGACTATGATTGATTATATTATGCATTTTAATATAATTTCAACATTATTCTTCGTTTTCATTGAGAAAGCTAATTCTTTAGTCTGCAATAATAAATTTTGTAATGTTTTATGACAAAGCATTTGATAAATTTTTAAAAGTAAATAGGTATTTTATTTTACAGAATTTCACATGATTATAAAAAGAACTTATGATAATAAGTATGAGGTTACATTTTTTGATATTTAATATTACAATTACAATGTAATATTTATTACATTCAGTGAATTTCTTATGTAACAGCCCTTAGATATTAAATCTGCACTTTCGTCTTTATTCTTACTTGCTTACATAAAAATATGTACTTGCATTTACGTTTTTTGTGCCGTTTAAAAATAGATAAATATATATGAACTTATTGGTAATAGGTACCTGATATTTATGTATATTCTTAAGAAAATCTGTTACAACTGCACACTTGATCTGTCTGTATGTATTAAATTTTCTAACTTTTGAATCTAAAGTAAAGATTCTAAATGTGTAAAATATAAGATTCTAAATGTTTGTCGTGTAAAAATGTGTGTAATGTGTAGATAATGTTAGCTAGAATATTAAGTAATGAATTTTAAATAAAATGTTTACAATAAAATCAATTTTTCATTCTCAAAGAGAACTTATTTTATGGATGTGAAGCTATCCGTGTTACTCTGGAATTTAAATCATAGTCTATCTGTATGGATAACTTATTTCATCTAAATCTGTCCAGCGTAGTAATAAAAACTTTGACTTCCAGCACTAAAATGTAAAAAATAACTAAACGGGGGTTTTCATTTAGAATAGAAACTCAAGTGTTTATTTTTTCATTTTTAGTGTAGACTTAATAAGCAGGTAATTTGTAAGAAGAAAGTTTTTTAATAACATATTCGATTAAACAATTTAATTAAAAAAATATATATATTTGTTGATTTTTTTAAAAACCGTTTGACCGATTTCGATAAAATTTAAATGGAACCAACAGGGAAGCCTTTGAAACCAAAGAAATCCAAATCGGTTCAGGCGTCTTGGAGTAATCGTGAACATACCTACATAAAAATAGAAAATAAAAGATTCCGACGAATTGAGAACTTCCTCCTTTTTGGAAGTCGGTTAATAATAATAAATAGTAATAATAATCTGTAAATAGTGATCGCGACATCTTGCGGGAGAAAAAGGCAAAATTCTTCCCCATTACATTGTAGGTTAGATTTACTATGTTAATTTCTTATTACATTACATATTTAAAAAATACAAAATGTAAGTCATGATCAAAACTATGTAGGTACCACCAAATTGTACAAGAAGAAGTTTCTGACGATGAAAAATATCTATACTTATAATAAAATTCTAACTGAGCCGAATCTGTACATTAAATATTTTTTTGGAAATTCTTATTAAAATAGACATTATTATTGATACAGACGCTGAATCTATAGTTATTAGAATTTTTGTCTGTCTGTCTGTTATCGCATCACGGAAAAAGCACTGGAGAGATTTTGATGATATGGTGATAACTTTACTGCGGGAAAATATCTCATCTCTGAGAAATCTATATTAAAACGTAAGTAGGGACCAACCCGAGCGGAGCGAGGGTGAGTCGCCAGTTCGCTAATAAATTTGTAGATAATTTTTGTCTTTTTGTCTAACTTTTAATTAAAAATAATTATAATTACCACGTTTTTTGTTTTTATAATTTAGCGCTTTTTATAGAAAAATGTCCAAATCTAGCGCGATAAATCAATATAGCGCGTTTTCTTTGAAGAGTGTTGGCAAGAGGCAACTCTGGCTGTGGTATCTCTTTTTGTTTATAGCTTTATAGTTTATACTATTATAGTCTGTGGCATAGAGTATAGTCTGTGGTAATTGGTATTTTGATTTAATGCAAGCTGCGAGCAATAAACGAATGAAAATAATAGAAACTGCAAAAGAAAACATTTTAAGTATAAAGTGTTTATAGGATAATAATTAATATATAGCTACAACCGATGTCAGAAACTTCTTTGCAAGGAAATCAATCCAATAAGGAAGAGCAGCCACCGTCCAAAATACCGGATTCAGTTAAGGTTAGTAAACTTAGTTAAATAATATAATCAAATAGCAAATTATAAGTATTTTATAAATACAATATTTAAAAGTACATACATTTTATTAAGAATTTAAGAATTTTGCACAAGTATGGAAAATTGAATTATGCAGTAATCAGATTATTTTGTAACTGAATATTATAATGGTTAATATTTATAATAACACTAAACACAATAGTACGTTTCCTGTCATGAACTATAAAATGTTAATGTTTTATCATTATAAACACAATGATTAGTTTTATCTATACATATAATAACATTCTGAGTTGAATCTGTACATAAAATATTTTTTGGAAATCTTATTGAAATAGACATTATTATCGATACAGAGACCGAATCTATAGTTTATAGATTTTTTGTCTGTCTGTCTGTGACCGCATCACGAGAATAGAACTGTATTGTGATTTTGATGAAATTTAGTCTCATCTCTGAGAAATCTATACTAAACTTTAAAACAAAGTTAAAAATAAATTTGATCTATAATATATGGACTATTTATGCAAAATTAACAAATAACATTATTTTTTCAGAAAATAATATCAATGGAAAAAGAAAATGAAACAAATGCTAGTCGAAAATCTCGAATTGATCTTAATGCACTGCCAACTCGTCAATACTTGGACCAGACTGTAGTTCCCATATTACTCCAAGGCCTATCTGCTCTAGCAAAAGAACGTCCTCCAGACCCTATCAATTATCTGGCAGCATATTTATTAAAAAATAAAAACGCTTTTGATAATAACAACTCTGGAACAAATAATAATGCCCCACAAAACCCTCAAACATAAAATTAGGTTTAGATTAGGGCAATGTATTTTAGAATTCTGATATAAAAATATCAGTCATATGTTGTTTACACTAAACTACATGAGTTTTCCTATTTCTGTTATACTTTTTAATTGATCTCGCTTGCTTTATTCAATGCTCAACAATTACAGAACTATTATGTTAATTAAATGTGAGTAATAGAAATTATCTTTTAGAACAATTTCATATGTATATATTTAATTTCATAATGTAGTGCATATTTGTAAAATTAAAATGTGTTGCTCCTTTTATTTACATTAATTACAAGAAATTGCTAATTACATCATTTGTATAAATGAATGCACAATAAACAATGTGGGATATGCTTTATTTTTAAATAGAATAAACTTATTATTAATAAAATAAAGTTAATATTTTATTTCTTGACTTATATTTGTTTTACTACAATTTTTCAAAAGTAAATTAAAAGCTGCTTTGTACACTATATACACAAATAGACAATTTTATAATACATATTTGTAGATGATATTGATATAATAAATTTAAGTGGTCAATAAAATTTTAAGATTCATTAACTAATCAAAAACTAACCATTATATTAACAAAAATTGCATTTTTTTTCATGTTTTTTTTTAAACAAATAACAGGATATAAAAACTATTTTAAACAATGTTATTCCTTTTGTTCAGCTTCTTCAAGGAACTGCTGGCGGTGTAAGAGCCATGAGTCATTATCATCACCTCCTTCCTCCCCAGACATTGATGGAGGTTCAAACCTCAATACATCAGTTAGAACGCTCTCTTCAACTAGTGATGGCAATGAATCATGAACTGGTAACGGAACTGGCTCTGGTGGTAAAAATTCCGCCATGTAAGCAGTTATGTTACGAGCGTGCCATACTGCAATTTTACCTAAAACAAATATTAAACATTATCATTTAAGTACTTATTAGATATGATATAGATTATAGTAGGTAATTCAAGTCCTATTCTTTATGTTACCAGAGAGTATAAAGTACTTTTATATTAAAATGACAATTTTTGTCTTGAGAAAAAAATAAAACCTGCACCTACCATCTATAGTATACCATACTAACTAGTGCCTGTTTTATTATGAGTTTTATGTTATTACCAATATTAAATCTTGTAATCATGTACTTATGTATCAACCTTCCTAAAATATTTGTAAAATTTACTATAATATATAAAATGTTTTTTTTTTGCAAACCAAAAAAGTCACCTAAAGTTTCATCAATCTCAATTTCTTCTTCACCCTCTTCTAATTTATCTTTGTGTTTATCATCCTTTTCTTCTTCACCTTCACCCAATTCTTCAAAGTCAGGGTCTTTAGTCAGCAAATAGAAGCCGTGTTGCATACAGTTTGTATCAAAGACAAAGCAACCAGGTCCTTTGGGTATGCCTTTGTACCAAGAGCCGTGGTATCGTACTCGGGGGTACATTATTTGCCCCGGCCCTTCAATAGCGCCATCTACCCAAGTTCCCATGAATTTTATCTGCAAAATGTGTTGAATATAGGTACATACTTATATTATACCTTTCTAGATTTCTATTATAGATTTCTATCTATTATAGATATCAATACACAAATTCCTTTATCTACCGACTACGGCAAAGCCAAATTGGTATTGTTTTTAGCAGTCTATGTATTTGTAATTAGTATGTTTGTATTTACGTATATTCCAAACCTAGCGCAGCGCTTAAACTACATACCCGACTTTGAAGAATGAGGTCAATCGATCCGTTTTTAATTTATCAGTAAAAAAAGTAAATATGTAGCCTATTGTCTGGCTGACATAGGCTACATATTTATTAAATTATCTTTACTAATATAATAAAAAGGTAAAGTTTGTGAATTGTGAGTTTGTGACGGTGTAGGGGGTAATATCTGGATCTACTGAACCGATTTAGATGTTTTTTTTATTCGATTTAGAGTTTGAGACCCTGGAAAGGACACAGGATACTTTTTATCCTGGAAATCATCCCTTAAGGGGGTGAAAATTGGGATGAAAGTTTATATGGGGAATCAACCTAGGGACGATCCCGAGCGAAGCGAGGGTGAGTCTCTTGTATATTATAGGAGAAAATTCTGAGTTCATAAATATAGTACAACATTTAATAAATTTTTAAATCTTTTTTGAAACCAACCTGGTGTTCTGCATAAAAGTAAGTCCCGAGTCCATGTCGTTTGCCTTTAAACCAAGCGCCTTCATAGATATCCCCATTGGGATAGTAATACGCCCCAAATCCGTGTTTTAGGTCGTGTCTCCAATCTCCTTCGTAGCGAGAACCATCAGGATACGTCATTTGACCTATTCCATATTTCATAGCATGACGCCATTCTCCTGAATAAATAAATTAATTTTACATTATTAGGAACTTCGCCTTGCTTTGCCGGAGTATTTCTGGCACACATTTTTTATTATTTTGTACAGAGTCAGAGCAAGGCCTCAAATAACATTACGAAAAGGAATAACAACGATTTCATTCATAAAACAAAACACAACACTTTTTCCACACAAGATGACAATTTAATCCCTCAACGACCGCGGACACACCGGCGTTACAGTAAACAATAGATTTCTTAGAAATTTAATTAATTTCTTGAAATTTACCTGGAGGTGTTAAGAAAACTCAAATAATGAACTAAGATCTCGCTGCTAGATTGCTACGTTCATAGCGTATTGAATCAAAATCAATTTTTTATATACAATAATAAAATTTACAATATGTTTTGACCGGGGTGCCTATTAAAGTGTGCCCGCTAGTATGTTCAATTAAATAAATAATTATTGACTTTATTGAACAAAATCGATGCATTTGTTATTAAAATGAATTATACTCCACTTCACAGAAATACGTAGAGATACTGAAAAGTGATAGCTGCCGTTGAGTACTTGGCCGCAACCTCTTCGCAGCCAGGTGTAAGCAGGTCATTTTTTGTTCATGACATATTATATTCATTATTTATATGTCCAATTATAGCTATTTTTTTTCTGTACCTACTCGATAAACTACGTCTGCCTATATAAAAGTAGCCGCAAAGGGGGCTGCCAGTCATTAAAGATTTTATTTTATAATAATAATAATGTTCTGACCAATTCCGGCCACGGCGGCCAATCTCATTGAGACTAGCCAACTGCGCAGGAGATATTATAGTGCACAAGTGTACGCGCAGACACAGCGTGTACTCTCTATTCCTGTCACTCTCATACTTCGGTGGGACGACTGCTGGACACGACCGGTGTTCTCCGAGGCACGGGGGTGAAACACCGCCAACTATCCAACTCCGGGCTGTTAATGAGGCTTACTTATACAGAAAGATTCAATAGCTAAACTTGAGCCGACCCGGAACTTGAACCTAGGACTTCAGGGTGTGCAGCCGTACATGCTAGCCACTACACCACCGAGGCAGTTTAATTACAGTTTATTTTATAACAGTAGTCCGGACGAAAGAGTTTTAATCAAAACTAACTTCCATAATTGAAATTATTAGCTTATTGCTTACTTATTACATTTTTAGTATGTATACAATTTAAGTAAAGTAAAAGACATAATAAAGTTGTCGGTAGCATAGAACAATTTACCTTCAGAGTTGCATATAAATGTTGATCAATCGGTATTTACTTTACTATAGAGTTAAAGCACAGTCTTTTATTACCTTCATACCTGGCACCATTTTTAAACACATACAATCCCTTTCCATTTCTCATTTCTCGGCAATAACAGCCTTGATAAAAATCTCCATTAGGTAGCACCGCCCACCCTTCGCCATGCCGGTCTCCCTCCGCGTTGCGTCCGCCTACGTAAATCTAGGTAATATTTGGTCTAACTTAATAATTGTCTTTACTATTTTTAAGGCGCTAGTATATGAAAATAATAAGTATCATTTAAATATATTATAGAGTTAAATTTAAAGATATTTAGTGGAAACAGAAAGTTGTATAAATAATTTTATTGGTATAGAATATTTTAGAAATACAAAAAAAGTAAATAAGCAAATAAATGAGCCGAGGTTATAGGTAATGCCGCCTGGCGCTTTAATCTATTTCTATCCCACTACGTTTTACAGATAAGTACCTATAGGTATACATAATACAATACATTATACATACAATATAAGTAGATACGAATATTTTATTATTTATTTATAATTGTCGAAGCAAGTGAGATTATAAAAAAATAACAATAGGTACGCAATAATAAATCTCAATACAATATTATATGTTACAAATCAATAGAATAAAATAATATAATAAATTAGAATTTATTATAATAAGACGATAATTCGAAATAGTACTGAACGCTGCATAGTAATAAATGCATATTAGATAATTACACCAATCGTGTCTACATCTTCGGGTCCTTCACCTTTTTCCTCTGCCATTGTTTCAAGCTTCAACAACAAAAAGCTTGTACACAAAAAGTCATTAAATTAAACGTCTATGCCATATTGTTGTTTGATTAATGACAAGTTGAAAAAAAAAAGGCAGATAACCACAGAGTATTTACTTGCATACTGAAAAGGATGCTAGAATTTACATATCTTTTCATTTTATCTCTAAATTATTTATACAATAATTATGGAATGCATTCAATAAATAACAAGGTAAGAACTAATTAATTGATCATTTATAATAATTATTGGGACTACATCTTTTTGGAGTCGGTACCAGTATGAAGACGTAGGAATAGAAAAATGAATACATAACGAATACATATATGTATGAATAATATTAGAATTCTAATTACTATAGTGAACACTTTGTCTTCACATAAATGAATTTTTCATTTTTGTATTGCATTGCGCATTGCAATATGCAATACAATGCATAAAAAATATTTAGATTACTACCTCTAGTGCACTCATATGAATTTCTAGTAAAATAAAAAAAGTAAATGGGTTAACAAAATAATAGTAAGTAAGAAATTATGTTTAATTATGTTTTTATTAGTACAAATAAAACGAATAACACAAAAATGTAAAACACAAAAAAATAATTTATTTCTCTTAAGTCCTCAATAATAAATTAATAACACGTTAGAGCAAGCTTGTCAAAGGCATAGAGCTGGACAATTAATAAAGAAATTAAATACCACAAAAGTTAATAATGTTAAATGTGTAGGTATTTTAAAAGCATTTATAATATTGGTTTTGAATTGATGACTATGACTAGATGTGGTAGTTGCAATGGATTTACATTTTATAAATTAATAATGAAATTTAGATCAAACATATATCTACTATTTTTAACATTTTCACCATAATATTATTATATTAACCATTTATAATCTATAAATATAAACATGTCACACACATATGATTCATTTATTTTTTCAGTACATAAATAGTAAAACAACAAATCGTGAAATTACACTTATTTAAAGTTAGCTTATGTTTTATTTTCTTTACGGAATTAAGAACGATGTCCAGCTCTTCATAGAATCAATTCCATCACAGACAAATCAATAAATTAAGTTTAGCCTCATTATAAACTAATGCGCCTTACGATATCTAAATCTATTTGAAATACATAAAAGGTATAGAAAAAATACATTTTATAGTACAGAATTACCGTAAAAATGTATATTTAACACAAACAAAATTAGTTATTAAAAAGGAACTAAAAGCTATAACTATGTCACGCTTATTCCTAATTTTGTACTTTGAGGTTTTATATTTAACAAATAATTCGGCAAACTAGCAAGTTAGTTTTGCTGTGGCAAGCAGGCACGCATATTTTAATTTATATTCATTAACAACTAAAAGATCAGTTATGTCCGATTGATAAACAAGACCGGTACCTAAACCATGCTGTAGGTCATGTCGCTTGACATCATTCTCTGTGACCTCAATCAAGTCGGATTCCAATCAAACATTGCATTTTAAACAGCTTTTCTTTCACTTCCTTCGCGTATAATGTGTTGTTGAACATTTAGCTTACTATTTCTGTTTGACCTCTTTTGTATCATCAAACTCGATCAACGTGGTGGTGCTTGAGGAGGAGCATCTTCCAATTTACCCCACACAACGTTACACATTTCTCTAACAAGAGCTTGTTCACCTGAGTCTAAGTCCGGAGCTGGTCTCCTCCTTTCCCTTTCAACTCTTTCTCTCACCTCCAACACTTGCAGAGCTCGAACTACAGCTTCAGGTCTTTCATTGAGTCCGCTCCCTAAGCCTTTCTCTGCTTCTAATCGTCTCACTTTTTGTTCTAAGTCTTTGACATATTGTACTGTACGTTCCGCTAACTGTGGATGTGTAATTAAGACCGTTGTTGGAGGTGGCCTTGCGACCTCTTCAGCGTTTGTGCCACTACTGCTTCCGTCACCGTCATCTCTTTCTCGTCCAGCAGTTCTTCCACAATTAACACAGGGACTTCTTTCTCTTTCTTCGTCTAGATATAGGCATAACTCTTTCAATTCCAAATTATCTCTAATAAGCTCTTGCTGTTTATCATCCAATTCTCGTAGTTTACTTTGATACGCGGATACTTCTTGTCTCATCACAGATGCGGTATATCTACCAAACCGTTGCCATTCTCGCGCCAGCTTTCGTCCTTTCTGTCGATCATCATCTAAGAAGCAACACAAGTCACGAAGTTCTTGATTATCATCACTCAGACGACGATTGGCTTCCTTCAGTGCTTTTATCTCATCTAAAAGTGTTTGAATTTGTCGTCTCTGGTCTGTAGACTGTCTCGTATTGTCGGAATCAATACGTTTCGTAAATTTAAGCATGTCAGCCGATCTTCTGTGAATTTGTTCTTCTTCTAAATTACGTTGCACCCGCTGAGTGTCGTCGGCACTTCTAGCACGGGCTGTTGCTTCTACAGGTTCGTGAACTATTGCTTTCGTCACAATCTCTCCGGCTGGTCGAAGTACACGAAGCGCAGCTGGTGGCACAGGATAGCCAGCGGGATAACCTTGGAGATATTTCACTTGTGGAAAAGGCCCACTAGGATAGAGCATAGGCATAGAACCTTGCACTCCCAGGGAGTATTGGAATTTACTAGGGTCAATATGCTTTACTGAGTTGGGAGGTTTAAACTCTTTAGATGTTGGATCTATAGTGCCTAGTTTAGAACTGGCTGTGGCAGGTGGCGGCGGATGATAGCGCGGTGGAAAGTTGACCGGTTCCGGGCCCTGTTTACCTAGTTGTTGTTTGTGTTTTGTAAATTCGCCTGTATTTTGTCTGATTGACATTGTCGTTGGCACCGATTCGCTAATAGTCGTCAGCTCAGTCGAGGCTTCATACCGTGCACGTTTCTACGTTTATTTCCAAATCGTGAGGATTGCGTTGATACAATAACTGTGGCAACAACATGAGTTCAACGGCTGGTCCTTGAATGAACAGAGGAGGGGAACGCCGCCGGCTGCGTAGGCTGTGGACCGTGGCATTCACACAATTAACTTGATAGAAATTCTTAATGACGGTCACTTTTACGGTTATTCTATCCAAAAGTATGTTTTGGATGTCGTTTTAAATCGATTAATGATTAACTTTGAGGTTGGTTTGTGTTATTTACACAGACAGGTTTCGTGAAACGCTTTTTATGGCAAGTAAACGCGGGCACGCGCGAGGCGCGTAGATGTGACTGGCTTTACATTGGGCTCTACCTGTGTCTGCGCAGGCTTTCGCGGCGTCTCGCTCTACCGTGCTCTTTCTTACCTATAGCCGCGCCAGTGTACGAGTGTAGCCATTCATTGCTAGGATTACACAGTGAAGAATTCAAACACGAAAATGATACGATTTCGCTGGTTTTTTGTCTGCTTCTCATCAATGTCGCAATACAATAGATAATACATGTTACATGTAAAGTTTTTAATAATAATTCTAGTTAAATGACTTATAATAGAAATTTATTGTGGGATTTTACTTGTAACACCTTGAGATATTTTATTTATAGATTTATGTGCAACTTTTACTTTCACAATTTCATTTATAACTTATATACATATATTAAAAATCAGTTTAGTCTATTGATGTCCATCAACAGACGGATTTTCCGTTAATATAAGATTCATCATTTAAAGACCTGAAAATAATGATGATACGAATTTAATCTAATACCTATACTATATAGTTATATTAAATAACTAGCGACTACTTCTAAATAACTAACGAACTACCTACTAAGATATTTTCCCGTAGTAAAGAGTATCCTATATGTTGACCCGGATAACCAGCTATCATTATTTTTCATCAAAATCTATCCAGTGGTTTTCTTGTGATGCGTTCCCAGACAGATAGACAAAAAATCTAAAAACTATAGATTCGGCCTCTGTATCCATAATAATGACTATTTCAATAAGATTTTTCAAACAAATATTAATTGTACAGATTCGACTCAATTTTTTTTATTATTATAGATTATTTTTACTTTTCTACCCATAACTGAATACTAATAGTAATTGATCCATAATATCGGTTGTCACAGTGATTTTGCGTACGTGAATTTTTATACATTCTGGTGCTGGTTTACGTGAGAGGATAGGTCAATAAAATATACCTATGCCTAAATCCTATTAATATTATTAATTATTATTAATGTAAAAATATCTCAAAAAGTGAGTTAATAACACATAAACAGATAACAGATTGATCATGTCCTGAGCCATCAAGAAGGATATTTTTTTTCTGCAAATAAGTTCCTGTCAGATAATATTACAATTTTCTTCAAAAACCTACCGATACAAGGCTCTTCGCAAGAACATTGAAAGCAAAAGCCAGTATACTACTTAAGTTGTAGTTAAAAGACTACAATCATTAAAATACTACGAGTTAGTAACATTTTTGTATCGGTGAAATTGCCAAAAGTTGTCTTTATGAAGCGCTTTGATCTTAGGAGATTACTAAATAATTATTATTATCTGATAAAACTATATAGAAACTAAAAAAGCATATATTAGATAACAATAGTCTCGATATATAAAATCATGGCAAAATTATTTTTCTGAAGAATATTTTTATAACTTTTGGATCAAATGTTTTTAAATATGCCTAGTTTAGTGGTAATGCGGTCGTTTTGATAACGAAGTTAAGCGAGTTCGAATCCCGAGTTGAGAGACTGCTTGCTAATACGGTGAAGAAAAATGTCAAGCGGTAATCTGCAGGTGTGAGAGAATCTAACTAAAATTTTCTAAAGATATGTAAAGTCGGCCAAGCCAAGCACTTTGACATTGAAAGGGCTGAAATATTATTGTTTAATTTCAATTGTACCTATTGTAAATGATCGTTGCGCAGAATTTACCTCATGCTCATGACTGGTATATGGGAGATCGTGGTGGAGGTCACAAAGGTGAATGTTTGATTGGTCATAGAGATATTTCGCACGATTTAAAGTTGCTAGTTGCCGTAAAGTTAGAGATAAGAAAATAGCGTAGTAACATGCAACTAGGTAACAACCTCTCACAGTTCACACTATCTTGCGAGAGAAACAAAAATAAGCTACTAATATTTAATACTAACAGTTAATCTTCCTTAGAATATTAAAATATTAGAAAAAGTAAATATATAAATATTTCGTTTATATAAATTATACATACTTTATGTATAATATAATAATTCAAGAGTCGAGCGTACCGCATTTCACCAACATACAATACAGTGCGACATCGCATTGCATATACGTATATCGTAACTTGCAATTCGCACTACCAGTAAGTGAGCAGCCAGGATGGCGCGCGTACCTCTCCTTGTTATTTGGCTCGTTTGTATTTGCGGTGAGTAGTATTTTTTATCGTCATTGATAAATATTTAAAATAGGTAAATCAGTAGGAAAATGTTTTTTGTGTTTTAAATGTGATAAAATTACTTTAGTTTGACCAAACAGAAAGAGGTCGTATTTAATTGGGAACTTTTTGAGAATGTTACGAAGGGTCTACACAATTTGTGGACCGATCTTCATGATAATTTTTTACGAATAATTTACCCACTAAAATTTTATTTTCCTTTTATTAATAGTAAATGGGGTACTTATATTGTGTCATTAAAGAATATTTAATATGTTATTTTAGTGTAGTAAAAATATTATATGGTATTTAAAATTAGCTTATACGTATATTATGTTGTTAAACTTAAAAATAAAATCGTAAGCAAGTACCTACCTACTTTAGGAATTATGCAAAAAAACTTATTGATAATCTTATATTTCTTACAAACATAATAATTGGGTTGTAAAAATGTCAGAAGTTTAATTTTATATAATATTATCCATTCATTATATTGCGATTGGACGTATGCATGCATGTCATCAGTAATTTATAATGTTAATATTTTATTTACAGGTGTTATATGTCAAAGGAAGCCTATCAAGGAAGCGCTATACCTAAACACCGATGCTTTCAGCAATGCAACGTTGGAAGACTGCGTATGGCGTCGTGAGCGGGAACCATGTCCTGACCCCAATGTGACACTTAATTTATACACGGAGGCGGAACCCTATAAGAAACAGGTAGGCTAATTGATATTAAGGTCATACTTTCGTAGATTCATACGAATATTTGACATTTTAAGTGAAAATATATGTTATATATAAACTTCTTCGATCAACAATACTTAATCAAAATTAAACTTAAATGAAACCGCCTTCGATCAAGGAAACCGCAACAAAATCTCAAAAGATAGTTTTATTTAAGACATTATGGTTATTTATTACATATAGGCAAAACTTTAGAATTGGATAAGTCATCTTAATTATAACTTTATAACATACTTTTTCCACATGGTAAGGACTACCTTAATAATATTTTCGAAATCTATATCTATTTATAATACAGAGTACGATATAGGTTTAAAATATAGTATATGTATATATTATTAGCCCCGTAGAGCTTTATATGCGTTGAACTCGAATATACTGAGTTGTTTTGAGAGACACATTATTAAATTAAATTAAAAATAAATAATATGTATCATAGATTTTTTATGGTATATATATTTTAACTAAAACTTTATAATTAGCAAAACCTACTTATACATTTTACAATAATTTTATAATTAATCGATACTTCGTTATTTGTTACGCCGTAACTTTGTGTCTCTGTGAGAGCAACAAATTACGAAATTGTGAGTTACCAATTAACTTATAAGTTATAAAAAATTCAAAATTTCTTTTCTCAACTATAATAATAAAAGTAAAATAATTTTCAAAGATCAAAATTAAAACATTTCAAAAAATATCCGTAATTATTATATGTGATAGGTACGTCTGATTACTAACAAAAAAAGCCAACTTTCATATTTTAACGTACAAATTTTATTTTATTTCAAGAAATTTTAAGGTCAAAAGTACCAGTACATCAACTGGTTGCAATAAATAGAAGTAGACAGGGTCAACGTTCACATGATGGCTTTATACTCGATGTTAGATAATGAGTAATTAATACCTAATAGCTACTTGATGTATGGGTTGGTTATGGGACTTATGCTATTAGATACATTTGTGCATACATTTTGTTTTATTTTTTTTATTTATAACCTTAAAAATTAGATACTTAATTTATTTTCTGAAATAACGTTTTTTTCACAAGTTTGTGCCTTGCAAACTGTAAAATATAATTGAAAGTTACTTAAATATTTTGTAAATGGTTTTTATTTCTGGGTTAGATTTTTTAAATAATTCCAATTCATTTTCTTTAATGTATATATTAAAATAACAATGAGTAAATTATTTCACGGTTGAACAACGCCGTAGAGGGATAGGCGCTCGGGTCACCCGTTACACGCGTTTGGAGAATACAAAATAGATATTTCTGTTTAGAAAGTGTTCTCTATTCATTGAATATACATACATTGGTTTTGACATAAAAATGCGCAATAAAAATAACACTCTCGTAAACGCGAATTATTGTATGGGACTAAATACAATAGACATAAACATTTTCAACCTCCGACGCAAAAAGAGGGGTGTTATAAGTTTGACGTCGATGTCTGTCTCTCTGTGTGTGTGTGTGTGTGTGTATGTGTGTGTCTGTCTGTGGCATCAAAGCTCTCAAACAAATAGACCGATTTCGATACGGTTTTTTTCATTTGAAAGCCAGTCTTCTTGCCGTGCTTCACGCGTGCCAGTGTAATCATTAAATGACAACTAATTTGCGTACGGTTTTTTTTTTGAATTTTTAATTTATAATTATGTATAATTTTAATATATTAAGTACAATAAAAACATTTGTTTTGCATTCATACCTACTACACATTTTCTCCGTAGTTATCATCTTTGATATCGGTGTCGCTTTTTGTGAGTAGAAAATTGTATCTTATCTCTGCTTTGTCTTCACGAGATATAAAAATCAAAGACAATGTGCTGCTCATCTTTTTTATAATTACACAAAATGACAATGATTGTTGTTAGTGTGGTAATTGTTATTTAATATATGCCTCTTGGAACTCTACACTTCGAAACTTGAGCGTGGAACCTTGGCCCTATACTGAAACCATACACGTAGCCTGACCTCCGATCAGGTGGGCCAGACACCAACAAAATTAATTGCAGTAGTACCCTTTTAACATACATAGGTATATCATAATCCTTTTAAATAAAACTATCTTTTAGTATTATAAATGTCCAAATTGGTTTTAGAACGGATTTCGATAAAACTTAGCAAATATATAGATATATATATATCCTGGACTTACATATAGGAAACTGTTTATCCCGATGGACTTGCACAAAACTTTTTTTTTAAACTAAACTTGGAAATTGAAGCTTAGATGCTTTGATGCGAACAAATAAGTATATTTTTCGTATATTATATCAAAACTCTAAGTATTTTATTGATTAGCGCTTTGATTTTCGTAAAATTATTTCGCAAAAGTGCTTTTAGATTTGTTCATTACCAACTTTCATTATACCAACTTTCAAATCGCGGTGTAGGAGTCAAACGAACGTATATACATTTTCTCAATTTTACAGGAGAGCAAAAATACTGGGTAAAATCGCCACTTCAAACTTTACCAGCTTTTTATTATTGATAATATAGAATTAGTAAAGATTTATTTATTTATACAAGCTTGCATTGTAACAATATTTATTTTTATGAAATTCTGTTGACATACGTTAGTGTGGCCCTTACCTTTTTTTATTTATTTTATAAAAATGCTTGTGTCAACAAAACGTAAATAGATAAACGTTGTTTTGGCTCTTCAAATTTAGAATAAAAACACAATCTTGTAACACCCAAAACAACGTATAAACTTTTACGTTGATATGGTTCGTGTATTATATTGTGAACGAAACAATATTCTACGATTAAAAATATTGTTTTTACAATTACGTTCCTATAGCCCTAACTGGTAATAAGATAATTAAAACCAATTTAGCGGTACTCATAATACGTTGTTCTGGTTCTATTGAAAGTGGTTCTTATGCTATTTCGTTTTTTTGGAATTTGTGAACTATTGACTTTACTGTTACATCGTTTTGACATTTCGTAAAGGACCACATTGTGACTCGTTTTATGAAAAAAATGATTTTTGATTTTTTTTGTAGATACATTCATCTGGTTCTTATACCGCGAAATGTAAGGGGAATTACGCTATAGTCCAAATACTTCACACTTCTTTCGAAAATAATTTGTAATCTCTCTGATAAGCCTCACAATGTTGTCGTTTACGCTAGAAGCATTAAGTACTTACCTACGTTGAAAATGAGATTCGCACATAAAAATCTCAGAGGTTCGAGACTCGTGGCTTTATTTTGTTTCCAAAGCGGCTAAAGTAGCGGAAACTTGTATAATAAAACTTAGTTCAAAACCAATAAATGTTTAAAAAAAGGTTCTCATTGGATTTCCAAATAGGCAATGTGTTGACAAAGTCTTTTGAAACACCTAAACGCTGTACATAGTGTACTGTATATAGTGCTACGTTATGGCATAGTGGCGCAGAAAGCGATATGTATAAGACTATCTCCTACTTTTTTGTTTTGATTTTTTTTATTATGCTATTTACAGAAGAAGAAAGTAGGTACGTACAGCTATAGCATAGAAAAATGTAAAGATTAATTATTATTATTTATTAAAAAAAATTTGCATTAGACTTATTAATCAATACTTTCATTTAAATACAGATCATATAATACTATACTAGGTTTAAAGCAGATATCATTTACATAAATAAAAACTTAAAAAAAAGCTTAAACTTTAAAAACTTAAAAATGTAAAAAATAACTAAACGGGGTTTTTCAATTAGAATAGATACCTAAGCAAATATTTTCGAAGTCGGTGTCAGCCGATGCAAACCAAATCTAATATATTTCGATACTTAAAATACATCACAAATTGGTGTATCCTAATATTTTAACTATAATTAGAGTTCATGCCTATTCATATTCATATCCTAAAATATTGTGGGCAATATCAAAAACAAATCTATCCCACGGGAACCGTTCATTTTTCCGGAATAAAAAGTGGGCTATTTTTTATTTTGATATATGAACTATGTTATTGTAAAGTTTCATTAAAATCCAATCAGTAGTTATTGTGTACTAAGCTGTATAATTTACTATAGTTTTTTAACTATCCAATGGAAACTCTTTAATTTTCTGGGATGAAAAGTATCTAAAATGATTACCGGGAATATAAGGTATCACCACGCAAAAGTTCATTTAAATCGGTCCAACAGTTTCTGTGATTAGCCTGTACAAACTGACAAAACATACAGAGAAACAAAAATAATATTATATATCACTAGCATTGCCCGCGGCTCCGCCCGCGTTCAGATGACCAAAAACTAAATTCTTAGGTGTTACATATTAGTATACTCTTACATTGCAGTTTTTGTATTTTTCCTCAGAAATAAGATATTTTCCCGCGGTAAAAAGTATCCTAGGATCGCGCGCTACATCGCCCGGTTTATATAGCTTGAGCAGGCGGTCGAGCGATGCGGGGCAGAGGGGATGGACTCGCCGTAGGCATCTCAATGCTCGCCAAGCATTAAAAATGTTTCGCTACTAATTACTTCTAACAACGATATCTCAAAAACTATTCATCTGATTGATTTAGTGTAAAGAGCAATTTTAATCTGCATTAAATGACTAAGCTAACTAAAATATTCATTTGGATAAGGATTAATACCGAACTAAAAAAAATAACTTTGAAAATAACGTAATGTTTTTAATTAAAAATGTTAACATAAAAGTGGTTATTGTAAGTCAACCGTAAGAGATAGAGATATGCTATCGCGGACTTTTTTGTAGCATTTTTATAGATTTTGAATTCTCTAGTACATTACTTAACTGTATCTTTGCTAGTTTACGCGGCGTTCGCGTGGAAAGTTCCCATTTGGCGAGATTTTTTGCGACCTCTTCAACATTTGTCGCCGTATTTCAGCTAATTTACATAAAAGCATAATAAATTATATACCTAAACCTTCCTCAAGAATTACTCTTTCTATTGTTGAAAACCGTATAAAAATCCGTTCAGTAGTTTTCGAGTTTATCGCGTACAGACAGACAGGAGGACAGAAAGACGCGGCCGGGGGACTTATTTTTATAATAAGTATAGATTTGTCAGACAATAACAACGAAAGAGAGTTAGCGCGTTAGTGAAAATAAAATAAAATGTAACAAAAAAGTCTTTAATGACTGGCAGCCCCTTTTGCGGCCACTTTTACATAGGCAGACGTAGTCTATCAGGTACAGAAAAAAATTGCTTTTATTTGATATATAAATAATGAATATACGCCATGAACGTATAGATGTAACAAAATACGACCTGCTTACACCTGACTGCGAAGAGGTTGAGGACAAGTGCGCAACGCAGCTATCACTTTTCATGATCTCTACGTATATTTCTGTGGAGTATAATTCATTTTAATAAGAAGTGCACCGATTTTGGTCCAAAAAATCAATTATTATTTATTTAATTAAGCATACTAGCGGGCACATTTTAATCGACACCCCGGTCAAAACATATTGTAACTTTTATTACTTATTGTATATAAGAAATTGTTTTGATTAAATACGCTATGAACGAAGCAATCTTGCAGCGGGATCTTAGTCCATTATAAAATCTGTTGCTAGCTGACGAACAAAGAAGAGGGAACGATATTCGCCGACTATATCGAAAAGATATGTGTATGCACTTTTTTAAGTTTAGTAGCTATGCAAATCAACGGTGTTTCAATTTAACTGATTTAATTTACCATTTCTTTTCGTTTGGTATTTCTGTTGATTAATGTTTCCAATAAATAAAAATCCGATTGTATTGTAGACTAGCGACTCACCCTCCTTTGCTCGGGTTCGTCCCTAGCTTGATTTCCCATACAAACTTTCATCCCCATTTTCACTCCCTTAAGGGATGATTTTTGGGATAAAAAGTATCCTATGTCCTTCCCGGAGTCTCAAACTATCTTGTTACCAAATTTCATCTAAATCGGTTCAGAAGATCCAGAAATTACCCCCTACAACGTCACAAACTCGCAATTTGGATTTTGACATAATATTTATATGTATTATAGGAATTATTATTATGTAGTGTCTGTAGTTGTAAGAGAAATAAGATGGAGGAAAAAATAAGAATAAAGTTGTCATTGTAACAATATAGGCGTCCAATAGAACTCAAATAGTAAGGTATAATGATGATAATAATAATAATTCATATTTACGTTTTCAGGTAGACCTATTTAGCGAGGACTGGCTCCGTCAGAGCAGCTGGGAGCCATCACATGAAACTATACTATTAATCCACGGCTATGCGGGTGGAGACGACACACTTCCGATCATCGTGCTGCGAGATGGTACGCAAAATGTATACCTACATGTTTTAAATATACCATGTATTGTATTCAGCCCTTTTTAACGTCCCACTGCTAGGCACAGGCCTCCCTTCAGTACGAGGGGGATCAGGCCATAGTCCACCACGCTGGACAAGTGCGGGTTGGCGGACTTTACATGTCTTTCGAAAACTTGATAGGTTCTTCCAGACATGCAGGTTTCATCACGATGTTTTCCTTCAACGTAAGGCAAGTGGTAATCATGTTAGAAATGATTCGCAGATGAAAATATCAGAGGTTCGAGATCCGGGATTTGAAGCCGCTTCACTCGGCTTCTCAAGCGAGCGCACTACCACTGGGCTACCACTGCCTACATATATACCATACTTATATACAATTATATAGGTACAATTAATATCGGGCTGAAATCAGCATTAAAACAGTGAGAAATTTATGTGATTTTTGTTCAATCGTAACTGTGTAATTAGAAGTGTAGGTCATCTTAGATATATTAGATTAATTATTGCTGGTCTTCATTGAACCGTTTGAGCGAGTCCAAAAACACTTGATCCTCCTACAAAATGCGAGCCATACAAAATACCAGGTAACTAGGTGGCTTGGGACTAAATGAATATACACATTAAAACCAAAGACAGCTTGGTGTGCAGTTATGGATTTGAGTAGTTATACATGTATGTACATACGTACATACCATATTCTTAGGTACATATAAATGCTCAAGCTATAATAAAAAAACTCCTATGTTTAGAAACTTTAGAAAACTGTAGTTCTTTGAAGTTTGTATTGATAAATATCCTGTATTGATAAATACTAACGTATTACTTAACTTTAACTTATTTATCGTTTCGAGTGAAAGTATCCCTGCAATGCTTGGCGCCGGATCGTCGCGAGCATTTTGCACTTCCCACGACTTTCTCCATGCCATTGCATTGGTTCAATACCCCGGTATGGCAGGTCGGCTTTGATATTTTGCAATATATGTTACTAGCATTGCCCGCGGCTCCGCCCGCGTTCAGATGAGCAAAAACCAAATTTTTAGGTTTTACATATTAGTAATTAGTATACTCTTACATTGCAGTTTTTGCATTTTTTCTCAGAAATTAGATATTTTCCCGCGATAAAAAGTATCTTATGTATATGTTGATCCGGATAACCCGCTATCAGAATACCAAATTTCATCCAAATCCCTCTAGTGGTTTTTCTGTGATGCGGTAACAGACAGACAGACAGACAGACAGACAGACAGACAGACAAAAATTCTAAAAACTATAGATTCGGCCTCTGTATCGATAATAATGTCTATTCCAATAAGATTTTCCAAAAAATATTTAATGAACAGATTTGACTCAGTTAGAATTTTATATGTATAGATATTATATATATATATATCGTTATATATACAACAAAGTCGTGTTAGTTACACCATTTACAACTCAAGAACGGCTGGACCAATTTTTATGATATTTGTTTTTTTGGATTTTTCTTAGTCCGGAATACGAGTAGGATAATAAGTATTAAAACATCAGAAAAATTACCGAAAAAAAAATGTACATTTATATGGCTAACGCTCAGACCAATAAAAAAGTTTTGTTGTTCTGAGGGCTAACGCTGGCTAAAAACTATTTATATCTATTTAAAACGTACGTACGTTTGAAATAAAATGCTCAGAAAAGCAACATTTTTATATATGTATATCAGACTATCATTATGAGTACGAGAGTTTGTATGAGTATTGTGCGTGTATGTGTTACACTTTAGTGTTGAATAGCTAGATAGACGAATATGGATTTTTTTAATTTAGTACACACACACGATTGCGACGCTACTTTAAGGGGCCTCCCCCTTAAAAAGGAGCCTCTGTTGGGTTTTAGTGGGTGAGTCCCACATTATCATCTGTACGTATGCAGGTGGTATGCATTAATGCATTTCTTAACATTAAAAAAAAGGGGCACAATGACGAAGATATAAGTATAGATGATATATATTTTTTAATTAGGCTATTTACTATAATTGTAGCGTATCTCCGTCGCGGTGGATACAACGTGTTCATGTTAGACTGGGGTCAGCTCTGCCAGCCGCTGTGCTATGTCGCGGCCGTACACAACCTGCGTCCGGTCGCGCGGTGCATCGCTGAAGCACTAGGCTCCTTGAGGAAGGCTGGCTTACGACCTGATAGACTTACGTGTGTGGGGCACTCGCTTGGCGCTCACATGTGCGGTATCATGGCTAACTATTTGAACTTCAGGCTGAATAGGATTATTGGTAAGTATTTTTACTAAATAATTCCTCTTGCTTTTTTTTAAACATGTCACAAGTCGTTATCAGGCGTACTGAGGAAGAATATGTGAAAAATGAGTCATTATTACCTTAGACACTACCTGAAATTAAACTATACTGTATTATCGCGTACAATAGTATAATACCCAAATTTACGCCTAGGTATAATTTATTTACCTACTAATGATTTGATTTTTCTTCATCTTATCTCTTATATCACATCCATTTAATTTTTAAGGATATACCTAATATGTATGTAGAAGAACCAATTCTCTGGTATTATGTAAATATATCATATGTATATCAATATAGCTAGCTATATTGAAATCACAGACACACAATTTTATTCATAGCTAGCGAGGGGGGACTTGGGGCCTTTTGTACATTGCCGACCGCAATTTTTGTTATGATTTCTGACACTAATCACATTTATATGATAATAATATATATTTCAGAGATTACCCCATACATACAAACTTTACTCCTTTCTAATATTAGTGTTAATTATTTCGATTATTACTAGGTCTAGACCCAGCTCGACCTCTCATCAGGTCCGCGCCGGCTCTGCGTCTAGACCCGGGGGACGCGCGCGCGGTGCACGTGCTGCACACCAACGCGGGCCGCTACGGCGAGGGCGCGAGGTTGGGACACGCGGACTTCTGTCTCAACGGTGGGAGGAGTCAGCCGTATTGTGAAGATACGCCGAGTGAGTTCAGTTTTCAGTTATGTGTGTGAAAATGTGGCGAGATTATACCATTTTTCTATATGTACCCACATATTTAAATTTGTCCAAAAAATGTTCGCTTAGTATAAGTATTGCGTTATTAATATCGTACCCATAGTAACGATCTACTATTATAGAGCTTATAAGTAGGAGAGCTTATAAGAGCTCTTGGATTCGAATCAAGTTTATTGAGTTTTGTCAAGAAATTCTCAGTAACAAACGAAGTTGGGAAGCTTCACCCCCGTACATACAGTAAAGCCTAAAAATGTATATATATTTAAAAATCGTAGGAATAAAGGTTTTTTTAAAAGAAAGGAAAAGCTCTACTGTAAAGTGAAACAAGTATTGGTGGTTTCAACAAACAAGAACTAAGGCGACGATAAGCTATAGATATGCAGCCCTTTTTAACGTACCAACTCCCATTGCCATATATGTATACGATACGAATATTAGTCTTTCTAATACACCACGCTGGCCAATTGCGTGTTGGCGGACTTCACAAGTCTCACGAAAATTTGCTAGGTTCTCTCAGACAAGCACGACCTCACGATGTTTTCTTACATCGTAATACAAGTAAACATGTTGGAAATGATGGTCATGTAATGTAACGTAATGAGTCGTAATAAATCCAATCCCCTATCCCCAGATGAAGCCCTGTGCAGCCACGTGTGGGCCATTTGCTACCAAGCAGAGAGCCTGTTCCGCGCGCGCGAGGCGGCGCCGTGCGGGCGGCGCTGCTCCGTGCGCGTGCCGCCCGCGCGCGCCGCCGCGCTGCCCGTGCCGCTGGGCCAGCCAGCGCCCATGACGTGAGTCTTGCTACACTATATATATACTTATCCACACTAATATTAATACTTTTAATACTTTTTATCGGGGGAGATTATCTCATTCCCACGGGAAAACACGTTATTATACAACGCACAACAACTCTTCATACCTATGTATGTATATAATATACAGGCTATCTATTCCGTACTAAACGTTAACACGTATCTGCACTTGATTATAATTATTATATACAAAACAAATGTCCTTTGACTCCAACTTTGCTACACTTATTTCATTAAGATTTACTTATACATACACTGACCCTCGCTGCGGTCGGCTTCGTCCCTAAGTACGTTCTAAGTGTTAGTATGAAATACAAATCTTTGAATTTTTCGGCTTTTCTGTACTGATGATGTTCTCCTGACCGATTCCGGCCACGGCGGCCAATCTTATGAGACGAGCCAACTGCGCAGGAGATATTATAGTGCACAAGTGTACGCGCAGACACAACGTGCACTCTTTATTCCTGTCACTCTCATACTCCGGTGGGACGACTGCTCGATACGACCGGTGAGAGTTAAGGCGCAGGACCGACACGACCGAGGCACGGGGGTGAAACACCGCCAACATCCCAACTTCGGGCTGTTACTGAGGCTTACTATACAGAAAGACTCAATAACTAAACTTGGCCCGACCCGGGACTCGAACCCAGGACCTCCGGGTGTACAGCTGTACAATGTACATGCTAGCCACTACACCACCGAGGCAGTTATATGTTTTCTGTAGATACTATAATATGCATGTACTTATTATAAATATAAACCTTCCTCTTGAATTACTCTATTTATTAAAAAAAACCGCATCAAAATCCGTTGTGTACTTTTAAAGATCTAAGCATACATAGGGACAGACAGACAATGGGAAGCGACTTTGTTTTATACTATGTATTTATAACTATGTTATATGTTACAGCGCATCCGGCGCCTACTGCTTAGAAGACTACACGGCTCCCTTCTGTCCAGCGACGACTGGGCTCGCAGAAGGCGACGAGAGGTGTTGCCTTGACAAGCAGTACGCCGCCGCCGCGACCATCACCAAGGCGCCGCGCACGCGCCCGCGGCCGGTCGTGAGACTGCGCGCGAGGATCAAAACGGAATATGATAACAATCTAGATCATTTCTGAAGGTTTAAGAGTTACAAAGTATAGTTTGTGTTAATTGAAGTGAAACTTCGTTGCGCGCATGAGAGTAAAATTTCAAGGTCGCGTAACGAGAAATCGGCACGAAAAACCATCACGGTTGCAATAGGTAAATAACTGCTTGCATTTGGTTGCCACAGTAACCGTTGTTATTGCCTGACAAATGATATAGATATTCTTTCCGTTGCTATCTTCAAATATTATTATTTTTACTAATTTCTTTTCAAATTTGCCTGTATATTTATATGTTCGTCCCTTAAAGTACAGTATATTATGCCATTAATGTAAGAATTGATGATAATGTCTATTTCAATAAGATTTCCCAAAAATTATTTAATGTACAGATTTGACTCAGTTAGAATTTTATAATATGTATAGATTTATCTTACAGGTTTCAAATATAAATAACCAGTAAAGTTTCACTTCTAACACGTTTCCATTGAAACTTGTTTTTTTTTATAACTGAAGAGTTCAATTTTTTTTATAACTAATAATAATTTTGGAATATAAATTTTTATCTATAGGTATATTTAGTGGTAATGACTTGAGCTAAGAGTGGATTATTATATATTTATTAAGAACATTTTGAGACTAAAAGTTTCATAATGTATGTAAATAAAGATACAACATTCGTAGTCTAGATATCATGTTGATAAGTTTTAATAAAAAAGTACAATAATTGTGAATGATTACGTTCTGCCAAAGAGTTTTTATTGTTGTAACAATAAATTGTTTATTATATTAAGGTTTTTTCATTCAATACTTGTCTATTTGTTCTAACAAAAATCTCAGCTACTACATAATCTAATTAATCTACTTACCATATTTTCTTTTGAATTCTATTCAATAATAAGGCTACTAGATACCTTATAAATATTTCTATGTAACCCAGGGATCACAAAGTTTTCCCCCCAATGTGTTCACCTTGTCGTGTTGGGGGGCTCATTAACTTCCGGCAATCCAGCCGGACCCGAAGCCAAGAAACGCATCGAGGGGGCCCACTTCGGTGGGCGGTGTACCATGCGGGTTACTCCTGGTACTTCTCTGATAGCAGAATGGACCGTGAGAGCAACCCCTTGGTTGTGTGGTCTGCTTGGCAGGCCTGCCGTCGGGGCCGAGTGGTTGAATGCGTAAGTGATCCTGCGACGCCTCATTAAGACGGAGGAGGTTCTGTTAGATTTTAGCGGGTAGTACTGGCTTTTCTAGCCGGTGAGCCCCACAATCATATGTACATACATTTGTATACAGGTGGAATGTCTAAATGCACTTATATTATATAAAAAAAAATAGGAACACAGAGTTTACTCACCCAACCTCTAACTGCCATACAATAAGATAAAGAGAGAATGGAATATACGTATCAATAGATAACATATCAATAGAAACGTCGGGAAACAAAAATCCAAAGAAATCCGCGACAAAATCCAAAAAGATAGTTTTATTTAAAATTATTTAAAAAGAGAATTATTTATTAATGTTCTATTAAAATTAACCATATGACCTCAATATGAGGTAGGTAATTGAAACAGTTCAATTTTATTTATAAGGCAGAGTGAATATTCTGGTTTTGTTTATTGATTTACATTATTTGTAAATTCCATAATTTTTGTAATATCTACAAATACAATAAATATAAAATGCAAATAAACGAAAAGCAGCATATGAAATAAAACAATCTTTTAGATTATTTTGTGGAAACATAACTGTAAAGCATACGAGACCAAAAAATTGAAATAAATCCGTGAAAAAATCTGAAAGGATAGTTTTATTTAAAATATTAAATATTCGCGTAAATATAGGACAGTTTTTTTATTACTAAAAAGAGCTTTCAATAAACGAATTTACCCTTAATAAGTTATAGTGATAATATAAACAAGTTATGAATGCGTATAAATAAGTCTACAGTTTCAATATAAAAATAGCATTTATCTAAGATTTAAAATAGTACGTTCTTTGATAATTTGACAAAATTAATACAATGAGGGCTACCGCGGTTCAATTCGGTGCGGGAGGCGCTAGTGTAGTGAGGTCTCTAGAATATAATATATACTAGCAGAACCCGCGGCTATGCTCGCGCTAAAACTACAAAAAAATCTAAAAAGGTAGGTATCATAGAAACTTTCATCCCCTATTTACTCCCATATAGGATGAATATCGAAAAATGCTAAAACACGTATTTATTTGTTTGTTGTATTGAAGAGCATTATAACTAAGTTTTAAATAGGTAATTCTGATCAGAAATAATTTTTTAGATTGTAATATAACGTGTTTTCCCGTGGGAATGAGATGATCTCCCACGATAAAAGTAGTATATGTCACTTCCAGCTCTCTATCTTCACACCAAAAATCACGCCAATCCGTCACTTCGTTTCGACGTAAAAGAAAAACAAACAAACAAACACATTTTCACATTTATAATATTAGATTGGATGACACTGAATGTTTACTGTTTGAGAGCTTTTCATCACCCTTCACCCACTATTCCTGATCATTATAAACATTGTGCCATTCCTCAATAATTATGGCAGACATGGTCCGGCTCAATAAATGTTTTTGCTTTAAAGGAAGAATTAAGAAAAAGGCATTATTAATATTTAAAATCCTGATAGAACTATTATCGCGCTAACAATTATGCTTATTATATTAAATTTATGGCCCCACCCCACTAACAAATACTTTTTCAAAGACAGCGACAGGACCTTACTGGCCAGTGGCGCCAACTGGTGCTACCAGAAACGATTGCCTCATTACTACATATATTATTTATAGTGAATAGTGTTAAAAACTGATGATAATGAAATAATGACGAAAAAAAATATATAAATAAGAATCTCACATTGGCAGGCCCCGGCGAGATTCGAACTCGCGATCTCCTGTTTACTAGACAGGCGCTTTAACCAACTAAGCCACGGCGCCACTGCCGTAAGTAGCGAAATTATACATCAGTTTTTATTCCCCTTAGTACTCTTGTATCAAATTATCCATATCTGCGAATTCGACGTAATCTATATACCATACAATATTAATATTACAGTTTGACATACGAAAATCCACAAAACAGAATAGTTATAATATTACAATGATGAAGAGCTTTTTTATTTGTTTCAACGCAATAACCACTCACATTTGAGAATTCTTTTTGCACTTCATAATTTTTTGTTAAACGAGGTTATATAACTAGGCTATTTATAATGTAACGCTATAATTTTTAGGAGCGCGAATTAAGCCGTGAGTCAAAATTGTATGTATAATTATTAACCGAGTTCCAAAAAACGAGGTTCTCAATTCGTCGGAATCTTTTTTTTTAAGTATGTTCACCGATTCGAGTAATCGGTGAACATACTTAAAAAACCTGAACCGATTTGGAAAATTTTTGTTTTGTTTGAAAGGGTATACTTCCCAGGTCCCATATAAATTTTATCGAAATCGGTCGAGCGGTTTTTAAAAAAATCAACAATAAATATTTTTCTAAACAAATTGTTTAATCGAATAAGTTATTAAAAACTTTCTTCCTACAAATTACCTGCTTATTACGTCTACACTAAAAATATTAAAATAAAAACTTAAAAAAAAAACCGACTTCCAGGCACTAAAATGTAAAAAATAGCTAAACGGGGGTTTTCATTTAGAATAGATACTTAATCAGATATTTTCAAAGTCGGTGCCAGCGGACAATATTTTAAGATATGAATATCTAATAGGTAAATATGTATTTTACGTATCAAAATATATTAGATTTCCTATGCGTCGGCTGGCACCGAAAATATCAAACTTCGAAAATATCTGATTAGGTATCTATTCTAAATGAAAACCCCCGTTTAGTTATTTTTTACATTTTAGTGCCTTTTTTTTAACGTTGGGAAATGCATTTACGCACGAGGTGTGGGACTCACCGGCAAAGCCAGTACTACCCACTAAAACCCAACGAAGCCTTTCCCCGTCTTAATGGGGCGTCGCAGGATCGCTTACGCATTCAACTACGACGCCCCGACGGCAGGTCTGCCGAAGCAGACCACAACAACCACGGGGTTGCTCCAAGGTCCACTCTGCTATCAGAGAAGTACCAGGAGCAACCCGCATGGTACACCGCCCTCCGAAGAGGGCCACCTCCCACCGCCCACCGAAGTGGGCCACCTCCCTGTGCGTTTCTTGGCTTCGCGCCCGGTTGGGTTGCCGAGCACTACTGTAACCCCCCACCACGACAAGGTGAACGCACGTTGGGGGGGACATTACATTTTAGTGCCTGGAAGTCGGTGTTTTTTAAGTTTTTTTTTTCTAAATCAAATAGAATATTTAGAACGTGATAAAGCAATTAAAATTTCAAACGTTTATCACTTAAATCGCCCATTACTTATGAACATTGTGGTAATACTTCCTCTAAAAGTAATTTTACTTTTGACTTAAAAAGTAATTCTATTTTTATTTTAAAGCAATCAAAATTATCACATAAATATCGAAGTAAAAATCTGTATTTTTTTTAGATATTTTTGTCCATAGTTTATTCATAATTGGATAGGACAGGTATAAAATGTACATAGGTTATTTAATCAAGAAACACGATAAATAAAACTAATTTTGTCTAAAATTTAATTTATTATTGACTAAATACAATTAGTTACAATTATATGAGCATTAATGTTGTTGTCAGCTCTTGTTGCCGGACATGAGAAGTGAGAGAAGAGCGGCCTTCTCTTTCTCCTTCTTCCTCACCACGTCTAAAGCGCGATTTTTCCAAGTACTCTTACGCAGCTTGATCGGACGACTTCCCACGTAGCGACCTGCAAATATAATATTATATTCACACTCCATACTAATCTATACTATATAATAAAATTCTGAGTCGAATCTGTACATTAAATATTTTTTGGAAAATCTTATTGATATAGTCATTATTATCGATACGGAGGCCGAATCTATAGTTTTTAGAATTTTTGGCTGTCTGTCTGGAAGCGCATCACGAGAAATCCACTGGATAGATTTTGATGAAATTTTGTATTGATTTTGATGATAGCTGGTTATCCGGGTCAACATATAGGATACTTTTTACTGGGGGGAAATATCTTATCTCTGAGAAATCTATACTAAACGTTAAAACATAACTAGAAGCGAGACTCAGTCGCTAGTCTATACTAATATTATAAAGAGGTAAAGTTTGTGACATTGTAGGGGGTAATCTCTGGATCTACTGAACCGGTTTAGATGAAATTTGGTAGAAGATAGTTTAAGACCCTGGGAAGGACATTAGATACTTTTTATCCTGGAAATCATGCCTTAAAGGGGTGAAAATGGAGATGAACGTTTGTATGGGGAATCAAGCCAGGGACGACCCCGAGCGAAGCGAGTGTGAGTCGCTAATTAATTATAAATACGAAAGTTGGAAGGATGTTTGCTACTCAATCACGCCAGAACGGCTGAATGGATCTGGAGTCTGGACGAAAGGCACAGAGATAGATTATAGTCTGAAATAGCACATAGGCCCCTTTTTATCCCGGAAAAATGCACAGTACCCGTGGGATAAGATTTATTTTTGTTTTAACTAGGGATGAATCCGAAACAAAGCGAGGGTGAGTCGCTAGTCATAAATATATTGTATATGATTTACTATTTTACCACTTTTTAACGAATTCTACAGCTAGTGTTGATTTATACAGATAAATAAAATAACAGCTTTTTTACTAAATACATATGAAATTATATACGGTACTCAATAAACTAATAAAGAAAAACACAATTTTTAAAATTTCTGTCTGTTTATACCAGCTAATTTCTGACGACTTTGAGACTGATTTTGACGGAACTTTCACTGGCAGATAGCTGATGCTATAAGGAACTAGTGCTCGTGAACACTCGACTATATATTATATGATATAATATAGACAGTATAAAAGAAAGAAGGCATAATGAAAAGATTTTTTGTTCTAAAAGTAAAAGTAAAGTCGCTTATGGCACTCGCCGGCCGCTACAGCGGCAATCGTGCGTTTTGCTCACTTTTCTAACTTAATCTAACCAACCTTGAAAGAATTGTACCCTAATGTAATAGTTTTGTGACACTATGGTTAATTCTTCCATTTCACAATTTGACGGTATAAGTTCGATAGTTTTGATCTACCGAAAAATAATGCGTTAAATTATAAGCAGTAGGTATATTACGATCTTTCGACAGTTTACAATTTCCCTAGATAGATTATAATCTAACAGTATTTACCATTTTACTGTGATATATACAAACGGAGCAGACCTTGTTGGATTCAAGATCTCTTAAAGTAATAATATTAAATTAAATAAACTATATTAAAAAAGATATTAAAACAAAATTTATTCAATCGCAGGCCCCGGCGAGATTCGAACTCGCGATCTCCTGTTTACTAGACAGGCGCTTTAACCAACTAAGCCACGGCGCCACTGCCGCGTACTATGAAATTACCACCAGTTTTGTCGCACTTCTGCATCATCCTACACAATCTTATATAAAAGAAGAGCAGAAACTAAAATTTTCACCCAAGTGACTCAGCTCTTAAAATAAGAATTAAAAAATTATGTAAAATTTATTATTTTAAATACATCTGGTCAAACTATATCTATTACACCTCTGCAAAGGTAGGGGTCGCTAATATTATGACCGTTTAATAAAATAAATATGTTTGGACATTAACACAGCACCATCTAGTTCCATGGTAAGCTACGAGGCCTGTGTTATGTATACCGGATAGTTCATTCACTACATACTAATTATAAATATAAACACCCATGACTGGAGCACAAACATTCGTGCTCATCACACAAATGAATGCTCTAGCTGGACTGGAACCCGCGACCGCTGGCACAGCAAGTAGGGTCACTACAAACTGAGCCAAATGTGTCGTCAAATTAATAATATCTTACCATCCATTTCTTTCATAGCTTTAATAAAATCTCCAGGGTCTTTGAAGCTCACAAAGCCGAAACCTTTGCTTTTGTTCGTTCTCTTGTCTCTAATCACTTTAGCTCGTTGAAATGACGTGTATTTACCAAAAGTTCGCGTCTGAAATGGAAATTAAAGTATTTATTTGTTGCATTTTTCTTTCTTCATAGTCAATTACGAAAGATCATATTTAAATTTAGATGATTCTTTGACTGACAATTTTAATTTTTTGAAACGATTGAAATAAAACAAATACTAAATGTTAAGTGAAGCTTAGAACAATTAAAACATTAGTAAAAAAGTTAAAATTCTAAAAAAACATTGTTTTGGATTCTATTGCGTTAATAAAGACCCGCAATAATAATTTTTTCAAATATCTTCCATGGACAAACAACGGTCTGTTACACTTTTATTATATATACATATAATAAAAAAAATGTGTAACTGACAGTGCTATGAGTATATCTATACAGATAGAAAATTAAATTATAATATCTTTTATTAGCTATTATGCAAATTTGGAAATGGATTTTAACATTGTAATTGCAATATTCATTTGAAAATTTGTAAGTTCATGAAATCTGAATAACATTATAGTCGACTAGCGACTCACCTTCGCTTCGCTCGGGTTCGTCCCTAGCTTGCTTCCCCATACAAACTTTCATCGCCATTCTCACCCCCTTAAGGGATGATTTCGGCATAAAAAGTATCCTATGTCCTTCCCAAGGTCTCAAGCTATCTTCTAACCAAATTTCATCTAAATCGATTCAGTAGATCCTGACATTACCCCCTACAACCTCACAAACTCATAAACTTTACCACTTTATAATATTAGTGTGTAGATACTACCAAGCTGATCTATACTATCAAACTGAGTTTAGGCCATAAATTACAGTTGGAAAAAATGTATGTTCCTCGATTTTGTAGAAGATAATTGCAACTAATCTATAATTATTATTATTGTTGTGTTGTGTTTGTTTGTGTACGTTTTCTGTATAGGTAATAATAATAATATATTATTATTACCTATACACAAAGCGCATAAATTATTACGCGCATAATATATATGTTTAACATTGTTTATAGCATAATATTATGCAGTTATGGTAAAATAATCTCTCGAGTGATAGGTCAACTTACAAGTAATTCATCTGTGACATCGTTTCCCAAGTCACCGCAGAACATTCGGAAGTCATCATCGGGCCAGTCCAGCAAAGTCACATCTTCCCACACTTGCCCTCCTGCAGTCCTAACCACCTGTAAATCCCATTATGCCATTAATATTGTAGGCACAAATATATATACACACATACATACACACACATCCTTTTGATTTTTATTTCTATTTTTAATATAATAGATTAAAATAATCACATATCGCTGCAACTGCCAATATATTATAAATGCGAAAGTTTGGATGGATGGATGTTCTTTACTCAATCACGCCAGAACGGCTGTACGGATATGGATCAAATTTGGCACAGAGATAGATTATAGCACACAGGTTACTTTGTATCTGGAAAAATATAGGGACTAAGCATCTGCCAGCCCGTTAATTAAATGTTGTATTAAACCAGGAATTCCCAAACTATTTTGGGTAAGAGACCCCTTTTACAAAAAGGAACAAATACCTCAGACCCCTATAGCCTTGAAATTGATCATTATTTCGTTCGAGTTAACTCGCGTATATGCTTCAAATACAGAGCAAGTCAAAACGTGCCTGAAAGACTTGTACCCTCGAACACATTATCTTGCACGAACTTGTCCACGCTTATTGACTTGCCGAGTTTTTCATCTTGTACTAACTTGTTCACGCTTATCGACTTGTTGAGTTATTTAAAAGTACAACAATGATGCTTCCTACAAAAATATTAGTCATTCTTATAACAAGTTGGTACAAGTAACACAACTTATACAGTAATCTTGAAAGTATCAAATAAGAACTTGTCTTAATTAATAGGGGTCGATTTTTAGACCTCGTCGACCCCCAAAAATCAGTTTTCGTTTATGTCAACCCCTGGAAAACTGATATCGACCACTTTGGGAATCCATAAGACGCTACGACTGGATTCAGGCCGCTAGTTGAACGGCGCCGTTTAGTTAAAGAGACAAGGCTGTTAATTGAACATCTAATTAAGCTAGTTGGCTTGGGCATATACTTGAGTATGATGAGTTATTGTGGGTTGTATTATAACTTGTTATCCGAGACAATGAGATGATCTCTCATATGTCACTCTCCAGACCACCAACTATCTCCACACAAAAATCACGCCAATCAAGTCACTCTGTTTCGACGTGAAAGAAGGACAAACCGTGAAAGAAGACTTCCAAAAAGGAGGAGGTTCTTAATTCGTCGGAATCATTTTTAATGTATGTTCACGCCAACAACATTTTAAGATATGAATATCTAATAGGTAAATATGAATAGGCATGAACTCTAATTATAGTTAAAATATTAGGATACATCAATTTGTGATGTATTTTAAGTATCGAAACATATCAGATTTGCTTTGCATCGGCTGGCACTGACTTCGAAAATATCTGCTTAGGTATCTATTCTAAAGGAAAACCCCCGTTTAGTTATTTTTTTACATTTTAGTGCCGGGAAGTCGTTTTTTTTTAAAGCTTTTATACAATAATATTAGTATGGATATAACTATTATTTACCTTCCGATGTTTCTTTTCCTTCTTCACTTTAGGTACTGTCTCAGGTATGACGGGCGCAGGCGGCGGCGCGGGCGCGGGGGGCGGAGGCTCTATTACCTCAGTTTCTTGCCTCGGTGGAGTCGGTTGACGTTCACGTTTCTACATGATGAAAAATTATTTATTGAATAGAGGATATGCGTGTGATTGAAGAAAAAGTGAAATATTTTGAACTTTTATGTACTTCTTTTGGCACGTTTTGGAAAAAATATGAGAGTAAAATTTTTTACGCTGCGCGCGCACACCGACGGCCAAAAAGCGACATGATGAAGTTAGCTGAAAACGACATTTAGTTACACACAGTTAGCTGCATTCCTTTTAAAAACAGAGAGTTGTGACATACGGGAGAAAATCTTTAGCTATTTATGTTCTGTTACGCCAAAGAAGCATAAATTCTTACGTACGTACATATGTACACACATACGTTTTTTTTTATATTCTTTATTGCTTTTAAATGAAGCCTATATCAATATTATTTAATGTCATTTCTTTTTGATTAAGAAAATAGTTATTAAAAAGTTTAAATATAGGTGGGAAATTCAAAGTAATTGAAACGCACGCCGACGTCAGACCGAATATGACGTCAGAGTATATCATAACAGAGCGAGTAGCAATTTTGTTCGTTACAAATTGTGTCGTCATTTTGCTGTGTATATCATAATGTGACGTCACGCCGAGCGTGCGAAATGGCGACCATTTAAAGTATCCGTATCGGTATGATATTTTCAAAACATTATTTATACTAAATTTTAGTTTTTATATTCCCTATTGTATATGAAAAACCAATTAGAAATAAGACATGATGAAATGATGACTTTATAACAAATGATTTAATCATGAATTTGATGTTCACCATTAAATTATCATAATACATACATATTATTATTATTTTAAAGTTTAAATTTTTAACAAAATTAATTATTTTTATTATTAGTAACTCATTGACTAAAGCAATACTATCTAAACATTATAATAAAAACATTTACTTACCCGTTTTTTACTCTCATGTTTTTCTTTCTTTGCTTCATCATCTTTTGGCTGTTTATATAATTTGGGAGCCGCTGACAATATAACAGGTTGGGGTTTTGGCGGTGGAGGTGGTATTAACTGAGGTCCTGGTACCCCTGATCTAAGAAATGGCATGGGACCAGGGAATACATCGCTTGGACCTGGAGGCCGGAGTCTTTGAACCTAGTAAGTAATAGGTAATCAAATTTAAGTTTCTAGAAAAAAAATGTGTTAATAGTTGTACATATACATAACCATATTTGTTTTATATTATAAATATGAAAGTTTGAAGTATATATAATTTAATCTTATAATTCATTCTTTTTGTGTGCAAATGCCATTCCACCATACACTTGTTATATCAATAGCAATCTTATTTGCCCACTCAATGGTTAGTCCATTTATTAATAGCAACAAAGCAACTAAAACCTAATTTTACAGTTAATCAAAAATTTATCAAGTTTTCAAGGCTAAAATAGTGTTTTTTGAGAAGTTGTGTTTTGGAATTATAGTTTAATGTGTCAACTACCCAATTGTTGGGTGATAATATTAAGGTAGTACCTAAATATAATTTTAAAAACTTACAGATGCAGGTACCATCATTGACGGGGGAGGAGGTGGTGGTGGTACTGTGGGGTACATTAATCGAGCTCCCATCATAGAAGCTTCAAATCCTTGCATTAAAGTGGGTGGTGGCGGTGGGGGAGGCATTGCACGTTCTAATTGTTGCTGTACAGCACCAAACGTGCCAGCCCCTATCACGGGTCGAATTGCCACCATGTCCGATCCTGAGATCTCTGCCTCGAATCTAGAATTTACAAATATTGGTTAATGTTAATACAAATAGTACATGTTTTTCTACTATTTTATATGTCGTCAATGAAGACATACCGGGACATTTCATCCTGCATCTGCTGCAATTTACTGGAGTCGTCCATGTTGCTGCACGATATAACTAAAAGAAATCCAAAACGTTTACGTAGTAATGCACTAAATAGTTTCTTTAAATAATTCCTTTAATAGTACATACATAAAAATGCATTATAGCAGGTTGTTCGCAATGGCACGCGTCTCTTGCAAACCTAATTATTAATAATAAGTTTATAACTTAACGAATTTAAGTTAAACAGTCTGCACCTTAATTAAAAATTTAATTTGAGATTACTGTTAACTTCATAAGAAATATGTTAACTTGAAAAATTATAAACTTTGTCAGAGATTGCAAATATTCTTCATGAAATTGAAACGACAAACCGCAAACGTCAAATTATTTACGTCAAATTGATTACCGTAAAACGGGGTGAATAGCAATGATTTTCAACTTCGTCTTAAGAATTTGTTGTCTGTTACTTTTTTTTTTTAATCTCAGGTTATTTTATATCATGCCCGGTTCCATAAAGAAAGTGCTGAAACAATATTTTTTTAACTATAAGCAAAGGTTTTCCAGATTTTTAATAAAATATGTACCGTTTCTATTCACCCGACGATTGGGGTCAATAGAAATGCGTAAAGGGGTGAATGGAAAAACTGGTAGGGCTACCAAAAATGACTTATCCAACATTGCAAAAATATAAGGTTGTATATTTAAAAATTGTTTTGGTTTGTAAATCTTAATTGAAAATCAAAATTTGTAATTTAAGCTATTTATGCGTATGAACATAAATAATAAAGTATGTTTGTATTTTAACCGATTTAATTTTTATGGAATGTTATCTCTTTTCGATAAATCAAACAAGATACTACTTATTCGTATTTTTATTTAAATTAAATAAAATCTTCTACAGCACTTTCATGGTTTTCATCTAAGTCTTCACCGGGAAGTCTGGCTAATATTTCATGTTCATTTAAAGGGCTAATTCCTGTTTTCTTAAATCCAGCAATGATATTCTTTGAAGCATTGATTTGAAGTTCATCAATTAACAATTTTAATAGTTTTGGAAAACAACCTTTTGGAATTGTGGGTAATTGTCGACCATCTGTCTTTTTCCATTTTAATATTAATAGCCTCCAGGCACGCTTCATGGGACGAAAAAATGCTACGTCCAGTGGTTGCGTCAGGTGAGTTGAGTTGTCCGGGACAGAGGCTGACTGCTACCGGACGCGTCCCCGGGTGGCGGATAGGGGAACACCACTCGCGACTGTTTGGACCCGACAGGAGCTTGTGGTATCGGAGCAATCCGGCGCGGACCAACAGCCAGGAGGGGAGGGGGGAGTGGCGTCAGGAGGGCGCCGTCACCTTCTTGGAGGTAGCGTGGTGTCTCCGGCCGTTTCGCGGTAGGAGGCGCTGCGCGGGCCGTGCTGCCGGGGCTAGCCCGTCGGTGCGGCGGCTGGAGCGGGGCCAGTTCGGTGGTCCTGCGTCTGGCGTGGGTGTCGGCAGCCATTTTGGTCCGGAAGTGGGCTGACGGTAGGGGGGCCGCGGGGGAAGAGGAGTGTCGGTATGACGATGCGCCGCTCGTCCCTATCTCCCGCGGCCTAGCGGGGCCACCACCGTTGATGGTGGACGCGGTGGGGCTGTAGGGGAAGGGGAGTGTCGGCGTTGTCGCATCCTCTACTCCTGCAGCCGTTTGGGGTGGGCTCGGTTTCGGGCGTCTTGGAGGTTTGCCCAATTTGGGTAGGAAGGTTCAGGCTTAGGCCGCTTATTTTTGCAGGTTGCCCACTTCGGTGGGCGGTGTTTGGTCGTGTGGGGCTGCTCCGGGTACTTCTCTGTTCAGCAGAGTGGACTTAGGAGCAGCCTCACGTCTTAGGGTTGCAAGTCTTCCCATAATGGGGTCGTCCCGCTTGGGGCGGCCTCATGGTTGGTGGCTTCGGCCAACCGTCGGGGCGTCGCGGTTGTATGCGAAAGCGGTCCCGTGGCGTCCCACATGGCGGCAGGGGGGGGAAGTTGGGTTTTAGTGGGTATGCCGGTCTCATTAGCCGGAGAGTCTCCACATAACCACCCTGGGGGAAGTCGGGTGGTATCCGTAATAGGATTTCCCAACTATAAAAAAAAAAAAAAAAAAAGGTGAGTTGAGTTGGCTGGTAAAAACACAAAATCGATGTTATGCGTTTTACATATTTGGATCAAGTCTGCTGATAAATGTGAAGACAAATTGTCTCCAATTAAGCACTTTCTGCCTGGTAAATCCTTAAAATATGGAACGACCATATTTTGCACCCAATCCTCAAAAGTGGTTCCTTCAAACCATCCAGATGTCGACCTGTTATTTCGAGTACCTTCTGGGCCATGTTGAATCCAAGAATCATATAAATGAGTTGCTTTATATACCACATATGGTGGTAACATTTTGCCATCTGCGGTACCAGCCATCATAATAGACACGGAAGCCTTGGTATGGTTCAGAACCCTTTCAGGGTACTTGCATCCCCGCTTGATTAATATTTTCTTCCGCCCGGGGTCGTCCGTTAAATTCGTTTCATCGTAGTTTAATATGTTAGAAGCAGGTACTCCATTTAAAGACTTCGCAAGTTCGATAAAATATTCTTTAATCGTATCTGGAGACACCTTAGCTCTCACACGCTTGATATTTTCACAAACTCTTTGCGAAATCTCATTTTTGTGTCTTAATAAAAAGCTCTGCACAAAATCAGGTCCTGGAAAATTGTCCTTGAATCTCTTATGGATTATGCCTATCTTATCAAGATACATCTTGACTATGTACCTAAGATCCAATGTATCTAAGCGATAACCCCATTCTGCGCATTTATTGATGTTCTCTATTAACAACATTTCTGTTTCGTCGGATAAAGCTCTTTGGCCTCCATGTTGCTTCATATCCCGGGTACTGTGGCGATACAACACCGATTTGTGAATGCCATATTTTTTTGCAACATCTTCTAGTTTTAAATTCCGAGAAGATGCATACTCTTCCACAGCTTTTTTTATGATTTCTATGCTATATTTTTTATACCTTTTCCTTGTAGGATCGGGTTTATATACACGCGGCATATTCAATCTACCTACGGCGGTATGTACCTGTAAATGAAAATTATCACTTCATAAATATTATTTATTTATCAATCACAAAATCTACCGCTCTCATCTAAATAATACGGACTTACTATTCATTAATACAGAAAGTATGAAAGTAGGTAGTTAAATTTAGTTCTGTTAACAGTTTTTGACAACCCTATTTATTTATCTCTATTAACCCCTGATTAATTGCTATTCACACATTAATCGTTTCTATTATTCCATACTAGACTTCCATTAAACCCATACTAAAGTTCTATTCACCCTTCAATGGATTCTATTAACCCCTTTTAGACAATAAATGTACACTAACTGTGATTTTAATATTTTTTTTAAGTTTAATAACGTATTCTAACTTACCTTTACTGTATTTTTATAATGTATCGCACACCTAATGAGATAAACACGTTAATTAGTACAAGTCACAAGTTTTTCTTACATAAAACCAAGAGTTTCGGCACTTGATTATACCACGTTCACAGACGGTACACTTTGAATATATTTTGAAGGATAAATGTCAATTTTGACATTTAAAAATTGTTGCCAACGCAAAGAAAAAATGTTGATATGTTAAAATATAAAATTCTACCAAAATTCTTCAACGAAAAGTAATTAAATATTAGCCTTGAAAACTTTCCTGGTATTTTTTCTATTCACCCCGCAATTTCTATACACCCCGTTTTACGGTACATATTGATATCATAGACTATGGACTGTATAGGTAATTATAGACTTCGTATATGTATATTATACTGTAGTATATACTATATAAATCTGTGGAGGTAATAAAAAAGTAGATATAATATGTATGTATTCAGCTCTTTTTAACCACAGACCAGGAACAGCAATTTTTACGCCCACAGCCCACTGCATGGCACGGGTCGCCCTTCAATACGTGGGGGGATTACCGATCAGGCCATAGTCCATCACGCTAGCCAAGTGCGGGTTGGCAGACATGACTGCACATGTCATTCGAAAACTTGCTAAGATCTCCCAGACATGATGCAGGTCTCCTCAAGATATTTGCCATAATCGTGATATAATATAATTATAGGTATTATAGTAGTAATTTTGATCACATTTACACTACAGCAAGGTTTTGAACTTGTGTGATATTACAATATTATTACTTTTAGTGTAATCTGTAATCATTACACTTCTACTTTGTAGTCAAAGGGAAATATTAGGTACTATATTTTTGAATCTATAATTTAGTAATTAAGCTATCTGTGATTTTTATATTGACAATTGACATTTGACATTTGATTTTGCTCACAAACACACTTGTCACTTAGCTACTTCGAACTTCAAAGCTCTTTTTAAAAAATATAATTTGAAAATAAAGGGAGTTATTTTCAATAATATTGTTAGGTACTTGTTGTAGTTTTTAGTTATAACTACATTTCTACTATGATTGAAGATGAAAATAAAACAATTTGGTGTGGAAATTTAGCAGAACAAGTGACTGAAGAGTTACTTTACGAACTCTTCTTACAGGTTTAGTATTGTAGTACTAAAACTATTGTTTAACTATCGTTAAATACATGCAAAATATATTTCATAATATTATTTTCTATTGCTAGGCGGGTCCGCTACAAAGAGTTAAAATACCACGAGATAGAGATGGTCGTCAAAAGAACTTTGCATTTATAACGTATTGCCATGAAGTTTCTGTACCTTATGCTCTCAGATTGTTTCAAGGAACGGCGCTTTTTCATCGAAAGCTGTCTTTACAAGAGAGAGGTAGAACTAGTCTTCCTCCACCAATTCCAATACGATGCTATGGGCCTGACATGTCTTTCGACCTGAGAGATCAAGGAAATATATCTAAACAGTTTATTGATATGACTGACAAACTCCAAGTGGAAACTCCTGTACCAGCTCATATACCAACTCAAAGGCAAGAGATAAATGACAAATTAGTAATGGCTAGTTTACAAGGTAATTGGTCTCATAGGCATCATCCATACAAATCAAAAGAAAAATCAAATAATCGAGATAATTATAGGCAAAGAAGTCAAGACAATTACAAAAATCAGAGTAACTGGAAAAATAAAAGAAATTTTAGGACTCGAAGAAGAGATTAAAATGTACTTATTAAATAACATAACATATGATATATATTTATATTACAATTACAATTGTAAAATAGCTCTAAACAATCGCTTTTAAAAAAAGCTAGCTGTTGTATACATATTTCCTTTTTAGTTAAATATAACAAACTGAAACACTCAAGTTATTAATAGGACTGCATTAATATGGAAAGCTCAGATTAAAACAAATCTTCTGAAATAAATACTGGTAACATATTAAGAGAAACTTCTCTAGTAAAGACAAACTGTAAAAACTGTTGGTAGTTAATATAAAAGTTCTTAAACACTGAAGATGTTTAGGATTAACTATAATTTATATTTTAGTTATTTAACCCTGCTTGATATGATATTATTATCATTAAAATTTTAGTATAAAATAGTAAAAAATATTATATATTAATAGTTTGGAATTTACAAAATTTACAGTTCTACTTGTCCAATGCATATATTTTACATAATATTTTATAAAATATACTTGTTTATGACGGATTATTGTTTTTTTCTTTTTCATTTTAAAAGAAATACATTAGAATGCATTTTTGAAGATTAATACTCTCTCTGTGGCTCATTTATTATTACACTAATTTCATTAGCAAAGCCTTTGAAGTCTTCCTGAAAATACAAAAAATAACAATTGGTATGTTATACATTCTTATTTTACTGTGAACATAGTGGTCAGTTAAAAAATGGTAGGAATTGACCCCTGATATTATGAGTTTGTTTTATACCGATCACATTTGCTATACAATATTATACATAACTAGCATTGCCCGCGGCTCCGCCCGCGTTCAGATGACCAAAACCAAATTCTTAGGTTTTACATATTAGTATGTTTATAATGCAGTTTTTGTATTTTTCCTCAGAAATAAGATATTTTCCCGCGGTAAAAAGTATCCTATATGTTGACCCGGATAACCAGCTATTATCATACCAAATTTCATCAAAATCTGTCCAGTGGTTTTCTCGTGATGCGGTAACAGACAGACAAAAATTCTAAAAACTATAGATTCGGACTCTGTATCGATAATAATGTCTATTTCAATTAGATTTTCCAAAAAATATTTAATGTACAGATTCGACTTAGTTACAATTTTATTATATGTATAGTTTACTATTGAAAACTATAATTTTAAGTAAAGACTTGTTCTTGATCAATTCCATTCATTGTACCGCATAATCCTCTGGCACTGCTTTCTACACAGACTGAGTTTGATTTCCATCTGATTGTGAGAAAATATTTCTATTCACTACATTCACGTCGATCTGGTTAAGACAGAAAACTATAGGCATGTTAATCAACTCCCCCAATGTGTGCGTTCATCATAGGGGGAGGGGGGGGGGTCTGATTAGCGTCTTGCTATGGAACCGGGCGCGAAGCCTAAACCTTGTGGTCTGCTTCGGCAGACCTGCCGTTCGGGGTACGCCCTATTAGACGGGGAAGGTTCCTTTGGGTTTTAGTGGCTAGTGTCAAGTGTGCGTGGGTTACAGTGGCTAATACTGGCTCTGCCGGTGAGTCCCACATAACCACCTGTATCATATTATGTATGCAGGTCAATCAAAATATTCTACCCGCCACAGAAAAATAAATAAGGTACACTTACAATTTTATTTTTGTACTTGTAAGTGATGTACCCAATTATCTCGTATATGAAAACTAAGGAGACTCCATACAAAACTAGTGATATGATCTTTTCGTCCATGTCGAGGATATCAGATTGTACTATTTTGAATATGATGTAAGAGCAAAATAGTCCGCGCAGTGATAGAAACAAGACCAAATATGTTAGTTCTACTAAAAAATAAGTTATGGTTTTTCCATAGCCCTCATCTCGAAGTAACCTGCAATTACAGTTACAACTTACACTATATGTTTTTCAATCTGATATTGTATTTTTTCTGATAAATTCAGTAAAATTTCAACTATAAATGTCAACTATGTAAGATGACCTGATTGAGCATAATATATTGTGACCCATAAGTCCCGGTGACTTCCCGGGTTCGATTCGTCGTCGAACGCGGAAAAATAGTTATTAAAATTTATATACCTACCTATCTGTTGAAAAGCGGAACCGGAAGCTTACCGCAGCCACTGAACTTAGGTTTACGTTGCGTCGTAAATCGTAATACGTAGGAGAAGAGCTCGAAGATATAAGTTAAAATTTTATATTACACTAGCGACTCACCCTCGCTTCGCTCGGGTTTGTCCCTAGTTACGTTTTAACGTTTAGAATAGATTTATCAGAGATGAGATATTTTCCCGCAGTAAAAAGTATCCTATTCAAATTTCATCAAAATCTGTCCAGTCGTTTTCTCATGATGCGGTCGCAGACAGACAGAAAAAAATTCTAAGAACTATAGATTCGACCTCTGTATCGATAATAATGTCTATTTCAATAAGATTTTACAAATATTTGATGTACAGATTCGGCTTAGTTCATGTAGCCTGTAGACTATTTTTTTTTATTTATCTACCACTGCTTATTTATGCTAATGCATAAATAAAAATATTATATTACATAATAAAAATTTATTTAGCAATTTTGTGAAAATCTATGTGACTTCGTTATAATAAAATGTACTATTGAACTTAAACTTATAAGACGATTACAAGATAGGTATACAAAATATTAATAATTCCTAACTAACCATCGAGTTTGAAGGAACGGGTTAGTAATTTCCATAAGAGCGAGGGTGCAAGCAAATGTACATCCAGCGTACGGCTTGTTCATATACATATTGACAGCGTATAGAGCGCTCAAGTGGTGGAACAGGATAACGTAACTGTTGCTCCAGTATATGAGGCACCAGAGCAGATCGAAGGCAAAGTAACCCCACGACCAAAGCATTAAAGCGTAGTCGATTGTTGTCATTTTTGCTAAAATAAACATTAAATATGCACTATTTAAAGATTAAATTTTTAATATAAAAGGTAAAATACATCAAAAAATTCATTTCATATGACAATAAGATGCTTTGGAGCAAGTACATAAATAGGTACTTTTTGTAGTCGTTAAAATCAATGTTAGTCGTGTATTTTACATACGTAATACCTAAAATAGCTGTTCGGTAGGTAATACACCTATATAGGTACTACACTTAACATATATCAATATATATATATATTGATATATGTTAAGTGTAGTAATTATCACATGCATATATATATATATATATATATATATATATATATATATATATATATATATATATATAAAAACAACATTGCTGGAAGTCCTGAGTTCGATTACCGCTTTATGAATATTTGAGTGTGCCGCGACTTAATAAAAATATAGTTAGAATAATAATAAGAACAATAATTCCTCCTCCTAATTCCACCTTTACAGGGCCGGTTTTAAGTGTGCCTGAACAAACAAAGACCAGTAAAAAATCGGAAAGAAATTAAAGCCGCCTTTTGATTTTCCTTACTTTTTAGTTTACCAAATGTATAGAACCACGAAATTTCTATTGTGGGGTCCCGCTCATGCGCCCTCCTGTAAACCCGCCTGCCTTAATCTAACAATCTCCATATTATGACTGATCTCTAAATATTTTTGAAAAAAATTAACATACACGTCCGTAATATTAGCAAGGATGTCAATACCCACCGGTAAGTCTACATTTATCGACAGTTGTCACACCACATTGCCACAGTCCAACTACAGTTGCAATGCTGCCGTGAAGCAAAGTGACTGCCCTCGAATGCCACTCGGGACTACGGTGTGATTTAGTTCTAGTGCTCCATAAGTAAGTCCATCCCCAAAATATAAATGAACACAGCTTGAGCAGTGACGCCGTAGATAATTCATGATGCAACGCCATACAGAATTATTGGAAATAATTTATATACATATTTTGAAATATTTGGTCATGTTTGAATTTTACAATTTGTCACATCGTGACATCCAAACTCAAAGCCACCCACAAAATAATTATTGTTATTCTGTGGTAAAATGGTCTGTACACGGAAATAGAGAAAGTTTTCTCTAATAGTATTAACGCAATAGAACTCAAAACAATGATTTTTAGATTTTTTATCTGTGCGTTTGTGCGCGCTAATCTCAGAAAAGGCTTAATCGATTTGGACCTGCGGTTTTCACCAAAAGGTATATTGTGGTAAGCTTCGCTTAATATTTAGAACAAATAATTTTATTTCAATCGTTTCATAAATAAAAATAATTAATAAATATGTATAACAATAAAATAAAAGTAACTTATAATATCAATAATCAATAAAACGTAAAAGTATTTATTGTTATTTTTAACCACATTTATTAAAAGTAAAACATTAAACATATGTAACGTAATAATTTAACATCAAAATAGGTACGTATAATGCAATCACTTGATTTACAAAATTGTCAGTAGGTATTCTCTAAAAAGCCGAACTTTTAATCAAAATTAGACATCAAGTTTTTCAAATATGAGCCAAATTAAATTTACCTACTGTGTAGAGAGGAGTATCTTTAAACATATTCTGTAATAATTTTCATAATTATTGCCTTGAATTTTGTGGCCGTGTAACACAAACACAATCTACCTAATTATATAGTTTATTATGTACAAATGGATAAATCAATAATCATGTAAGCCTATAGAAAACTTGTAAAAAAGAAATAACTAAGTCCAATCAAGGTCAATAATTTCAAGGTCTAACCGCTGAAATCAATTATACTTACTAGACTTTTAAGTCTTATTCTATTTTATTTTACATATAAAAATACCTTTTGTTCATATCAGTCACATCGTTACATTAATGTAAATTACCGACCTACAGTTATAATGCAAATGCTATGCTAATATTACATACCTAAGCGTACGAACTTATATTTTTTAATACTGATTTTTCCCTATTTGACTCATAGAAATAGAAAAGTTCGTATTTTTGTACAAGTTACTTTAACTGAAATCCTTTAATTGCTTAATAACAGTTTATTATCGGCATCGTAATTTATCTACGTATTTTACTATCGCACGATATCTGGTAAGTGGCATAGCGTCTTTAAGCATTTGTCGGAATCGTACATCTTCTGAAAGAGCAATACAAAGATGTCTCGCATGTAGCCGCGCCTCGGGACTGGCATCGGCGAGTAATTCCCCGGCGGCACGCAGTATCACTGTCCGCGGTTCACTTGGAAGTTCGAGAACACGCACTGCACTATGATGTCGGACTAACCTAGTGAGGGCTTGCGCGGCAGCCGCTCGTACTGGACCCGCGCGATGATTTGCCCCTCGACGCGCAAGCGCTACACCCGCGCGTGCACAGCCTCCTCCGCAAGCTACTCGACCGAGTGCTGTAATCGCATCTGCACGAAGAAAACGGTTCACATCAGCGCATCGTTCTAGTAGCGCACTCGTAGCTTCTTCCATTTCAGGGTCTAAAGCACGACCGCGTTGCTCAAACAGAGTTCCAAGAGTGGAGCATGCAGCTCTAGCGACTCGCGAACGAAGAGAGCGCACGTGTAAAGCAACAGAGCGTGTGACCGCGCGCCAGCTGGCAGCCGGGGCTCGAGCACTTACATCGTTTGCTAATCGTTCAGTTTCTAGTAACCCATTTACAATGACTTCCCAGTCCTCATGTCGTTGGGGTACTATACATTCTGCGAGTGCGGTACGGACGTCACGTTCCAATGCTTTACTTTCAATGGGTTCGCTAGTTGGGTCGGGTGACGAATTCCCACTTCTCGTAGAAGCTATTGATTTAGTGCTCTTAGACCGATTAGACAATGGTGATGATTTCTCGCTGGATCGTTTGTCTTCAGACGCATCTACAGATTCTGAAATTTTTGCGTCTTGTCCAACTTCTTCTTTAGGAGAAGTATTGTCACTTTGTATGGAAATTTGTTCAACCGACGGCTCTGCACTAGGAATGGATTGATTATTATTTTCTGTGAGATCTTCAACATGTATAGAAGGCGTGCGTGACACTGAAACATGATCTACTTCATCTGTTTTGTTTTCGATGTCGGTGTTGTCCTCTATGTCTTTATCAATGTGGTCATCAGCTATGTTCTCTATGTTTTTTTCGATTTCTTCTAATTCTAGTTTTTCTATTGGCTCTTGAGGCGCACCGATATCACTTGAGTCCCTGTGAATTTAAAAATAAATATTTTGACCTCAGAAATTTAACAACTTTACTGATCATTTATTATCTCAGTTCGAACATACATATTAAAGCGTTAATTTATTTATGCAGTTTTTTATAAATTTCAATAATTTGATCTGTAGTAGGTACGTATAAAAATAATAAAATATAAAACTGTAGAGGTCGAATGTCTGTACATAGAAAAAATTTTACTAGAAACCAAGTCAGCGGGGGGACGGGGGGGGGGAGTTTGTATATGTAAGAAGAGAAATAGAAAAAATCGTGATTTTTTCCAAATTTTTTGTTTCTCTGTCTGTTTGCTAATCTCCGAAACAGATACATTTAAATGAAATTTCGCATGGTGGTACCTCATATCCCCGGTCAACATCTTAGATAATTTTCATCCCAGAAAATTAGAGTTCCCGTGGGATAGTTAAAAAAACTATAGTAACTTATACAGCTTAGTACACAAAAAGTACTGATTGATTTTAATGAAACTTTACAATAACATAGTTCATACATCAGAATAACAAATAGGCTACTTTATATTCCGAAATAATGTAAGGTTCCCGTGGGATAGATTTGTTTTTATTTGTCTACAGGCGAACCCGAGGGAAGCGAGGGTGAATCGCTTTTTTATATATTTTTATATATATCTAATAAAACAATCTTAGCATGTTCTAACATGTTATTCTCAACCAATTATAAAAGAGTATTGTCAATAATTATAAATGAGTGATAAGTAATTATCATCAGAAGAGAAATTACCGCGTATGTGGGGGAAGATCTGCTACTAAATCGGGAGCACTCGCGGGCTGTACGGCGGCGTGTCCGCAACAACACAAACGACGCATTACCGCCGCGGCGCCTCCTCGACTGACTACACCCTAAACACCTAACAGCAATCAATTGCCATGTACACTCGTGTTGATGAACTAACCCCTGCCTGCATATTATGTAAAACACTCACGAAATAGCTATCGAATCGCTATACAAGCAATTTTTGCGGAAAATCTGACTTATTTAGATAATTGTTTTGGATTTTGGAATATTGCCATGTTAGACTGAAAAATAACGTCAAACAATATTCGAAATCTTTTAGATCTAAACAAACATGTATTTAGATTTATTAAACCTTAATAATAATTAGGAAAGTGGAGCGATTGTACGATAGCATAAATAGGTCGCCTTTTAGCGCCTTGAATGGATTTCAACTATGGGTAATTTCTGTTTTTAAATGTAGGTTAACAGTGGCACGCAATTATATGTACGTATAGCTCGGGCACTTAACGGCACGTGTTGACCGCCAATGAACTTTTTCAGTCAGTCTATTAAAGGTAATCGAAGTTTCTATCGATACAAGCAATTTATTCACGAGGAAACGTTAGCGCCTATCGACCTATTGACCTAATTGAAACACATGTGACTAGAGACAGGCTTCAGGTGTACCGTAGTGTAGTAGCGATGCAATCCCCTTGCTAATATCCGTTGTTCTTTCCGTTGCTAAGGTACCGTCAAATGTTTGCTTCGTAAATGGAGGCGTTTTACGAGCTCCCTCAACTTGCTACTGACGTGTCAACATTTAGCTACTTATTCATGATATAGCGTAATAATGGTCTTACGCATTTTCTAGGAAATCGCGATAGGTGATTCTAGGAAATCTCGATTGATTCACAGTTTATAAAGAATTGTTATATTTTATACTAGCGGCTCACCCTCGCTTCGCTCGGGTTCGCCTCTAGAAAAACACTAATAGAGATCTATTAGTTACCACGGGAACCGTTCATTTTTCCGGGATGAAAAGTAACCTGCTGTTTGACCGGCAATATAGGGTATCAGAATGTTAAATTTTACTAAATTAAGTGCTTGAGTTGTTGTGTACTAAGCTGTATAAGTTACTATAGTTTTTTTACTATCCCACGGGAACTCTTTAATTTTCCGGGATGAAAAGTATCTAAGCTGTTGATCGGGGATATAAGGTAACCAACATGCAAAATTTCATTTAAATCGGTCCAACAGTTTCGAAGATTACCTCGTACAAACAAATAAACAGAGAAACAAAAAATTTGAAAAATTTTAATAACTTTTGTTTTGTGGTCTATGTTGTGTACATAATACGTTACAAATAAACAAAAACATCTATCCCACGGGAACCATATATTTTTCCGGGATAAAAAGTAACCTATTTGTTATTCTGATGTATGAACTATATTATTGTAAAGTTTCATTAAAATCCAATCAGTAGTTTTTGTGTACTAAGCTGTATAAGTTATTATAGTTTTTTAACTATCCCACGGGAACCATTGAATTTTCCGAGATAAAAAGTATCTAAGATGTTGCCTGGGGATATAAGGTATCACCATGCAAAATTTCATTTAAATCGGTCCAATAGATTCAGAGGTTAGCCCGTACAAACAGACAAACAGACAGAGAAACAAAAAAATTGAAAAAAATCTGGATTTGTTCTATTTGTCTTCTTACATCCCCCTGACTCGGTTTTTACTATTTTTTTGCTATATACAGACGTTCGACCTCTCCTGTTTTATTATAGTATAGATTATTGATTAATGATCAATAAACCTTATACACGTGTGTCATATAGGTTAATGTCATATACATACATAAAAGTACATGTTTATTAGCAATAAATTGAAGTCAAGAAAGGTAAAAACAATACGGACCAATTATTAAATAATAAATAAAATAAATATGTATGTTGGGACATTAACACACAGCACCATCTAGTTCTATGGTAAGCTACGACGCTTGGCCTGTGTTATGGATACCAGATAGTTGATACACTACACATAAATAACTTTATACACGAAATATAAACACCCGTGACTGGAGTGCAAACATTTCTGCTCATCACTCAAATGAATACCCCCAACGGAACTCGAACCCGCGACCGCTGGCACAGCAAGTACCACTGGGTCACTACAAACTGTGCTAAACTTGCCGACAAGTCGTATTGTAAATATTAAATTATAAATCTATTAATTAAATTTATCGATATTTGTAACTTGAAAGGAAATATTTAGCAATTAATTATATTAATGTTTTAGAGAACTAGTGTAATATACTTGATCTTTGAAAAAAAGTGCATTTATAAGAAGTAATGCTAATTAATCTTGAATTCAAGAATAATTACATAAACAACATTTTAAGCTATTCTGCAAATATTAAAATGGACAATAATACTATTTCCCTACTAAATCATATTTCACATCCAGCATTTAATATAACATGCTGACATTTTAATTTATATCATAATCTCCTTGATTTTATGAGCATTTCATGTCTGCCTCCTTTTGTTAAATATTAAGCAGACCGCTGGTTTATATGGTTGTAGATGTTGTGGACCACTAGATGCATTTAGGCTAACCTTTTTCGAATGATTTGTAATTAAATATGCCTTCTTTTACATTCTATGCACTACCGTTCTTATTTACGTTATGGGTGTACCCACCCTTCAAACACATTTGAAGAAAAGAATAACATACTAAGTCAAACCTTGGCATCGTTACAATATCTAAACTATTATTTATTGCCCTTACAAAATCTTGGCTTTATGTTCTGATGTGCGTCATTTCAGTGTCAACAGAATAGAAGAAAACAATAGATTGTTTAAGTTAAGCAATATTTTTAAGTATGTAGCTAACAGTTATACTACGCTTAGATATCATTTGATTAAAAAATAATTAGATGTAGGCATTTATTTTAAATTATACCAAATAATATAAAACCGTTTAGTAATAATATCACTCGAAATCGGAAAGTATCCATTTCGCCCAGTTCTTGCAACGTAGCAGATTATGCAAAAACACGCAGACTAAACTGCATAAATAAGTTTGTATTTAATATGAAAACTTACCTTTCAATTAATATCGCAGGCGACACAGGATTTAACAGAAAATCTCGACCTGGCTGCGATATACCTAGCATATAAAAGTTTATTAGTAAGTCACAATATATAGCAAAAATATATATTTTTGAGATATTTAACCGAAGAAAAAATCATTTACAATAGATACTTAATCAGATATTTTCGAAGTCGGTGTCCTTCAATTTGTATCGGCTGGCAATCGGCAATATGCGATTAGGTATCTATAGCTATACTAATATTATAAAGAGGTAAAGTTTGTGAATTGCGAGTTTGTGAGTTTGTGACGTTGTAAGGGTCTACTGAACTGATTTAGATGAAATTTGGTAAGAATATAGTTTATATGAAACCCTGGGAAGGACATAGGATACTTTTTATTCCGGAAATCATCCCTTAAGGGGGTGAAAATGGGGATGAAAGTTTGTATTGGGAAGCAAGTTAGAGACGAACCCGAGCGAAGCAAGGGTGAGTCGCTAGTATTATATGTAGTACTTAAATGAAAAGTACCAATCAGTTATTTTTTACTTTTTAGTGCTTTCTTGAAGTAGATTTTAATTTTTCTTATGATTGTGTCTTGTGTATGTTCTTTGAACGTGTAACTTCTATCTAAACCATATCAATTAGGTGTGAATCATCTCTATATGGTATCCATTTAACGATGATCCGGTGACCTTAAAAAGCAAGGAAGCCTTTTGCGTTGTATTAAATGTCTAAAAAATATTAATGTACATCAGTAGGTATCTAAGTAATTAATTTTCCTTTATAATTTTTATATAAATAGTTTTAATTAAATCAATAAAATCGCAGTTTTTGTATGTGTGTGCTTGTTACTTCTTCACGGATTTGAATAAAATTCGAAATGACTTTTATTCCTGATTAACACATATAATTCTTTTTATCGACGTATTATTCGTAAAAAAAACTTATTATTATTAGTAGTATTAATGTATTTATTTTTTTAATAAAAAGGTAAAGGATATGTGTGTTAAAGGTGTGTGTGCTGAAATAACGACTGATAAAGGGGATTGGAAGAAGAAAAATGTTGTGTCGATCCCACGTAGCGTGGGATAAGGACACCCCCCCCCCCCCCCCAACGTGCGTTCACCTTGTCGTGGTGGGGGAGCTCAGTAGTGCCCGGCAACCCAACCGGGCGCGAAGCTAAGAAACGCACAGTGAGGTTGCCCACTTCGGTGGGCGGTGGGAGGTGGCCCTCTTCGGGGGGCGGTGTACCATGCGGGTTGCTCCTGGTACTTTTCTGATAGCAGAGTGGACCTTGGAGCAACCCCATGGTTGTGGTGGTCTGCTTCGGCAGACCTGCCGTCGGGGCGTCGTAGTTGAATGCGTAAGCGATCCTGCGACGCCCCATTAAGACGGGGGAAGGTTTTGTTGGATTTTAGTGGGTAGTACTGGCTGTATTACGCCGATGAGTCCCACACGTCGTGCGTAAATGCATTTCCCAACGTTAAAAAAAAAAGCGTGGGATAAGGACAAGGACAAGGAATAGAGAAAAGAGTATTTTTATTAAATATTCTATATAGGTACTCGGCAGTGGTGCAGAGTCAGGTAAAGGTCTCAGTCTGCGTGGTGGTGGCGCTGCCGCAGGTGTAGATCGCGCTCTCCGACGCGCTGGTACTGGCAGTTGTGACATTCTGGGAAAAGTTCACTTAGTTATAAGTTATATACCTATATAAGTATATTTTTTTTACATTTATATTAATTAGGTACCTTCGCTTCGCTTTGACGTGTCCTTTGATGCCTAAAGGCTGGTTTAGACTAAGACACTAAACAGGGTATACTCAGTGTGTAGACCGAGTGTCTCGTACCGTGTATAGTGTCTTAGTCTAAACGTGCTTTAAGAGTAACAATGTAGAATGTGTACTCCAAGCCACAATTTATCTGTACACTCATTCAAATTAATCCAGCGGTATCAGCGTAGAGAAGTAACAGTAAATAGACATACACACACATACATACTTTTGCATTTATAATAGTGCGAAAATATATTTTAACTGTATTTCTGTCATAGCAGCCAATCACTTTTTACACAAAGGCTTAACGATCTATACAAAAGACATAGAGTTTGTGCAAACACAAGTGCAATGTCTATTCCCTCAATATTATAGATACATAGAGCGGCAACTCTTTGCTCTCAAACAGTTGGGGTTGTAACACCGTTACTGTGTGCCTCCGTGGTGTAGTGGCTAGCATGTACGGCTGCACACCCGGAGGTCCTGGGTTCGAGTCCCGGGTCGGGCCAAGTTTAGTTATTGAGTCTTTCTGTATAAGTAAGCCTCAGTAACAGCCCGGAGTTGGGAAGTTGGCGGTGTTTCACCCCCGTGCCTCGGAGAGCACGTAAAGCCGTCGGTCCTGCGCCTTAACTCTCACTGGTCGTGTCGAGCAGTCGTCCCACCGGAATATGAGAGTGACAGGAATAGAGAGTGCACTTGTGTCTGCGCGTACACTTGTGCACTATAATATCTCCTGCGCAGTTGGCTAGTTTCAAGGTCGGGAGAACATCATCACATCATCATCATTGTGGCGAGACTTCCTTTTATGAGGGTACCGATTTGGGACTTGAACCTCGGGTATTATGATATGCCTGATGCCTTTTAAATTAAAGCCAAGCCGGCTGAATAAACTAACCACCAGATTATTACTTTAGTAAAGTAGATAAGTAAACAGCCACTTGGAAAGTTGTTCTAAAACTTATTAATGGTAAATCATTTATTATTATTATAATTACGTTTTTATTTCAATCATTACCTGCCAACATGATTTGTTCTAAAATTTTCCATTGGCCTGTTGAGTCGTTCTCGAAGCTGTAAATAATTTATTTCATAATATTTTCCTGAAATTTCATGAAGTACATTTACAAAGTTATGATATTAATAACGATATCGCGTGTTTCCATTGAATTTTTGTAGTTATATAAACGGCATTATTATAATTTACTATCTAGACTGTTTTAGTACTCGAAACAAATGAGTACAAATGATATCTTTAATCTTAGACTTAATTATTGTAATATGTATTTAATACCTACTAATTAATATTTCAGCATACATGATATTTCTTCACGTACATATATTTAAAATATTGTAAGGCAAAAACAAATAAAGCGAATGTTATCTATGGAAAAACAAATCCCATTTTTTTAAAACGCTTTTAAATATAGTTTTTTTATCTATTACACAAGTGAATGACCTTGTTACAAAAGATATCAGCATGTGGAGAGTCCTCCAATCGTCTCCGTACAGCTGCCAGCACGGCGGCAGGCCCAGCCGCCCGCGCTAGGCATAGTGCAACGCGAAGTTGATCGCTCTCTGAATCCTATAATAAAATATTAACGCGTAACGGTCTCACCATATCTATCCACACGACTACTTTTCAACCCGCCGTCGATGTGACCCTTCTTATCAAGGAAACTAACAAATTGACAATAGAATTTGTTTACATTTAATATGAGATTATAGAACTTATAGGTTTAGTACTTAATATGTAATTTTAAGTAACAAAGTACTTATATAAAGCTAAAATAATTATTTGTTTGAATGCACTGATCTTTTCGCTACCTCTATTGCACTTACAACCTATTTAGTGATTTTATAGCCTATTTAAAGCTACGACCCAAGGAGCGGGCAAAAGAAGCTTACATTTTTCCACCGTCATCAACTCACCCCTATGATATCAGGGTCAAAAATCAATTCGACCAGATGATGTAGGGCCATTCGTTGTAATAAAGCGTGCGGTAGTGCGGTAGAAGGTGGATCTCTTGCCAACCGCTTCATCAAAGCAGGTAGAAGTTGTCGTACACAGTTAGCGCTGCAGCTACGTACTAACGCACACACAGCGCCTTCGGCTGGTGCTCGTGCTGCTGATACCTGTAATATTTCTTTGATTGTTATTGAAATATTAGAAATGTAGCTTAATTTTTTTTTCATATAATATTTTATTAGAAAACAGTGTCATATAAACTGGACCGCAAAGAAAAAGGGTCTGTTAAAAAATCTTCAATATCTTCAAAACTACCTGACCTAGCTTTGTGAAATAAAGACTAAATTAAAGAATATTTCAATGTGCTTAAAAGAAAAAAAAAATAACTCTTGAAATGAAATCTTGAAAATAGGCAAACACTATCTGAGCTGTTGCGGGCGGGTATTCTTGCATAAAAACGGCATTCTTGCCCATGTCCACTTAAAAATGGACCAACGTAGTCATTCAGAATTTCTTCATATCTTTAAAGTTAAAGTTCCATTTTCTATCACCACTAGCTCAGAGCCTCCACCGTATGGTACTTTTTCTTCTATACAGGCTTGGTTATAGCGCTCTCCCGGCATAAACAGAATCTAGACTCGTCTTTTCAGACGATTCAGAATGACTGGTCAAGAGTTATGTTTTCACATAACTCTTGACCAGTCATTCAGAGTCCAATTCTCGTGTTCTCTTCCATAACTCAATCTTGAATGTCTCAGTTGTCTTTCTAGTTTTGGGCCATTTGCAGGTCTTAATGGCTTTAAATTGGCTTCAGCCAAACGCTGCCTTACTGTATCCGTACTCAAATTGTTTACTCCAATTCTTAAATGATGATTCTTTATTTCAACAGCCGTAAGAAAGCAATGTTTTTTTTTAGAAAAAAGGGGCAAACGAGCAAACGATCCACCTGATGGTAAGTGAGAACACAAGAGGAGTTGCGAATGCGTTGCCGACCTTTAAGGTACCTGAAGATACAGCTCTTGAAGACCCCCAAGTTATAGCGCTCAAGGAAAACCTCAGGAGGAAGATCATGCCACATTTTGCACGTGCGAGGTAAAATTTCTCAAAATTGTTGACACCATATAGCAATCCTCCCGCGCCGTCGTAAACCTTTTTTGGCTTGTTCCTGGTCTTCGAAGATTTGATACAGTTTCATAGAAACGCTGGAGTACTCGTTTAACTGTAGAGTCACACCAACAGTTCTCCTTATATTTCGCTGACTGTGCCCGTCTTCAAGCATTGTCAGGATCCTGGGATCCATTCTTTAGGGGTTAACGACATGATGACTTCAGAAAAATAAAGTTTATAAGGCAGAGACAACATATTTATAACATTTTTATTACAAAACTGAAACAAACGCGAAACAATTGATATGATTTTTTTGGTACTAAATTCAAAAACGACCATTATTTTACATTTTCAGTTTTTTATAAAAAGGTTTTATATACTAGGGCATCGCCCGCGTTCAGATAACCAAAAACCAAATTCTAAGGTTTTACATATTAGTATACTCTTACATTTCAGTTTTGTATTTTTTCATAGAAATGAGATAATTTCCCGCGGTTAACAGCATCCTATATGTTGACCCGGATTACCAGCTATAACCATACCAAATTTCATCAAAATCCCTCCAGTGATTTTTCTGTGATGCTGTAACAGCAGACAGACAGACAGACAGACAGACAGACAGACAGACAGACAGACGGACAGACAGACAAAAAATCTAAAAACTATAGATTTGGCCTCTGTATCGATAATAATGTTTATTTCAAAAAATATTTAATGTACAGATTCGGCTTAGTTACAATTTTATTATATGTGTAGAATGCAATTTTATTTTATGTGGCATTAAATATTCTTTAATTTATTCTTAATTTCATAAAGGTAGGTCAGGTACTTTTGAAGATATTGAAGATTTTTTAATCGACCCTTTTTCTTTGCGGTCCAGGTTATTTGTTACAGACTACACTTTACAGTAATAAATGTCTATTTACTTAAAACGTATGTTGTTGTTATTCAAAATGTTTTAAAGATAATATTGTTACATATACCTATACATTGTAATAAATAAATAAATCATAAATATGAAATCTTCTAATATGAAATAAATTAAACAAGCAACATATTTACTTATATACATAGTTATTACGTATTATTTGAGAAGCTTACTACATTTCAAATATTTGTTCACGTTTGATTCCGACTACGTATTTGCCTTATCCACATGTCCTATCCTTTGTGTCGATGAAACTTAGTTTCGCCTGCACTTTTAAGATATATTGTACCATAACATTTTAATTGATACACTAAGATATTCCCGGTCCTTATTTTATGTAAGAAAACTGAGTAAATTAGTTACCCTTACTGTTGTTGTGTTTATATCTTAGAGCTTGAGTGACCGAGCTTCATTCGGCGTTTTGTCGGACAAGATTTGATTTTGGATAAAAATTGCGTTTTTTTTTTCAGAAAAATCACCTAGGTATATAGAAAAATTTAAAAAGAAAAAACTTTATTAAATACAAAATTTGATCCAAATCGTTAGTCGTTTCCAAAATCCACAAAATTATTATATATATATATATATATATATATATATATATATATACACATATAAGAATTGTGCATTTAATATTATAAGATTAGACTACGATCAACTGCCTCCATTAGTACGAAAACAAGGACAAACAAACAACTACATTTCGCATTCGCATAATAATATAGAATGGCTTTCTCACCGCATCGCTCAGGGCCCACATATGCTGCACAAAGGATATAACAGCGGATTCTAGTTTCTTCACATTGTCAGTGTCCAAGAGGATGCTATGGAGATGATCCGCTGCTTTTACTGCTGCTATCCAGTTTTCCTATTTAGACAGATAAATTGTACATATTGTAGATAGTTTGCCAACCCGCTCTTGGCCAACATGGTGGACTATGGCCTGATCCCCCTCCTATTGAAGGGAGGCCCGTGTCCAGCAATAAGACGGTAAAATAGCTAAATACATTGTATGGTCTTTGTCAATATATATACTAGCAGAACCCGCCGACTTCGCTCGCGCTAAAACTACAAAAAAACTCTAAAAAGGTAGCTTCATACAAATTTTCATCCTTAATTTTACCTCCTTATGGGATGAATTTGAAAAATGCTAAAACACGTATTTTTTTTTTGAACAGCATTAAGTTTTAAGTAATTCTGATCATAAATATATTTTTTTAATGGTATTATAACTTGTTTTCCCGTGAGAATAAGATGATCTCCCGCGATAAAAAGTATGTAAAGTATGTATGAAAGTATGCCTATGTCACTCTCCAGCCCTCCAACTATCTCCACATAAAAAATCACGCCAATCTGTCACTCCGTTTCGACGTGAAAGAAAGACAAAAAAACAAACAAACAAACAAACACACTTTCACATTTATAATATTAATTTGGCTTTTAGTAGCCATTCAAATATCATATTATCTTCATATTTATAATATGTATGTATTTAAAGTTATAGGTAGTATATATGTGTAGTGTATTAACTATCTGGTATCCATAACACAAGTCTCGTAGCTTACCATGGAACTAGACGGTGTTGTGTGTTAATGTCCCAATATATGTATAATCTTAATCAAATTATAACGAAGAAAGTCTCAATTTTGGAATCTAAATTATTGTAATAATTATATTTAATATTTACATGTACATTAATACAATTCAAGAACCGATTTACAAGAAAATGGTGTAGATTATAGGTGAAAAGTAGAGCTAGGTAAGACTTTAAGCTAGGAGTTTACACATAGCCTATTAAAAGCGAAAGTGTCCTTCCGAAAAGTGATGTTACTCACCAAAAATTAGTTGGTCAAGGGCGTATATATTAAGGGGTCGTATGAATATTCATTTATTCCTTTGATTGTGTTATCCAAACTACAAGGTGAATAATAAAGATGAAAGCTAACGCTATTAACCCTTATTTTTTAACCTAAATTATAAAACATACACGATATAAAAATAACTTGCATCATAAATTTAATTTAATTTATATTTAATCTAATTTAGATTGATTACATGATAAGTCTATTCTAAAAATACACTTAAAGAAAAATATTTTAGGATATTTCATTTTAACAGTATTCACCTACTTACAAACGTAACGTAACATGCTAACATACACTACTCACGCTATTATTGATGAAGCTATAAGGGGATCTTGAAGCCTGAATTGTTACTGTACCGTGTTATGTAATTGAGCGGCGACATGTCTTGGTATGATTTCCAATTCTTCCCAGTCGTAGTGCCTTCGTAATGGCGATGGTGGTCGAGGTGAGAGCATGTTGCTGTCATGAGTCGTCGACACCAGATTCAAGATGAATCTGTACATATACAAACATACCGCATGATAAATGAATTAAGCGATTTTTTTATAGAAAATATGTAATTGTCGGATTCGGACACGAGTAAGAAATAACTGAACGAGGTTTTTTATTTAAAAACATATATCAGGTATTTTTTAAGTGAATGCCAGCCGATATAAACTACGTGAAAATTAAAAAAAAACATTGCTTTAAGATAGTTCTTCTCTTCACCTCCTTTTCTGAAGTCGGTTAAAAAAAACAAATTAATTTGAAAAAAGACAATTAAAATATAGTTTCTTAAAATAGATTTTAAAAAACACTATTGATTCTCTGTCAATAGATTTAAGTTAAATATTAGGTGTTGTTAGTAAGTAACAACTCTGCAAAACAACTCTACAAAAAGAGCCTCTAACGGAAAAAACCTCAACTGTTGCTCTTTTTTTTAAAAAAAATATTATTTACGATTTTAATATATCTACACAATTGTGATAATTATACTCATTCATTCATTATTATTAACTACGCGTGACAACTTCGTGTATTAATAACCACTCAGATTAGTACTAATGTAAATTTAATCCCGCGCTGAACAAAATGATATACTTTGTTTAATAATCTTATGTATATGTATTTCTATTTTTAAATTTAAATTTGTTTAATTTTCAAGTTAAATTTAATTACAAAACATTGAACAAATAAAATATTACAAGATACATATAATATTGGGACTCAATCGTTACTATCCCGAGTAAAGTAATGATCCTATTCCTTTTCCTAGTACCAAATATTGAGATTTGTATGTTTAAAAGCAAAGTATTTAAATATTCTACGTAATGATTATAAGCTCCTGAATGATTTTGTGGTCATGGGCAGCCATTATATATCAGAGGACTATATAAATAAAATGTAGGATTAGCTCAAAATTCATTAGTATGATTATAATATATATAATATATGACATTAGATCGGTTATTTAGGATGGTGAAAAGATTACAATATAAATGTGAACGAATTTATATATGGTGAGATACCAGATCTTATTTTAAATTGCAATTTTTGATTCTTACAAGTTATAGTACATACAGTATGAGGGAGTTTTCTTAGGTAATTGAAATCTCATGGTATATGCTAACAGATCCAAGACCACCCAGGTTGTGAAGGAGAAAATTGAGCGCTACCTTATCAAAATTCAGCCTTTTTGCAAAATATACTAAATAATATCGACAAATATTGCATATTTTGTAATAAAGCATTGTGTACATAATACGTACGTTTAAATCACGAAGCCTTTTGTACTCTATGAAATAATAATAGAAATACAATTTTTAACTAAAATATGTTTTACATTTTACTTCTTATGTTTGGGATTCTCTATAAACGTCACAATTTCATACGTCACGTTCTAATTAAATATTTAGAATTTTTGCAAATAAAAGTTTGTTGAAGTAGTTTTATTATTATTGTGTGTTTTGAAATAGTTCAGCAGTTGGTAGTTATCTTATTTATTTATAAAAATAGTAGGTGTTAAGTATGGGATTTTAATTTTATTGCTCAGTATTAGATTGAAAGCTGTTGTAAATATTGACACGTTAAATGTATTTCTAAATAATTGAATAATATAGAAATTTGAAGATAGTGGATAATACTTACCTGTCGTGATCAAGACTAATACGTGTTTGCTGTCTGCGAGGAGAAGGCGTGGGGCTTCTTTGTAAATTATGTAACACTTCTACTTCTCTGTGAGGCTCTACTGGACTAGGCACTTTGTCAGGGGACCGCATTTCCACAAGAGTTAATGCGAATCCGGACGATTTACTATTAACGTCGTTTTTATTACTAAAATAGTCATACAATTCACTTAAAGATTTCGATTTTAATTTCACTTTGTTTTGTTTCATAAAACTTTTTGAACTTTTACTGGTTATTATTGGAAGTGGAATACCGCTTTTCTTATTTAAGAAGTGATTTTCCCTTTCGTCCGCTTCTCGTTTTATGTCATTCATTTTATTTAATAATGGCGGAGTTTCTGGTATTACCTCTTTTATGCTAGATTTGTCTAATATCGCTCGACCACGATTCATTTTTTTTTCCTCTTCGCTAGTATTAATATTGTCACTGTCTGGAGTCCGAATTTTCACACTCTCACCGCCGAATCGCACTCGTTTAACAACTACATCAGAATCTTCTTCAGTGTCTCTGTCACTATATTTTAAAATAAGACGATCTGAACTATCGTAGTCTTCATCGCTAGCAACTTTTTCTGATTCAGTTTCATTTTGCTCTAGTACAGTCATTGTGATTGCTGTATCAGAATCAAATTTAATTTCGGTTTCAATTATTACTTTAGCATAGTTATTGTTATTAAAAGGTATTCTATAAGAATCATCGGACGAGGAGTCAGTAGATAAATATATAGGATTCGCCAGATGATTGTTAAATACGCGATTAATGTGTACAATAGGCTGGCGTGTTTTTCTCGGAGCGTAATAAACATCTTGCGAATCTTCGTCGTACATTTCACACAAAACACGGAATTTATCTTGAATTCTTGAATCTAATTGCGAGAATAGCATCATATATTGCCTCGGTCCACATAGCTTACGCAGCTTCATTAGAGATCGTAGAGCAACATCTTGATGCATGCTATCAAAAAGTTTTTCTCCTAAAATTTGGAACGCAGGAAGTACATCTAAATCGGGATCTCTTCGTTTTAGAATACTAATTAAAGAAGGTATGGAGAGTATTAATCCCGTAACTATGTTTATTCGAGTATCAACATCACTTGTATGTGGCCTAATATTATTATAAGAAAACTTATCAATTATAGCTCTCGCCGCACACTCAGGATCTTCACAGTGATAACAAAAAACTTTAAGCGCATCCAACGCGGCTTTGCGAACATTTGGCGAGTTGTGTCCAAGATTATCGATAACTTGATCGAATGGAAAGGAGAGTGCATTACCGGACAGTGGGAGTAGATCAGCTAGAACTCTTAAGGCGTGTAATCGCACTTCCCACTCAGGATGTGATAGGCGGTCCTTGATGGCGATATACAATAATTGGACATCAAGATCAGGTGGCAAGGCCCGAGCTCGTAGAATTCGATCCCATAGAGGAGCGAGTGGTGGCGGCGGTTCGGGCAGTTGCATGGCGGTGGACTGAATCGCGTGCCCGGCGACGCCGCCGACACACAACTGGGTTAATGATCGGACAAAGCACGCCAGCCGCCCCTGACCAATCGATGCAAGTATATGTGCGCTTCGTATAAGCCTACGCTTAAATGTTGCGTGGAAATCCCAGTACTAAATCTACTTCATTTTTTTCACATAAAACGTAGGCAACCTGTCTAGGTTTTAGAAATTTTATTATATTCATATGGATATATTCAATCTCTTTATGAGGTAGGTAATTTCAATAATTTTACAATATTAAAATTAACCTGTTTGCCGGTGTGTTGATTATTACGTAGCGATATATTTTTTTATAATATTTCTCTTCCAAGATAGACAGATAGAATATAATATTGATCTTTCATTCAACGATTCAATGACATAAGTCCGTCTAATATTTATACCAAAAAACAAAATCTAATACTATTTGGTGTGGTGATTCAAAAATGCCAGCGCAAAATCGAGCTCGAACTCACTGCGTTGGCAAGCGGCAGTATTTTGTTACATTAACTCGCTTCATTACAACACCTCAATTTTAAATAATATTTTCAGTGCAAGTATATGGAATGACGTACCTATCGATTAAACCTTTTTTTTTTAACGTTGGGAAATGCATTTACGCACGAGGTGTGGGACTCACCGGCAAAGCCAGTACTACCCACTAAAACCCAACAAAACCTTCCCCCGTCTTAATGGGGCGTCGCAGGATCGCTTACGCATTCAACTACGACGCCCCGACGGCAGGTCTGCCGAGGCAGACCACAACGACCATGGGGTTGCTCCAAAGTCCACTCTGCTATCAGAGAAGTACCAGGAGCAACCCGCATGGTACACCGCCCTCCGAAGAGGGCCACCTCCCTCCGCCCACCGAAGGCAGCCACCTCCCTGTGCGTTTCTTGGCTTCGCGCCCGGCTGTATTGCCGGGCACTACTGAGACCCCCCCCCCACGACAAGGTGAACGCACGTTGGGGGGGACCTATCGATTAAACCTAAGTGAACTTGCAAGTATTTTGATAAGGATTACCTAATTAACAAATAACATATTATTACTCTTGTCCGGGTCGTCTATTATATGTACTTACATAATGCCGAGTAAGCCTCAGCATCTAGATAGCAGATAACGTGAAGGACCAATGAACTTCTTATCAAAATGTTAAAATAAACTAAAAAAAGAGTGAAATTCGTTTTTATTAATGCAATAGCTATTTTTATTAAATAAGTACTATAACTCCCAATTGGTATTTTAGAGCTTACAAATCTAATTTATATAGTACTAGCAGAACCCGCGGCTTCGCTCGTGCTAAAAATACAAAAAAAACTCTAAAGAGGTAGTTTTCATACAAACTTTCATTCCGCATAAGATGAATTTCGAAAAATACTAAAACACGTATTTATTTAATTTTAAAGTTGTATTATAACGTGTTTTTCCGTGGGAATGAGATAATCTCCCGCGGTCGAAAGTAGCCTATGTCACTCTCCGGCCCTCCAACTATTTCCACACAAAAAATCACGCCAATCCGTCGCTCCGTTTCGACGTGAAAGAAGGCCAAACAAACAAACAAAAAAACAAACAAACACACTTTCACATTTATAATATTAGTAAGTATGGATGACAATAATATGACGTATTCTATAAGAGCTCTAATGATTTCAGAGATTTACCATTGGCTAATAAAACAGTAGGTCAAAAAAAATAAAAGTCATATTTTAATTTTTTTTTTTATAATCGTAGTTTTATTGCTTAGTCTAGTAAAACATATACTAGGTATAGATAAGTATATCTCAATTATTGTCATTTAGTACAATATATTCACTAAGGCATAGTAACATTTAGCCGGTCATAACCTAAATCTAGTACAAACGACCCACATCACGATATATCGATTGAAAAATTAGTTCTTTTAATAATTTATTACACAACGTTGTTAGGCTCGTCGCTAGTGAAGCCAAAATTGTCTTGTTCTTTAGATTTTTTCATTTCCGTCACATCTTTTGCAGTGGCAACACTTTTTGAGATTTGTTCTATAGTGTCGTACAGCGGCAAATGCCTAGTTTCCGGCACTAACGTGATCAGAGCACTGGATATAACAGCGGCTATGCCAAAAGTAATTGGCGCAAGAACTGAGGATATTGATGTCTGAAATTATATATACAAATTAGATCTAATATTATACATGTGAAAGGAGTTTGTAATTCTAATCTATTACTGAAAAAAAAATTGTTTTTCTGTTATCTTCCCACATTTAAACGACTGGACAGGTTTCGATCAAGTTGGTCAAACACATAGATTGCATCATGAAAAGTGTTAATACACCAAAATTTTATATATATATAGTTTTCGCTCAAGGCTCCGCTCGATACATCGATGAAAATAAGTTGTTCATTTCGAATTTCACTTCCGTTAAGCCATTACAGGGTGAAAAAGTAACACAGTCACTCACTAATAATGCGTTTGTAATATAAGTGTGCTACATACCAACATAGGCGTGAGTAGACCCAGCATGACGCCGCCACTATACGCCATCGTGCATAGCCCAAGCACAGTTCCTCGGACACTCGTGGGAAATAGTTCCATTGTATATGTTACTATGCCAGTGAAACATGCGGATGCTATGAGTTTTCCAGCTAGGAAGAAGGTTATTTTAACCCATCGATATGCTGTAAAAAGATGTAAAGTTATATATAAACTAGCGACTCACCCTTGCTTCGCTCGGGTTCATCCCTAGGTTGATTCCCCATACAAACTTTTATCCCCATTTTCATCCCTTTAAGGGATGATTTCCGGGATAAAAAGCACCCTATGCCCTTTCCAGGGTTTCAAAGTATCTTCTTACCAATTTTCATCTAAATCGGTTCAGTAGAACTAGAGATTACCCCCTACAACGTCACATACTCACAAACTCACAATTCACAAACTTTACCTCTTTATAATATTAGTATAGATATAGCTATATACTTAGATGGAGCATAAGCTTTCGTCTACGGTTTTGCTGACAATATTCATCTATAAAAATAGCGTAATTATTACAATGATACGGCAGGCAATGACTTGCGTCTCTTAAAATTTTTAGAATTGATTTAGTTTTCAGTTCTTGAGGTTAATCAAATATACAAACACAATATAACTTTGCTTTGTATTTTTATTAATTACTTACATTCTGGAACAAATCCATACGCTACACACATTAACCCACAGAATGTGTATCCATACACAAGTGGTAATTTTCTACCAATTTTATTCATCAAGTATAAAGACAACAGTTCTCCGGGAAACGACATGATAGCTCCCAGTAGAAAGTATACGTATTTGTTTCCTGGCAACCATACAGAATTCGCGACAAGACCGTAGTAAATATAAGAAATAGCTATTCGTGTTACAAATGCCACTACGAGTCGTTTAAGACTTTCTGTACAAATGAACAAGTCTTTCAAGCCCTCTTTCTTCCCATCAATGCTAATATTATAGGCTTGTTTCAAAGTGTTTTTATTTAACTTCTCTAAGTCTTCGATTTTTATGTTTATTTTATTCATTTTCACCATTCGTTTCAGGACGTTTATTGCTTGAACCTCTTTTCCATTTAAGATCAGCCATCGAGGGCTTTCATGCGTAATTACTATATAACTGAGGAATAATAGTGGTGGAGTGCATAATATATGAATGAGATACTTCCAATAAGGTACGAGCAAAGCAATGATGGCGAAAAGCGCTTCACCCATGTAAATTGCGTATGCAAACAGAACTCCCGCAAGCATTCTGTTTTCTGTATTTCCAATTTCTATCACTGAAAGAAAATTTAAAATCATTTATATACGTAATGTCATCATAAAAGTATATGAAAATTAATACATTCGACTAGTAGGTATCAAAGTGATTTTTCATAGAAAGCATCGTTTTTGCCATAATCTATAATATAAAAATGAATCGCTGAATATGTTGGTAAGCGCAAATCTCGACAGCAGCTGAACCGATTTCGCCAATTCTTTTTTTAGAATATTCCTTGAAGTACGAGGATGGTTCTCAGTGAGAGAAAAATTCTAAAAACAACACTTTTCTATACTCCCATACAAAAGATTCGTAATAATACTTAAAAGTCAATTTGAACTTTAATACCATACCATAAAGTTTAAGTGTTCGTGGAGAGGTTCCGGGAAGGCAAAAGAATTGAGTGACGCTAGTATCGTATAAATATTAATGTCAATATTTGTCAATATTTATACGATGGACGATGGTAACATTACTCAAAAACAAATCTATACAGATAAATTAATAATTGAATTGTCTGTTTGAAATGTCAAAATAACAGCTTTTTACTAAATGCATATGAATGTATACACGATACTTATGCCAAAACAACATTTTTTACAATTTTTGTCTGTCTGTCTGTCTATTTGTTCCGGCTAATCTCTGAAATGGCTAAGCTGATTTTGACGGGACTTTTACTGGCAGATAGCTGATGTAATAAGGAGTAACTTGGGCTACTTTTATTTTAGAAAAAAAATAGGGTCCCCACGAAAAAAAAACCAATGAAAATTTAATAATATCCGATTCAAATAGGGAAGTATGTATACTACATACCCTATATAATTTTATTAATAGATCTTAAGAATGTATTAAAATTTAAAACCTACTTAATATACTTGACGTAGCTGATGCGCCTCCAGAAACAGTGGCTTCAAGGAATTCTAAAAAAATGTAAACAGGATACGATGTAGCGAGGGTCTTTAAGTTTCCAACAACGCATCCAACGGCACAGATGATTAGAGTTGGTTTTCGTCCTATTCTGGGGATAAAAGATAATAATTTACTAATGGCCAACCCATCTAAATTACCACCTATGTTCATTGCTAGACAGTAGACATATCTTCGTAAAGATGTCTTTGCAAAACTATGACTGATTCCTTATAGTCATTGATATTAATTTGATGTTTGAAGAAAATACAGTAAGAGCTAAAACGATTATACGAACGTTAACTATAAAAATAATGTAGAACATATTCAACAAATGCTTAAGGCCACATACTTAGTAACATTTATTTCTATTTGTATTTTATTATGTTTTATGGGTAAGATTAGAATAGTGTTGATATAATTATTTCTTGATGTTGATGTTATCTGATAATGTACATATTAACAAATGGAAATCTTTATGATATAAAATTAAATAAGACACGTTTATACCAATTAAATTTATAACTTTCAGAACTGCTCATGTAGTAACTTACCGGTCTGCCAACCAACCAGCAATCATCATAGCAATGCCCATCCCGAAACTGTGGATTACACCTACAAAGCTTCTTTGCCAGGGCTGGCATGCCAAGTTAAGCTAAAGGAAATAATAAAAATCTATAAAAAACTTTTGTATATATAATAATTCTATTATTATATATATAAAAGTTTGTATGGGTGTGTATGTTTGTTACTTCTTAATGCTGTAATGGCTGGACGGATTTGATTGAAATTTAATATAAAGTAAGACTATTACCTGAAGCTTAAGAATTTTCTCTCGTACTAAGGGGAGGCTCGTACCCAGCAGTGGGCCGTAAAAAGGGCTGAATACATATATTCATATTACCTGAAGCAACACTTAAGTTACTCTTGGGCACTTAAGGACTCACCCGAGCAAAGCGAGGGCTTATCCTAGCGATCTATCGCTATAATTAATTTTACTTTAGCGACTTATTGCTAGTAAAAAAATAGTGTTTATACATTGAAATTATAAAGATACCAGTTATACTAAGTAATTTTAACAGCAGTCTCCTGTACCTAATAAAGCAATATGACGGGGCACTTTAGTGAGATGAGGGTGCGAGCCAATATTTAAATTATATAAAACTAATGGCAAGAACTCTCTTCGAACTTCGAAACACATCGTTTTCATGTATGGCAATATACCTAGAGTCAATATAAAACTTATGAAATACCTACTGAAATAAAAGTAGCCTATGCCATCTTTAGGTTATTCAACCAAGTAGAACACAAAATATTACGCTAATACGTACTCGTAGTTTAACTGCTGCGTGAAATAATAAAAAAACAATGAAACCATTTATGCGTTTGTAAATACTAAACTATTTAAAAGTGATAATAATATTTGATATATCTTTTCGATGGAGTAAAAACTATTGACGACTTAGACTGATTCTTTTATTTTGCATTAGCATTTTTTGTAATTCCTGCTAACCTCCGAAACAATGGTATCGTCATTTTCATAAACCCACTCAGTGCATTCTGTAACTGCACTGCTAAAGCTATTGTTACTGCATATATTTCCTTGTAGACTAAATATTGTGTAATTTAATACTGGTCTGGAACATTGATCAGTATGGGTAGCTGGCCACCAGGACGCTTCGTACGTTCCAGTTGTTTCACATTCTGGTATGCGACATCTATAAAAATTATAACATTTTGTTAATTTTCTTTACATGTTGGTTTAAATTTCAATCCTAAACATTTTTTTATTTTAAATTTACTGTAATCAAAATATTGAGATCTTATATCTAAAAGCATTGCTTAATAATACGATAATAAGTACTTACTTATATTTAATAGCATTTTTGAAAAAGTTTTAAGATTAAAAATTTAAAAACAAAATTAGCATTTAAAAAAATTAAAATATCCTTATGTACTACTTTTTGTTTTTGTTTGTATTTTTTTTTACTCTATGTTTACTTATAAGTGAAAACTTTATTGGCTGATGAGAAGAATAGTTTGTATTTACCAGTGGCTAAGGTTGAAATTTTAGCAGAGGAAAATCGTTCCAAAAACATAAAATTTTTATATACGTATTAATGCAGAAAGATATAAAGCTTTTATTGTATATATATTTCCAAAAGAACATTTATACCTACATTTAAAAAATTTAATGTATGTAAAATTATAGCAAAATTATTTTAAGGTAAGACGTCTTGTATGGACCCTTCGCCACTGGTATTTATATATATATCTGTACCTGTTATAAAAGCTGATTGTTTCCCAACTGATAATAAAAAAAACATACTTCAAAGCAAGCGCGGATCCACCGTTAGGGGCACGGTGGGGTTGCCCACAACCCTAATTGAGTTCAACAGAATAATGTTAGGTATATAAAATAAAAAAAAGCAGTCATGAGGACCGCCGGCAGAAGTGAAATCTTAAAACTATAAACAAACAGTTGTTATTTCTGGATATTCAAATTAATTGTTTGATTGAAAATTAAAACTGTTAACATTTATCTGATTTTGATATCCATCGGCACTCTTGAGTGTTAGCTCGGTAATGTTCATAACATTATCGTGGTGTTAGCGTTAACACGTCATGTGACCACGTCGATGACGATTTACATACATTAATTTACTCCCCATCCAAACCTGCCTATAGAAATTTTCACTTCGAAAAAAAAACTTTTTTACAAAATATACGTGGGTCAGTGTAGATACCACGGAAAGATTGTTTCCTATTCAACACATAATAAGTACCTTATTAGAAATGAAATATATTGATCATAAGTCGCTACATCGATACGCATTTAGCAATTTTTAGGGTGGCTGTGACCAGAACCTTTTTTGAGGAATGGATTCGCGCTTGTTTCAAAGTAGGTCGATATATGTATGTATTTGAATATGTTAAGTTCTCACCTGTAACTAACTTCACCCGCAACAAAAATGTAATTAACGTTGATCATAGAAACGAAGATCGGTGGTAAACACAGATACAAATATTGCACTATTTGGTATTTGCCAAAATTTTCTAAAATACCTCCCGCATTTACTTCGGTTTTCGTACTGGATTTACTCATGTTTTTAAATTTAATTGTTTTATTTAAATAAGAGTGTATATATAGTATACTAATAGACTTATTTGATTAACAAACAGGAAAACCATATAATCATGGAATTTCTAAAAATTCCAAATCAGAATTTGGAGAAAAAAGGCGGTGAAACTCCGTAAAAATTTTCTTCTATAATATATCGAACAACTATTAGTTAATACAGACACCATCTAAAATATTTTTTTAATTTCCAGTACTTATTTTTAGATAATATTTTAACGACGTGTACTAAGTGACTGAAATCTAACTACACAATACCTAGAGGCTTATAAAGTGCACGTAATTAAATATCTTGCTATCATTTTGGTAAACTATTATTAACTGTTATCTTGAATCGCAAACTTCGTTTCTTAACTGTCTCTGGGAAAATACGTCGTCAGCTAACTCATAGTAATAAACTAGCGATTCACCCTCGCTTCGCTCGGGTTCGTCCCTGCGTCGCTTTCCAATACAAACTTTTATCTACATATACTTATAAGTATAGAAAAGTAAGTAAAGTACCTACTTTAATAATTAATATATATATATCCCTTACTTGAGAAATGATTCCCCATACAAGGTAACTTACAAAATATGGCAAAAAGTATTAAAAATAACCTATCTTGAAAAAAAATCAAAAATGTTTAAACATTAAAATAACTCTAAAAATATGTCTTTATGTGTTATTTAAATATTCAGCAATAGCTGATGTCGCCAATTAAATTAAATTAAAATAAGTAGTTTAATTCCCAAAAATTGAATATACTTACAGATATGAATTTTCTAAGATTTTATTAAATTACCCGCGCCGTGTTCATTTAAAAAAATAGTTTTAATAACATAAATATTTAGAATGAAACTAAACTTGCACTACTAGGTTATCTTGTCTAAGCCACATTTTTTTCAGTATGATAGTGGCACTTTCAAAACTCGCTTTTTTAAAAATCATGAAAGTCTATACATATAATAAAATTCTGAGTCAAATCTGTGCGTAAAATATTTTTTTTGGAAAATCTTATTGATATAGTCATTATTATCGATACAGATGCCGAATCTATAGATTTTAGATTTTTTGTCTGTCTGTCTAGGAATGCATCGCGAGAAAATCACTGGACAGATTTGATGAAATTTGGTATTATGATAGGTTACCTTTTTTTTACGTTGGGAATTGCATTTACGCACGAGGTGTGGGACTCACCGGCAAAGCCAGTACTACCCACTAAAACCCAACAAAACCTTCCCCCGTCTTAATGGGGCGTTGCAGGATCGCTTATGCATTCAAAACTACGACGCCCCGACGGCAGGTCTGCCAAAGCAGACCACAACAACCATGGGGTTGCTCCAAGGTCCACTCTGCTATCAGAGAAGTACCAGGAGCAACCCGCATGGTACACCGCCCCCCGAAGAGGGCCACCTCCCACCGCCCACCGAAGTGGGCCACCTCCCTGTGCGTTTCTTGGCTTCGCGCCCGGCTTAATTGCCGGGCACTACTGAGCTCCCCCACCACGACAAGGTGAACGCACGTTGGGGGGATGATAGGTTACCCGGGTCAACGTATAGGTTACTGTTTACTGCGGGAAAATATCTCATCTCGGACAAATCTATACTAACCGTTAAAACGTAAAATTATTAGTAAAACAAACTTTTTGGCCTTATAAATTAGCAACATATTAGTAATATTTTGTTGGCCGAAACAATATTCAAATGAAAATATTTGTACATTTTTATTGTTTAGTAATAATAATAATAATCGATAAAAAGTATTTTAGAAACTGTTATACCTCAACTTTTTCAGATTTTTTTGACACAATTTCTTGAAAGGTGGTTGAAGGAAAGGCTTAAAGAACGCAATAAAATGCTTACAACTTTAATCATATTAGCCGAGCCATATGAAATAATACAAAGCATTTGCTTAGAATTATTTACTTTATGTACTTCTGGAACTTTTACTTTTTTTAAAAACCATTTCAAAATCATTAACAAGCGCTAACCCTTCCCTGTTTCGCGATAAATTAACAATTTTGCAATTAAGGCCGCGGGCAATGCTAGTCTAAAAAAAACCGAACCGTACCGAAACCCGCGGCTTCGCCCGCGTCCAAACTTCCGATTGCTAACAAAATTCACAGGATAACCCGCTGGGCTAATCTGAAGATTACCTGAAAATTTCATCAAAATCGCTCCAGCTGTTTTGGAGTCCATAGGAAACATACATACCCACATCGATTTTTATTTTATTTAATCAACAATTTAAATTTATTGATTGCTCGGAAAATGGAGTCTTTTATGAAAATTTAGTGACATACCGACTGCAGCGCCACCTACCGGATCCATTTGTGAATTCAAACCTTGCCGGGACTTACTCGAACATACACAAAAAATATCATTAAAATCGTCCCTGCCGTTTAGGAGATGATCAGTGGCACACCAACTGCAGCACCACCTACTGGGTCCATTTGTGTTTTCAAACCATCCAGGAGCCCATTGAAATATACACACAAAATTTCACCCAAATCGATCCCGTCCTTTAGGAGGAGTAGGTTAACAAACACACGTACAGAAGAATTATATAAACATATATTAAGATATATCATGGTTAATACTCCAGACTATCTATATCTATCTACATACTATGGGTACACTAACTTTCTTTATCACGAAAATTCATAAATCATTTTTGATAAAATTATATTAAATACATAGATATTATCTCCGTCAAAGGATTATTCTTTAATTTTATTCGTGTAATTGTTATTCTTAAATTTACAATTTACTTAGTCTAATTTTCAGCTTTACCTTGGCAACTGGTTTATTAATATCTTCTATCTACATTTACATAATATTACAGACACAGATTATTCTATAACGTTAAGCATTAGCTAACATGTATTGTAAGTGTACGTAATCTGAACCACTTAGCTTTTTGAAAAATCTAATAGCTTAACTTTTATTATTCGATTGCTAATTTTTAAATGATGTGTTTTTAACCGCTTCACATGCGTGTAGTAACAGAGTACTCATGATCGAAACCATGGTTTTCTATTCCGTTATTGTTCTTCTTAATTTTTTTGTCTTTCATAGCATTAATAACATCCTCAATAGTAGCCGGAAGCGGAAGGCCTTTGGTTTCTGGAGTGAATAAAAGTAAGATGCTCGATGAAATGGCGGAAGCTCCGTAGAAAAGAGATGAAAAAACTGGAGAAATTGTATTCTGAAACGTTAAATATTATAATTATAATTTATAGTAATGTGATTTAGTGTTACCGTTATGTTTATATTTTCCTAATATTAAGCAAAGACATTTAAAAAAATCTACTGAAAGATCCTAAATTGATTTTAATAAAACGTGTGTGTGTGTACTTATGTACGTACGTAAGAAGTACAGAACATAAATAGCTAAATATTTCATCCTGTATGTCACAACTCTCTGTCTGTAAAAGGAATGAAAAGTTAATAAAATTATTAAATAAGGCATATTAGACATATTACAACCATATACATATTTTTGGAATATCATTTAAGGAAAGAATATAATATTATATGAATATCATTTGTCAGACCATAACAACGGATACCATGGCAACAAACAGTTCATCTAACTTCATCATGTCACTTTTTGGCTGTCGGTGTGCACGCGCATCTTAAAAATTTTACTCTCATATCTTTTCCAAACGCCCCAAAAGAAGTATAACTTCAATAAAACTTAACAATTTCTACCTTCACGATAATTTAATCGAAAAATGTATAAATGTATTTATACAAAACCCTCATAAAATACTAAAGTTCACTAAAATTCATCTGCAATCTAACAATGTGAATAAGTCGTTGAATAGTAAAATAAAATAAAAATATATATAAAAAAATTAGAGATTGCAGTTGTTTGAGAATAAAATCTTAAAAAACAAACTTCAATAATAAACCTCTTTTGAGCTAAATATAGATTACCAAAGCTGGTGTCAAAGGAGCAAGCATAGAGCCCGCACCCGCTATAATTGTGACCAGCCCGAACATCGACCCTCGCACACTCGTAGGGAACAATTCCATTGTATAAGTCCATATTCCCGTGAAACAAGCTGCCACTGTCAGCTTGCCAACTAAGTATAATAATATCTTCAACCAGAAGTAAGCTAGAAATAGAAATAGGAAATGAGGACGTTAGTACAAAATGGCCTATTACACATTGTGTACTTATTATACTTATTAAATAAAAACTGATCCGGCAGACGTTGTCCTGCCACAAAAATGCAATATTTTTTAAGTTCCTACTTAAATCAGCGCAATTACTAAAGGTATAAAAGTGCATAACAATACATATAATATTAAGGTACTACAAAGTGTGAGTATCCGATCTCATAAAAATAACGACGCTTAAAAAACCGAATTCAAAAAATAAAAAGTATAGAATAACTTAGTAAAGATTTAATTTAATACACCTCTAATATTAATAAAGTATTCGACTTCAAACCTATCAGTAATCGGAACGTGTAAAATTTGGAAAAATGAAAAAAAAACGAGAATTTTGTTTTTCTTTTCAAAAGCCATAATTAAAGCAGTCCAAATTTCTTTGTATGACGTAAATTTACGAGTGGATAAGAATCGTGGTAGGAGGGCTCATTAGCGTGTGGCAGTTCACCTCGGTGGGCAGTGTGCCGTGTGGGTGGTGGTACGGCGGTCTGGTACTTCTTTGATGGCAGAGTGGACTGTTGGAGCAACCCTATGGTTGTTGTGGTCTGCTTCGGCAGATCTGTCGTCGGGGCGCCATAGTTGAGTGCGTAAGCAATCCTGCGACGCCCCATTACGACGGGGGATAATTTTTTGGGTTAATGAATACTTTTAGTAGGCTTTTCTAGGTGGTCAGAGTGGACCTTGGAGCAACCCCATGGTTGTTGTGGTCTGCTTCGGCAGACCTGCCGTCGGGGCGTCGTAGTTGAATGCGTAAGTGATCCTGCGACGCCCCATTAAGACGGGGGAAGGTTTTGTTGGGTTTTAGTGGGTAGTACTGGCTTTGCCGGTGAGTCACACACCTCGTGCGTAAATGCATTTCCTAACATTAAAAAAAAGGCTTTTCTAGCTGGTGAGTCCCACATAACCACCTGTATGTCTACAGGTGGTATGCGTAAATGCATTTTCAACATAAAATAAGGAGCGGATACTGATACAGAGGGGTGGCAACGGAAGTAATTGTAAGACCCCCCCCCCCCATTTCATCCTGACTCCGACGAAACACATTATTACCAACTTTGTGCTTTTATTTCATCATTATTATAAAACAGATAAGCTGCTGCTGTCTTGGAAGGCTTGCGTGGGGACACAGGTCCAATACGTAGAGGCACCTTGAGAGATTTAAAATTCGTTTCATGTGGTGCATCAGCCAGGATCCATCTGAGTGACCACTAGGGAATTGCCCAATGATGGCCTCCAGATAATGCGTAAGGACTATGGAAAATATGGAAAACTAAATAGGATTATGGAAAGGAGTTTAGATGAGCTAAAAACTGGGCTATTGGATGAGACTATCGAACGTCCGCATGCTCAACAGTCTCTTATTTAATTATTATTATTATAATAAGGAAGATAGATAACATCACACAAATCTTGCCAACTTGCATTTCAAACCCACTAGAATTAATATTTTAAAATAATCATGAATTTGCTTATTTACTTACCCTCGGGTACATAACCAGTGACGACGCACACTGCGCCACATATTAGGTATCCATAAACTAAAGGCATTCTTCTACCAAATTTGCTCAAAAAGTACAAAGCCAATATATCACCAGGAAAGGACATTAATGCCGTTAAAATATAATTGGTATATTTATTTCCCGGCAACCAAACAGAACTGACCATAAGACCGTAGTAAATAAAAGTCACTGAAAACCTAGCGACAGAGGCGACTATCAACCTTTTCACCATTTCTATACACTTGAATACTTCAATATAACCCTCTTTCTTCGTATTAATTTCAGTGTTACAAATAAATCTAAGTGCCTCTTCATTTAACTCACGTAAATCTTCAGCGCTCACATTAATTTTATTATATTTCCTTATCAATATCAAAATATCTTTTGCTTTTTCAAATTCATTATGCAGAACTAACCATCTTGGACTCTCTTTTAAAATCATAATGTAAGATATAAACAAAATTGAAGGTGCACATATAATATAAATAATCGTCTTCCAATATTGCACTAACATGGCTGTAAAAGCAAGCAATCCTTCACCAAAGTAAATCGCATATGCATATACAACCCCTGAGAGTACTCTCTTGTCGTTACCACTTATCTCGATCACTGGAAAAATATTTTTTCATTAGATAGGTATATTATGTTTTATCTAGTCTTATGACTATACACTATTAGCTAGTTTTAGTTAAAAAAAAGGGTCAAACTTTGTTTGTTTCAAAAATTAAAATACCTGGTTTTACAAAAAAAATTACATAGTACGCTTTATTTATTTTATTATAACTTTTTAATACTAGATAATGAGCTTCGAAGTAGCGGATTCCTGTCGGCTACGCACAATTTTAAAGTTTTTTACCACATAACCAGGGTTTGTGCTATAAAAATATTTTGTGTCTTGTACGAGGACATATTATGTATATGATCAAATATTACAAAAATCGGAAAAGTTAACATTTTTTCAACCGACTTCAAAAAGGAGGAGGTTCTCAATTCGACTGTATGTTTTTTTTTTTTTTGTTTGTTACCTCAGAACTCCGTCATTTATTAACCGATTTGGACAATTTTTGTTTTGTTTGAAAGGGTATACTTCCAGATTGGTCCCATTTAAATTTGAAAAAAAAAATACCACCCCTAAGGGTGGAAAAACAACTAATGATGAATTTAACCTACTTCTAATTGTCATATTGACTTGAAACTTTGCAAGTATTTCTATTTCCGTTGATAGTACAGTGGTTCGGTGTTGTTGATCTGATTTGATGGCAAGGCCAGAAGGTGGATAGGTGGAACTCTTCAACGGCTAATAGTAGATACTTTGAGTTTGGGCTTATTTTGTTTGATTTGACAAGCCTAACACGTTAAAATCCTTACTTTGCTACTACTATCTACACTAAAAAGGGAAAAATAAAAACTTTTTAACAAAAAAATAAAAACCGACTTCAAACAAAAGCACTAAAAAGTACAAAATAACTGTTTGGTAGTTTTCATTTACTATACATACCTAATCAAATATTTTCGAAGTCGGTGTGCTTTGGCTAAGTAATTAAAGCCTACCTATTAAATACATACCTAATCAAATATTTTCGAAATCGGTGCCAGCCCATACAAAGCAAAGCACACCGACTTCGAAAATATTTGATTAGGTATGTATAGTAAATGAAAACTACCAAACAGTTATTTTGTACTTTTTAGTGCTTTTGTTTGAAGTCGGTTTTTATTTTTTTGTTAAAAAGTTTTTATTTAATTTTCTGCTTCACTGTCAGTGAACGCCGACGGCGATAGGCTGACCGATTGATTATTTAAACAATTATTGTAAGTATTCGTGATAACATTGAACGATAAATCTATTTGAAGATTAAAGTACTTTCACAGTTGTGTGCTTACACGGTTATGTGTAATTAAAACGACAACAAACTTATGCTGTCGTTTTAATTAATAGTGGTAGTAGTTAGTATTTAACTGTATAGGTACCTAGTATTTCTATAATCTACTCACTTAATATCATTCCGGCTGTGAAAGCTGCGCCCGATGTAAAAGATTCTATTAATTCGATGAATATATAGCCATAATAATATGGCACAGTGGTCTTTATACAGCCAATACTTGTTGCAAGAAAAGCAAATATAACTGTAGGTTTACGTCCAAAGCTGGAAAAATGTTATTACTATGTTCAGAAAATCTGTTTTTAATGGCTTATCCCATTACTTGGGATACTGAGAATAACTAAACATCTGTTTATTTAAAGACAGAGATTTAAAAATTACTGTTAAAAGATTTACGTTACAGTGCTTCCTAGCGCTGATTGTAGTCAAGCGCAAGCCTATCGCAGAATAAAAAAAAACAATACTTACACAAAAATTTGCTGCGGTTATTATATATATATACACTAGCGGCTCACCCTCGCTTCGCTCGGGTTCGTCGCTAGGTACGTTTTAAATAGATATAAATAGTTATTAGCCAGAGGTAGCCATACAAATTTATTTTTTTTTTCCTATTTTTTTTTGGTGTTTTAATATTTATTATCCTATTCCGGACTAACTAAGAAATCCAAAAATTCAAATATCATAAAAATTGGTCTAGCCGTTCTTGAGTTTTATGTCACGTCACACGGGAACGCAATCGAACGGGATAAAAAGTATACTATATCCGTCTCCTGGTTCTAAACTACCTCCCCACTAATTTTCAGCCAAATCGGTTCAGCCGTTCTTGAGTTATAAATAGTGTAACTAACACGACTTTCTTTTATATATATAGAAGATATATTTAAAAAGTGCTTTCTAGTTTGTCAGGTTGCTGGTTGAGTCAATGTTAGCGTTAACACTAATAAATACAGGTTATTTTATATTAAAGTACTTACTAAGACTAATACAAACAGAGCGGTGCATTCTTCACTGTCATGTTGCACAACAATAACTTAAACTATAAATTTACTTTCTTTGGTTTACTACGTAAATCATATTAAAGTTGGTTCTTAGAAGAGAAGCTTAATGAACTTACGTGTCAGAAGCCCATCCCCCAAACGTCATCCCAACGACCATTCCAATGCTGTGTACTGTTCCTACAAAGCTTGTCTTCCACGGCTTGCATGCCAGATCTAGCTACAGTAATAAATTGAGTTAACCAAAATGAAATAAACACTTTTGAGCATCCGTAAAATCTACACACATTCTGTCACACAACTCGTTAAACAGTGTGAATTAGCTTAAACTTGAAAGTCTTGCTAGTAGCTAGTTAATACAAAGTTTCAATCATTACAAGTACGCTAATTTCGACTTTCGAGGTTTGATTGCATTCTTTATTCGTTAACACCTCCAGGTAAATTTCTAAGAAATTAATTAAAATTATAAGAAATCTATTGTTAACTGACACGCTGCCGTGTCAGTTAAGAATAGATTTCTTAGAATTTTAATTAATTTCTTAGAAATTTACCTGGAGATGTTAAAAAGAAAAAAGAATTAATATTCTTATAACGATATAATTATCGTTAAAAGAGATGGGCTTAAAAATATATAGTTATTTAACTTTGAAGTATTAAGTTGAACTTTTAGCCAGTAAGTAAATAAAGAAAATTATTTTAGACCAGGGCCGAAGCCTTCAAAAATGGTAAAAAATGAAAAAAAAATTACAGTAGGATGAAACCCATTAGAAAAGCAGGGGAATATGATCAAAATGAAAGGAAAAATAAATTACGGTCGATCCGAGTTCGGGAAGTGGGGGGGGGGGGGGTGAGTTTTTAAGGGTGAAAAACTGTTTATCTTGATTTCCGGCGAAACTACCAGTCCTAGGGAAAAAAGTTAAATGGCAAATTTGTAGGTCATAAAAAGATCTACAACTTTTGTATTTGCAATTTTTTCACATAACCTCAAAATTTAGGTGAAAAATTCAAAAAACCAAGTTTTTGGTTTTTTATTTATATCTTTTTTTAAAAAAATTTTTTTCTACGAAATTTGGTGAAAACTTACCTTATTATGTCTCAAATATACTGTAATTTATTTGATTAAAAATATTTATTTTTTCGCCTTATTTTAACTTAATATCAAAAAAGCACCCTAATTTTCAATCGAAAATTCTGACGTCAAAATTTCAGCTTTTTTCAAAAAGTTTGGGGGCTTTTTGTTCGTTGAAATATCTACTTTCTGATGGTGTAAAAAAATATACATTACTATAGGAAATATTATTAGAAAATGCAAAAAATTGAAAGTTAATAAAGTTAATATTTAATAAGACATCTACAATATTTTGAAAAAGTTGTAGAATCTTCTTTAAATAATATTTGTAGATGCCTATTTATTGCTGTTTTAAGATAATTTATATACCTGAGTGACCTTCGGTGAATTTTAGCCCATTGTAAGTTATTTCATTGAGAACTGGGGACGGACCTAGGAGGGTCTGGGCCTTACTACATACCTGCTATTTCGCATTTTCTAATAATATTTCCTATAGTAATGTATATTTTTTTACACCATCAGAAAGTAGATATTTCAACGAACAAAAAGCCCCCAAACTTTTTGAAAAAAGCTGAAATTTTGACGTCAGAATTTTCGATTGAAAATTAGGGTGCTTTTTTGATATTAAGTTAAAATAAGGCGAAAAAATAAATATTTTTAATCAAATAAATTACAGTATATTTGAGACATAATAAGGTAAGTTTTCACCAAATTTCGTAGAAAAAAATTTTTAAAAAAAAAAGATATAAATAAAAAACCAAAAACTTGGTTTTTTGAATTTTTCACCTAAATTTTGAGGTTATGTGAAAAAATTGCAAATACAAAAGTTGTAGATCTTTTTATGACCTACAAATTTGCCATTTAACTTTTTTCCCTAGGACTGGTAGTTTCGCCGGAAATCAAGATAAACAGTTTTTCACCCTTAAAAACTCACCCCCTCCCACTTCCCGAACTCGGATCGACCGTAATTTATTTTTCCTTTCATTTTGATCATATTCCCCTGATTTTCTAATGGGTTTCATCCTACTGTAATTTTTTTTGGTTTCAAAAATTATCGACCCTGGTCTATTTATAGATACAGTTTGTATAAATGAGCTCTCAATTTAATTATCAATTAAATAGTGAAAGTAAATTAAAAAATTACCCAAGCAACGATCGTATTGTTACTGGCGTATATCCATTCTTTGCATTCGCTAAAATTCGATAACAAAGCAATATCATTTAAATTTGCTTGTAAAGTGTGCGCATTTAGATTGGGTTGGTTGCATCGTTTGATACCTTGCAGCCATGCATACGACAAGTTACTATTATCGGATTCGCATTCTGGTGCACGACATCTAAAATCACCAAGGAATACGGAAAAAAAGTAATAAAATAACATTAGATAATATCTTCATTTATCTTCGATTAATGTTTTTCAATTTTTTGCCCTTATTTTGTAGTCACTTTATCTTCTTTTTATATTAGCAGCGTATGTATGTAATTTGTTGGTCAGTGCTATGGACACCTGTAAGAGACTAACATACTAGAACTTGTGTATTAGGAATGAATTTAAAATGTATTTGTGTGTTATGTTGTTGTGTTCTTAATAAATAAATAAAAAAAACATGCAGACAGACAAACCTTAAAGAAACTGGTTCTTAAGTCTTTCAACTTAATTATAAAAATGATCTACACATACTCGTAGATACTTATAATAAATCAGTAATTACTTAGCAAAATCTGTAGGTACATAAAATATTTTTCAAAAACAATGACTGCAACGTATTTTGTACAGAATACCTATAGACCTCAAAAAATAGTAATTAAACTCAGATTATTTAAAATAATCTAAGTAAATAAATTTTGTGTCTGTTTGTGTGTTCGCGTTTCACGGAAAAATTACTGGGCCGATTTTAACACCTCCAGGTAAACTAAGAAATTAATTCAATTCTAAGAAATCTATTGTTAACTGACACGCCCGCGTGTCCGCGGTCATGGAGGGATTAGCATAATTTTGTGATAACTTATTACTCTGGTCAACATTTAGGACACCTTTTACTACAGGAAAATCCATTCCCACGAGAAAACACAATAACTGGTTCGAGTCATCCTTAAAAATTTCCAACAAGCCATGTATGGCTAGTGCTGGCTAAACATGTTAGGTTTAATAAGGTTTAACTTAAAAAGGCCCAAAGAAAAGTTCGCAATATCAAGCATTAGATAGTCACGTAGGCCTTACACATAATAATTTAAAACATTGCCCTCCTCTGACCGATTTCGAACACGGCGGCTAACTTCACTGAGAGCAAAGTGCGCAGGAAAAATTATCTGTTTGGGCTAACATAAGACGTGCAATCTCTATTCCCTTCACTCTCAAAATTCGATGGGATGGTAATAAGTTGAGAGATAGGCGCAGAAACGGTGGTTTAATATGCTCTCCGAGGTTGTTTTTAAATATTTCTTGACAGAAAAACCTAATAACTTATATATCTTTATCAATCGCCAAATAAGGTAGTCAAAAGAGGGACAGGACTTAGTACTGTCAGACGTCAGTCGACAGGAACACACTAAGTCCTGCTCTAATTTTTCTGTACAAAATATAAGTATACCCCAAAACCCTACTAGACTACTATTCTGTTCTGTTTTCTATTTAGCAAAATAAATATAAAAGCACTTACCTGTATTCTATATCCCCCGCTACGAACACATAGTTAACATTATTCATAGAAATAAAAATTGTAGGCAGACATATCAAAGCGTATTGAACAATTTGATACTTTCCAAATTTTTGCAATATATTTAAATGATCTATCTCTTTTTCATCATTATATTTTTTATCCACTGCCATTATCTGATGATGATGCGGTTTTTTACACTTTTATTTTCAGTTTGTATTTAACTCCTATAAGACATCTACAACCTACCTATTAGTTATCCGTCCAAATTAGCAATCATTATTTTTTTTATTTTTTTTTTAAGTTTATATGGTAACAATATATATTTATTACAAGAAAACCAGTAAAAAAGTAAACAAACGAAAATTTTAATTTTTAATTCATTTCAATTTGATAACGGTCCTCACTAATTAGAAGAGATACATATATATGTATGCCATTAACCATAGCTGATATATTAATTAATAATGTTAAGTAGCTGTTAAAGTTTAAACTTACAGCGTACAATTGGATACGATTGCGTATAAGGCAGCCAGCCAGTTTTATGCATAATCTAATATATTTAAACGAGCAATTCTTGTATATATATATAATCTGAATCTCGGAAACGGCTCCAACGATTTTCATGACACTTAGGCAGCAGGGGGTTTCGGGGGCGATATATCGATCTAAATTAGTCTTATGTCTGAGAAAACGCGTGTTTTCGAGTTTTCATACAGTTTTCTTCTGAATTATTGGTCAGTAATTTACACGCTCGGGCATAAGCATCGTGGTCAAGCGGCCAAGGTGCAAGATCAACAATCACAGGTCCAGGTTCGAATCTCGGTCGCATACAAAGCTTTTACTTTTGTTTTTTTTTAAATATTTATTCAAGTTTTTAGTTTAAAAAAAAAAAGGAAATTGTACTTTAGTCTAAAAACTTCGAGCGAAGCTCGGTAGCCCAGGTACTATAAGTATAAAACATACATATTATGTACATAATGTAACGAAGGTTGTCTATAAAATATGTATTTAAAAATGTGCGAAGTTTGCATGTTTTGGTTATAATATTAAACAAAAAAATAATTTACAAAAAAAAACCGACTGCGTAAAAAGCGAACTATGAAGATGAGAACCAGTTGACGAAGGAACCTATTATTATGCAATCGGAGGCTGCCATTATATGTAGGTACTTACCCGTTTCATACTTGCTGTGAGTTTTGCTACGTGTGTATGTTCATCTAATATTTTACCTTTTAAGATTTATTTTCATGATAAAAAGTAGCTGTCCTTTTCCTACGTCCAAATGTGATTTTTAATAGTATTCTGAAGGTAATACCAAAAAATCACACTTTATTATTTCTCGAATTTAGATCGGTATTTTACACACTTTAGTACCGTGTAAAGCCACGATAGCCTGAACTTCATAATGGTCCATCGTTCTTACCTGTGTTAGGAGCATGCGCTGACAGACTTTCAGCTTTTATAAAATGACGAAGGTCTGGCGTTCACAGGCTCTTAGGCCATGTGGCTTCACGTTATTATCTAACTATAAAATATCATAATTGAAAAAACTACATAAAAAGTTATTAAATGATTTGGAATCGTTAAACATCATTAAATATACTTATTACTATATTACAAAACAAAGTTAAACACACATTATTAATTAAGTATAAAAAAAATAGATACCAAATGTTTATTACATGACTCATGTGCGAAGCCGCAGTCAGTAGCTATAGTAATTAAAATGGCGTTATTTTTAACTCTTTAGTAATAAATACATTACAATATCTAAATTATTCATTGAAACTTGTTATGGATAATGTTAATTTAAAATTATAATACAGATTATAAGCGAAATTAAAAAAATATATCTAGGTACCTATACATAAAATGCTTTGTTCTAACTGACTGATCGATCAACGCACAACCTAAACCGCTAGTCGTAGAAATGTGAAATTTGGAGGACATATTCCTTATACTAATATTATATTAGATTTTCATATTAGATTTTTCGAAATTCATCCCCTAAGGGGGTAAAATAGGGGACAAAAGATTGTATGAAACTCTGTCATTCTTAACGCGAAATGCACGGAAAGTGGTATTTTGCTTTTAGATGAAAAATAAAAAATATATTATGTATTGGATTTTTTCGAAATTCATCCCTTGAAAGGATAAAAGGGGGTAATAAAGTTTATATGGGCAAACAATTATTTATGATCAGAATTACTTGAAACTTGGTATTAATGCTCTCCAATACAATTAAATAAACGTGTATTGTAGATTTTTTTAAAACTCAGTGGGTAAAACTGGGTGGTGAAGTTTGAGTTGTCAAATATATTTAAATAGAGATTTTTCTGCGGGAAAAATTATCCTATATGTTGACCCCGTAACCAGCTATCATCATACTAAATTTCATCCAAATCCCTCCAGTGGTTTTTCTGTGATGCGGTAACAGATAGACAGACCTACAGACAGAAAAAAATTCTAAAAATTATAGATTCGGCCGATCGGCCCCTATGTCGATAATAATGTTTATTTTAATAAGATTTTCCAAAAAATATTTAATGTACAGATTCGGCTTAGTTACAATTTTATTATAATATGTATAGATATGGTATCTAGTGGTGAGCCGCATAATACCATAACTGGTAACATTTCTGAGTTTGTTCTAGTAAGTTACCAGGGGTAAAAAAGAGGGAAAAATATTTAGGGTCTTTTGGGGCTTATAAAGTTTCGGTTAAAGACTTCGAAAAATTATATCCCTTTCATATTATTTTATAAGTTATTTATGGAATTTATTATTATTTTTAAATGGTTATATGTAATTTTTATAATAATAACCATAAATAAGTTTTTTACGCTATTTGTAATCATTTAAAATAAAAAAATAATATCTTTTATTTTCAAATTGTCACTTGGGGGGTTTAGGGGTTATTGAAATTACTTCTAAAGGGGATAAATCCTTAGACTATATAGCTTATGTATACTATAAGGATAATCATAAAATTTCAAGTGCTGCCACCAGGCACAGCGATAATATGTTGCCATAACGCGGTAACCGCGCTATTGATGAATGATGTTAACCGCTTGTCATTTTGTCGTGTTTATAATCTAGTGTACACTTTGTTTATAAAAATCCTCACTGTCACTACTCACTAGTGTTTATGATTGGAATCAATGCTGTTTAAAAATGATGAAAAGGATTAAAGTACAATTATTAATGTACATGAGTAAATCAAAATACTATCAAATCTGACGCGAATAGTCGTGTCAATAAGATGAAGCTGATATTGCCTGTGTTTATTATTACTGCAAGTATCTATTTCCCGATATTTGCTCAGGATGACGAGTGTACTAAAATTAACAGCAATCGATGTGATTATAAATCAAACGTTCGTAAATTGTCCGAATTATTGTCGAATAAGTTCAGTGAAATTGTGGTCAAAGAACTTGGTAGTGAATTTACGTCACATCTAGAAGTTAGGACAGCTTATAAAGTAAGTCGCTATCATACAACTGATAGTAATTCGTTATCTACTATAGTGGAGAAATTGAATTATAAGATATCATCTGCAATAAATATCCTGTTAGATATGAAAAATGCCATGAACAGCAGTAATACTCCGTCCTTTACACATCCTTGCCCATTTAATTCTATTGGAAAGTCTGTATTTATAAAGAGTTCTAGTGTGTTTAATGATATTACTTCAATTGACATAAAACCTAATATGTTAGGCAGATTTAAAGACTTAAAGGTCAAAAGATCATATTTTCTTTCTCATATGGATTATGCTACAGACAAAAATTGTGCTGCTATGCCTCATTCAAACTTAAGGTATTTATATCATAAGGTTGTACACCCAGACCCAAAATTGATTCTTTTCATTATTGATAATAATATGAAAATAGAAGCTTTACAACATGCTGTAAATATTGCAAAGGAAATAGCTTATGCATTGCAAAGCAGTGATCTGTTTGCTTTAAAGATTACAAATATGACAAATTTTATGAAATTTGAAGATTCTTGCAGCAGGGATGGTGTCTCAAATCTTGGAAATGCTACAGACAATAATAAATTATTATTTCGGGAATATCTTTCTTCGATAGATGTGGCTTCTGATAGTTTATCACCAGAGACCATCCATATAGAAATCAAAAACCTGTTTAATGAGAAACTGGTACCAAGAAATAAATTATTGATCTATTTAACTGATATTAAAGTATTAAACAATAATGTGTGGCTTAAAATGTTTCCACATATAGAAATGGAGGATACCATGAAACTTACCATTGGTTGTATAATTGAAGGTGAAAATACAAGAAATTGGTCAATAGAAGTCTTACACATAACGAAACAGCATAACAATTCCCACAACCACTCTATGATGAAACTGCATCTCAATAGTAGTGGAGTATTAGGTCAAATAGCATCTGCTTTTATTTCTTTATTGCCAAATAAATATGAAAACAAATTATTAGCAGAGGGTCCAGTTTGGGAAGCTACTGAAAGAGATTTCATGGTGTCTCTAGTATATCCGATGCCAAACGGAATTATTGGATTGGACCTGTATTGGTCAGATTTAGCGGAAGATGTAATTTATTTTAAAGGTATGAATCATAAAAAGCGAGCTTTTGTTATGGATTTCTCGGGTAAGATTCTTATGCATACATATTTTCCTAGACCTGAGTCTGCTATTGATAAAATTAAATTTACAACACTGGAAGCGGTCGAAAACATTTACAACATTCACATAATCAAAGAAAAGTTTTTCAAAATGCCTTCTGGTAATTTTACAATTAATAATCAGAATACTTCTGAAACAATAACTTATTCTTGGAAATGGGTGCAAGAACTGTACATTGTTTGTATTGTATCAGAAATTTCAAATAGCAGTGTGTTGAATAAAACCAATATATTTTTTACTAGAAACAGTAAAGAGCTACTCTTTCATAGGTTAGATTTATTTCCTCCTAAAAGTGGTAAAATCTGTCGTCATTTTAAACAAATAGCTACTATTGATCAAGGTACTGTGTACTTAAGTCCATCCAGCTTTCAATCTCCTTTTACCTATTTATATGATATGGGTGATGGTCAAGAGGCAGTGTCATATATGCAAAATTATTTAGCTTATCTAAAGAGTGTTGCTCATGGATTACTTTCTAACCCTGGGTTAAAAAATGAAATACAACAAGATGTTGGATTTTTGAATTCTATATTATCTTTTTATAAGCGACAGCATTTACATGGACCATTCTCAAAGTATATTGTTAGGAGGTATGCAGTTACAGAAAATGGTGTGTTAGTAATGTTTCCTGGTACAGTCTTAGAATATGATTATGAGCCAGTTCGAAGGCCATGGTATACTTATGCTATAGAAAATCCTGGCAAAATTATTTTAACTCCACCAAATTTAGATGTAGGAGGGGCAGGATATGTAGTTACCATATCATATGCAGTTCAAAGTCCTATTTATCCATCTATGGTTGTTTCTATGGATGTGACAATGGGATTTCTATACAAACTAATAATTGATAGTTTGCCTCTTTGTGCCATGCCTTATGTTAAGTGCTATATAATGAATAATCGCGGTTATCTGGTATCGCATCCTGGATTAATGGACCCTAACAGCTCAGGTCCCATTGAACAACAACACATCACACATAAAGAGTCTATGATTGCCATCGACATGCTTAACCATAAAGGCTTCGTCACTAAAAGGTTATGCAGTAATTTCTATGACAAAACTATACAAAGATTTTATGACTTTAATACATCCTTACCAAATGTTCTTTCTAATGTTGTTTCTGGAGATCATTGCGTTCATTATTATATCGCGTCCATTCCTGGCACAAACGCTTTTATAGGTCTCGTAAATGCTTCGTGTAGCGTGGGGGCTTTCTGTCCATGTAGCATGGTCGATCGTCTGTGTTTAAATTGCAATCGAATGGAGCAAAATGAATGTGAATGCCCCTGTGAATGTAGTTCCGAATTATACGAATGCCCTAGTACGAACACTTCTAAATCTAAACAAAATATTCCTCTTTGTGGTATGACGCCAGAAAATAATAATCATAAATCTCATTACTTTCACAACTTTGCTGAAAACTTGAAGTCCTGTTTCGATTTCCAATGTGAGACTTACGTCACACATTCGTCTTGTTTGGGAGTGTTGGGTTGTGAGTGGTGTCAAATAGATGCCGATGGCCGAACACCTCTTTCGACACCTTTCTGTACTTCTCAATCGACATGTTTTAATGGCGTTCTCGGTGCCGTAACTCCATATGGCGAAGGTACCTTTGGGCATGTAAATAGGGATGCTTTTGCAAGCTATTCAGCAATAGGCCCAATAGCTGGGTGCATAGTTACAATAAGCTTAATCATAGCAGTTGCAATATATTGCTATAGACAGAACACTACAACAGATAGCTGCCACAATTTATATGTGGATGGTCCCGCTGAGACCTGGCACGACGCTGATGTTCAAATGAGTCATTTGCCATCCGATGATATGCCCGACATGTCAGGGCAGGATAAGTTATTACCACCTATGGAGATTGAAGCTCCTATTTCTCCTTATCGAGTAGTAACGGGATATAGGCGTTCTCACACCGCCAATGGTTCTGACCATGGCTATTCTACTATGACACCACACGAAGATTCCGAAGCGACGGGTTTCTCAGTAAATGATCCCATCATTCTTTCGGATGACACCAAATCTGATGCAAGTTTTCCTGCCCCTAGTAAAAAACCTAAATTAAAACCTGCCGAATTCACCATGACTGTTCTTCCATGTGGCAAAAATAGTGTCATAGCTCCTGTCACTGTTCATAGACATATGGAAGCATCCTAATATCTACCTCTTTGTATATAGTTTCTACTAATTTACGTAAATAGTAATAAGAACGTGATAAATGTAACTCGCTTGTGTTAAGTTTGTACCTTAGCATGCTACTTATGTATACTGCCCTAGTTTGGTGTCTAGCGAACTTAAATGCAATGTGTATTTAAAATACAGCTCTATAACTAAATAACTTAATGTTTATTGTAAATTATCATTAAATATAAACCCTCGTTTGTATATTTTTATACGACTTATTACTGTGAAGCAGCTATCGTAATTTTAAGGTTAAATGTATACAACGTATGTTAAAATAAAATAGTTCAAAATTGTGTTAATTTTTAGTTTTATATGCGAACAAAATTATCTATTAAGTATACTCAGCAACGATAATTTATACTTTTTATAGAATAAATTATCATATTATGCTATCATCATTGAAAAATATCAATAATTTTTACGTTTAATTTATTTTATGAGTGTATCTCGTATAACTCCAAATTGTTCTTTTGAATTAATAATGATTATTCTTTATTAATTGTAGAACGAGGTATACGCTATTTATATCAATTTATATATAGAAAGCTTAAGCTACATGTACTTAAAAGTATCTATTAAATATAAACGATATGCCATAAACTATTATCATCGGAAACGTGTAAAAAAATTAAAGTTACTAAAACCAGGTTGTTCCGAACACAGATATAAATGACTGCTATATGTTTTATATGATTTATTTGTAAGATTATTTTATAATTCTGATGGAAGATAATGTGCCAGTGCCTCTGTAAGTTGTAATTTTATAAGAGTATGTAATTAAGACTGACTTCGATGTTGCATTTACTTTATGTACTTACAATGTATTAAATTTTTCTACTAAATTTTGTTTTTTTTATTTCTGCACCTTCAAAGTCATTATATGAATACATTTTAAATTAATGTTTGGTAAAGAAAAAATATCTACACTAATATTATAGAGACAGAGCTTGTTTGTTTGAACGCGCTAATATCAGTAACTACTAATCCGATTTGGAAAATTCTTTGTGCATTAGATAGCACGTTTATTGAGAAAGGCTATAGAGCACAGGCTATCATCATGCTCCTAACCAAGGGAGCGGAGCAGTAATATCATATATAGTATATCTATTCCATACTAACGGTTAAAACGTACCTAGGGACGAACCTGAGCGAAGCGAGGGTGAGCGCTAGTATACGTATAAAATCAATCCACTATAATGTTCGATTTATTCGATTGGCCTAAGTGTAGCACCGCAGAAAACACATTAGGTACTTATATGTAATAAATATTTTATTATATACTTTGTATTCAGTAGGTTCGGATTTTGTTATTAATAAATGTATTTTCTATGAAAACGAGATATTTGCCATAATCTTAGTATAATATATGCATGTAGATTGTAGATATTTTAATATAATATTGACTATTCTTCAAAGAAATTTTGTAAAAATAAATATGATCCATCATGGATAATTTATTTTTTATTCATTTTCTAGGTATAATGCGAGCATAAATAGGATGAGTGGTTTTAAGAACAAAGTTAGCATAAAATTTGAGCTCTGACACTTTAGTAACAGGTTCGAAGCGATATTTTCTTATTAATCCAGACGTCAAGCTTTTCATCTTTAGCATCGCGAATTTTTGACCTGTAAATGATATTATATCGACATTAATAAAATAAAAGTAGATAGAAATGGATATTTGATGAAATAGAGTGAAAATTTCATAAGATCTAAATATTAATTTAATATTTTATTGTTAGTGGGAAACTGTATCGTTCTATATTTCATGTAAATTGTGAATGATAACTTCGTCGTTAATGAACCGATTTTGATGATTCTTGTTTTGTTGGAAAGGAGATATCCCAAGGGCGGTGCCGTGATAAGGAAAATAGGATGGAATCCTAGAGAAATCGAGGGTAACTTTCGAAAATCGTAGTGGTGACTAGTGCGTTTATTATTTTTTTTTCATTAAGTATTTTAAAGTACTACTATTTAATGAAGGTTTGGAGTCGATCTGATGATGGAGCCGAAAGACAGTCGAGGGTACTCCTCAACGATTTACAGCAATTACCTGGTGTTTGAGCTTGATTAATTCGTATCGATGAGGACTTTACACCTATATGGGTTGTGACTGTCGTTAGGGGTCTGAATAAATGGCTTAATCGAATATGATTTTAAAAATCTTTCTTTTTACAAATTACCTGCTTATTACATCTACACTAAAAATAGAAAAAATAAAAACTTAAAAAAAACCGACTTCCAGGCACTTTGAAAAGTAAAAAATAACTAAACAGGGGTTTTCATTTAGAATAGATACCTAATCAGATATTTTCGAAGTCGGTGCCAGCCGATACAAATCAAAGCACACCGACTTCGAAAATATCTGATTAGGTATCTATTCTAAATGAAAGCCTCCGTTTATTTATCTTTTATTTATTTTTAATTGTTATATTTACATAAGCACATGGTCGAAATTAAGCGCTTTTGTTAATTTTGTACATAAATTATTTAATAAAAATAAAATATTAATAAATGAACACAATACATTCGTATTTATGAGGACAGCAGGACATATTTAGATAACTCAGAATAAAGAATAAACAGTTGATCTACACAGCTTTATCCCAAATTGTACATACAATATAATTATATGTATTTCGTAAGTACCAATTCCATATTTACCAATGCAATTCCTGGGCCCAGCACTAAAAGGTATAAAAGCGAAGGGGTGGCGGTCCACACTGTTTTCTGGCAGAAATCTCTCAGGGATGAATCGCTCAGGATCTGGATATAAATCAGGGCGCCGATGGAGATCATAGATATGAATCTGGCATATTGTACTCGATGGTATCGTGTAGCCTCCTAAAATGTAAAGATATTTTTTTAAAACAGTGCAGTGGTAGCATAGTGGTAAGACGCTTTCTTGGAAAACTGACTGAAGTCAAATGTAGGTTCGCATTCATCATTCAAAATTATTACCACTCCACTTACTACTAGACAGAACTTCTTGAGAAAACTTGTATGTGTAAGAGAATCTAACCAGTTTTAAAACATGTGAAGGCAACTCAGGGTGAGTTTGGCCACTTTGGCCTGATTCTTCTTGCATTTTTTAATGCATGGCCTATGCCCAGCAGTGGAGCGTTATATAGGATAAACAATATGTTTTTTTTTCTATATATATATATAAATCTGAATATAATTTAGTAGTCCATAATAGATAGCTGATTCAATCAGCAGTAGCGGATTTAGGATTAGGCCTGTGAGGCCCGGGCCTAGGGCGGCAAATTTTGAGGGGCGCCAAAATTTTTAAGACAACTAAAATAAAAAATCGATTGGGTTTCCTGTAAACTGTAAGACCAAATAACGTTTAATTTCTTGCGCTCTTACAATCTAAACATAGTACCATTTCAAGGGTAGAATTTCTTTGTCAAAATAATTAATTAATCTATATAATATACTTATACTGTTATGAAAGAAAAAGGCCGCCATATCAACTTGGGCCTAGGGCGCTATCGAACCTAAATCCACTACTAGCTGATTGATGTGTTTGATACTAAATGAAATAAAATGCACGATAATGATATACCTATCATGTATAATAAAACCACCATATAATAAAAGTGTAACTGATCGCTGTCTGTACCTACATGGAAGATATTTGAGAAATATTTTTATTAACGCAATAGAACCGAAATCAACGATTTTTTGAATTCTTGTCTGTCTGTCTGTGCGTTTGTGCGCGCTAAACTAGACAGCTTAACCGATTTGGGTTCGGTTTTCACTAACGTATTGTGGTAAGCTTAACATAACATTTAGTATTTGTTTTACTGTGGTATGAATGTGCATAAAATAAAAGCTATTATTATTGTTGCCATGGTAACCGTTGTTATTGTCTGACAAATATATAATACTCGCGGCTTCGCTCGCGTTAAAACTACAAAAAAAACTCTAAAATGGTAGGTTTCATACAAACTTTTATTCGCATTCGAAAAATGCTAAAACACGTATTTATCTAATTGTATTGAAGAATATTAATATATAATATTATAATTAATAGGTACCTACCCAGTTTCAAGTTAATCTGATCATAAATAATTGCTTGGATTGTATTATAACGTGTTTTCCCGTGGGAATTAGATAATCTCCCGCGGTAAAAAATAGCTTGTCACTCTCCAGCCTTCCAACTATCTCCACACAAATGATCACGTCAATCCACTAAGCCGTTTCGACGTGAAAGAAAGACAAACAAACACACTTTCACATTTATAATATTAGCATGGATATGGATTATATGTAGGTAATATGCCTTATTTAATTATTGATTTGATTTAATTGCGATTTTTGCCAAAGAAGTTTTACTTCAACCGCGCGTAAAGGTTACACGCACCTATTTTTCAATCGGTTCATAAATAAAAAAGTTATGTCAATTTAAAGAATCACCTAGGGACGAAGCCGAGCGAAGCGAGGGTGAGTAGCTGGTAATAATTATAAAAATGATTAATATTTAAAAATATTGTAAGCACGATACTAAATAGGTACGTACTTATATTCTATAACTAAGTAATTAGTGATAATTATCAACATTGTATGTACATAACAATAGTAATAACTACACAATTATCATTTATTGTAATAACTAACCAATTAATTGAAAATGAATCTTAATTTGTTTGATGACAACAGTTATTCAGTAGAAGGACTTATTTTATTTTTATTTTAAATATTTTAAAATAGTATTCAGCCCTTTTTAACGTCCTACTGCTGGGTACGGGTCTCCCTTCAATACGAGGGGGATCAGGCCATAGTCGACCACGCTGGTCAAGTAGGGGTTGTCGGACTTCGTATGTCTTTCGAAAACTTGCTAGGTTCTCTCAGACATGCAGGTTTCCTCACGATGTTTTCCTTCACCGTTAAGGCAAGTGATAATCATGTTGGAAATTATTCGCAGATGAAAATATCAGTGGTGCGAGACTTGGGATTTGAACCCGCTTCACTCTGTTTCCCAAGCGAGCGCGTTACCACTGGGCTACCACTGCTTTTTAACATTTTTTATATTATATAATATGGACATTCTCGCTCTTACCATGTATAAGTTGGTAATTAGGTACATAGGTAACGATATCTAAGTAAATTTCCGTCGTAATCTATACTAGTAGTATTATAAAGAGGTAGTTTGTGAGTTTGTGATGTTGTAGAGGGTAATATCTGGATCTACTGAACCGATTTAGATGAAATTTGATAAGAAGATAGTTTGAGATCCTGGGAAGGACATAGGATACTTTTCATCCCGGAAAATCCCTTAAAGAAGTGAAAAGGGGATGAAAGTTCGTATTGGGAAGCAATTGGCAAGTGGCAAGCTAGGGACGAACCCGAGCGAAGCAAGGGTGAGTCGCTGGTTACTATTAACTATATTTGCCTTAAATGGGAAACTATAAAAAAATAACCTAAAACAGTTTCTTCCGGTATGTTTCTAGCGATGTAATGCACACTGGGGTACAGACGTAGTGCCTCTTTAATGCAACATTCTAAGTACTTCATCTCTTTCATATCGTCCATTGTGGCCGGTCGTTGTGACGAGCCGAAAATGTTTTTCATTTCTTCATATACCTTATTCTGAAACGAGAATACACATTTATTTATACATACCTACTTCCACGCTAATCTTAATCTTCTTGATCTTAATCTAATATATTTAAATGAGCAATTCTTGTATATTTATTTATTTATTTATACCGGCAATCTCGAAAACGGCTCTAACGATTTCGCTAAAATTAAGCATGTGGTTTTCGGGGGCGAAAATTCGATCGAGATTAGTTTTGTCTGGGAAAACGTGTCTTTTCGAGTTTTCATGTGGGTTTCTTTTGCATTATTCCACATATATATATATTTATATATATATATATATATATATATATATATATATAATTATTTCGCACGTTCGGCCATAAGCATCGTGGTCAAGCGGCCAAGGTGCAAAATTGTCAATCACAGGTGTCCGAGTACAAATCCCGGTCGGGTACAAAGATTTTTATTTTTGTCTTTTTTTGTGTGTAAGTTGCCTACTTTAGGCCCAATAAAAGAACGAAATAGACGAAATATATTAAATAATATTCAGAATAAAACGAAGTACATGGAGAACCCATGGGAAAAACTACATCTATTTTTCATCATAAGTAGAGAGCAAAAAGAATAATTATACCTAACCTTGCGTTCTTATTTTTTATAGATGTAATTATAAGTATAATAATACATACATACACTTGTTTTAAAAGATTATAATTTATAACTCCGTGGAGATGAAAAAATATTGTTGACTAGCACTGCCCGCGGCTTCGCCCGTGTTCGGATGACCAAAAATCAAATTCTTAGGTTTTTCATATTAGTATACTCTTATATTGCAGGTTTTGTATTTTTTCTCGAAAATGAGAAATTTTCCTGCTGTAAATAGTATCCTATATGTTAACCCGGATAACCAGCTATCATCATACCAAATTTCATCTAAATCCCTCCAGTGGTTTTTCTGTGATGCGGTAATAGACAGACAAAACTTCTAAAAACTATAGATTCGGCTCCTGTATCGATGATAATGTCTATTTCAATAAGATTTTCCAAAAAATATCTAATGTACAGATTCGGCAATAGTTACAATTTTATTTTATGTATAGAAGATAGACTTCATTGATGGGACTCAACATTTTTAAATATGTTTATAGTTTAATCAGTTTATGTTAAGTTAAAGATAAATTTCAAGATAGAGCGTATAAAAAGTACTTTATATTTAGACTTACCTGTACCTTGGCCTCATTTGCTAGTGACATAATCAAATGTATTAAAGTTACGGAAGTTGTATCAAAACCCTATAAATAAAAACAAATATAGTAATTTTCATTCCTTTAGTGAACCATATTTTATATAGATAATATATTTTTATATAATCTCCTTTAAAATAAAATGATTAAACACACCCTAAACATAAATGTGTCCACTTCTTCCCTAATCCCCTCATCATCTATGAAACCTTCTTTTTGGTTCTGAATGAGTAAATCCAACATCGCAAGACGACCTTTTCTATTCGGGGTATCATCATTTTCTTCAATATTTAAAATATCTGGATTCTCCTCCAAATATGCTTTTCTTTCTCTAATGATATTGTCGGTAAAGCAATGTAAATCTTTTATTGCTTCTATTTCTTGCTTATAGTTTCTAGAAAATTTGTATGTTAACTCAAAGAACAAGACTATACTGCAAAGTCGAGGGACTAAAGCTGAAGAAATTTTCTTAATAGCGCTAAAGTATTTTTCTGCTATAGACTCAACATCCTCGTTCATTGAAGTACCCATTGCTGTTTCTATATAATTAAATATTAATTGTATTAGCATCCATTGTATTATAATAAAAATATACAATTTGTATATTTTTATAAAAAATCTATAAAATATGGGTAATGCACTCAACGACTCTTTGACGCGCTATCGTCAACGTGCTATATGCAATAACCTTTCACCTCTGAGTTCTGACACGCGTTTGTAACTATGCGGATGCTAGCAATCTGTTTTTTTTTCTGCGGAGATAAATGTGGTGTACACAGTTCCTTTAAGCAGTCTTTTATGATGTACTTTAAGAGACACATATATATATATATGTTATAACTTTAGGTCTCAATAACTTTTTACGTTTCCTTAAAATAATTTTTATATATTTGGGCTCCCTGTCACCTACCCTATCCAAAAATGATGTTCTCCTAGCCGATTCCGACTACGGCGGCCAATCTCATTGAGATTAGCCAACTGCGCAGGAGATATCATAGTGCACAAGTGTACGCGCAGACACAACGTGCACTCTTTATTCCTGTCACTCTCATACTCCGGTGGGACGACCACTCGACACGACCGATTAGAGTTAAGGCGCAGGACCGACGGCTTTACGTGCTCTCCGAGACACGGGGGTGAAACACCGCTAACTTCCCAACTCCGGGCGGTTACTGAGACTTACTATAAAGAAAGACTCAATAACTAAACTTGACCCGACCCGGGACTCGAACCCAGGACCTTCGGATGTGCAGCCGTACATGCTAGCCACTACACCACCGAGGCATCCAAAAATACCACCCACTCCGCCAGGGGCCGCGTCCCATTTACTAAACTTGTGTCTATTTTTTAACAATATTCATTTGATAAGTAAATAAGAAGTACTTTTTTATAAATATCTATTTTTATTTAATATATTCTTTGCAATATTCATATAATAGTTTAAATAATTTTTAATTGAATATTTATTCACTTCCGTAACGTACCGTTTCCGTTACAAAAATCGTAACACCAATCCTTTTTCACTTCAGTAAAGCATTCAAGAAAACCTATGTAATACATGTGGAAGTTTTAAACTTTATGAAATACGAGTAATATGTTGAACTTATAGCTTTGGTCATTTCAGAGCTAATAACTTAATATCTAATATCGTCTGTGACTGGACATCACTACACAAACTAAATCAAATTAGATAACTTACTGCATATAGTTCTAAGTGAATTCTTAGCGATTAATTCCACAATATCCCAATCCTCTTTATTTGGGTGCTTCTCTATATTTTGAAGTAACTCCTCCGTATCCTCCATAAACGTTTGTGAGTATTTTTTTAGAATATTGAAATGAAACGCCTGTGTTAACAATTTTCTCCTGTGTTGCCATTTATTACCTGCAAATATAATAGCATGTATATATCAAGATTTTTAGAAAACTAACTTAATACGTCATTTTGAATTTAAATCAACAAGTTTGTCACAAAGTAAGAGTACCGTTAGAAAAGGCACGATCACGCGACTATTTTTACTACCAATTGTAGTTTGATATTCCCAATATTTTTAACAGTTTATCTAAACAATAATATAATTATAAACAACTGATTTAGGTTTGTGCACCGTGTACCTTTTTTATTTATTTGCCTATTTTATTTATTTTGTGTCAGAATTAATTGTTTATATTTGAATACATAGCTATCATAGACTGTTCTAGTCTATAGGTGCTAAATGACAGATTTATACTAAAAAGGACAAAACCATTCCCCATACAAACTGGGGGCCCGGTGTTACCGTGGAGTTCTATCCCAGCAAGCCTAATCCACATGCAATGCACTATTACAATATTTAGCGCATTCTTGTTCGCTTCGCAATTTTTGATAGAACAGGTATTGCGAGTTCATCGCCTTTAGTACTGATCGAAACGTCACACATAGGAATTTCTTCCACATCATCCAGGATGCGATTATGAGCTTCATTGCAAACCTCTTCTTTCTCGATATCAAAATATGTTTACTTTCTTTATTCTTTGTTTATTCTCTTCATCCTATCTGGTGATGAGAGACGGAGAATGTGCTAAATATTGTAATAGTGCATTGCATATGGATTAGGCCTATTGGGATAGGATACTATAAAAAACGCGCCACTCAATCTACCTAAAAGTGATGAGAAATGAGTCTTTTAGCCAAAACGTATGTTGAAGTACACTTTGCCGGCGCACATACGCCAAAACTATTGATTTTATAAAAAAAATGTTATTACATAAATTGTAGAATATTTTTTATAGTTAAATTTTGTATATAAATATTTTTACCGGAAAATTAGTCGGAATGGAGAAATTGTCAAAAAACTGGCGTAAGGCGTCATTTTTCCAATATGGCGGCGCGAGTGGCAAAGATTAATAGTTCTCAGGGCCCGAAAATGGGTTTCTCCTTTGTTCACTTTTCCTAATCCATACTAATATTATAAATATGTGAGTGTTTGTTTGTTTGTCCTTCTTTGACGTCAAAATACGACGGATTAGCGTGATTTTTTGTGTGGAGACAGTTTGAGGGCTGGAGAGTGACATAGGCTACTTTTTACTACGGAAGATTATCTCATTCCCACGGGAAAATATGTTATAATGCAGCCCATAAAATATTTGTGATTAGAATTACCTTATACTGATATTTACTTGAAACTTGGTATTAATGCTCTTCAATAAAATTAAATAAATACGTGTTTTAGCATTTTTCGAAATTCATCCCGTAAGGGAGTGAAATATGGGATGAAAGTTTCTATGAATCCTACCTTTTTAGCGATTTTTTTATACTTTTAGCGCGAACGAAGCCGCGGGTTCTGGTAGTATTTTATAATATAATTAGCAAGAAACTTACCGTTACTTACAAGCAATCCTTCACCAAGCCACCGATGTAAAAAATTATATGGCGCTTGTTTGCTGTTAAATTTGGGTGAAGACAGAATAAACTGTAACCATGGAATTATTGGCTGAATGTAGAATATTACTATTTATCATCTATACTATAATAAAACTGTAGCGGTCGAATATCTGTACATAAAAAAAATGCTAAAAACCGTGTTAGGCGGATGTAAGAAGAGAAATAGAACAAATCCAGAGTTTTTTTCAATTTGTTTTGTTTCTTTGTCTGTTTGTGCGGGCTATTCTCCGAAACTATTGGACCGATTTAAATGATTTTTTGCATGGTGGTACCTTATATCCCCGGTCAACATCTTAGAAACTTTTCGTCCCGGAACATTAAAGAGTTCCTGTGAGATACTACTGATTGAATTTTAATGAAACTTTACAAATAATATAGTTCATACATCACAATAACAAATAGGCTATTTTTTATCAAAGAAAAATGTACGGTTCTCGTGGGATAGATTTGTTATTGTTTGTTTGTAACGTATTATGTGTGTGTGTACACAATATAGACCCCAAAACAATAGTTATTAAAATGGTTGCCTGTTAGTTTGTTTACCTGTATGTCTGTGTGTTTGCCTGTTTGTACGAGCTAATCTCCGAAACTGTCAAAACGATTTAAATGAAATTTTGCATGGTACCTTAAATTTTATTATCTGATTGCGTAATTCCTTTACTATCTATTCTCACGATGACAACAAAAATATGTGACATCGAAGGAATAACAAAACTGTCCGACCTCACACGCGATCACAAACTATAATACAGAAATACTACGCATCACGCCATGCAAAAATATAGGATGCCACATCGGCTTAAAAACATCTATCAGCTCTAAAATACATAGTTACTCTACTATTTAAAATGTTTTAATTTAGAACATTAAAATATTTTAAACAGTAGAAAAAGCTAAAAGTTATAACATATAAAATAATAACATTTGTTGTATTATTTGCTTATATATTATATATGGATAGTGTGTATATATATTGATATGATATACATTGTATTTTTTTTACATATGCTTATTCTTATATATTTTCTTATCGTTTCTTTGCACTTTCTCTCTCTGTCCCGCTATTTAACAATATTTCCCACATACGTGGGTTGACTGGAAGAGAATGAGAGGTCTCATAAAGAGATAAGTCCACCTTTGTCCACGTCATTTTCTATGTCTTTTAAATTATTACTTGTTTAGTGCAATAAAGAATATATATAAAGTTTATTTTTAATGACAGCTATAATCCCATAAATATTATAAATTCAATAGTTTGGACTGATGGATTTTTATATAAGCCAAAACGGCTAAATGGATCTGTATAAAATTTGGCACAGAGATAGATTATAGTCTGGAATAGCATATGTTACTTTTTATACCGGAAAAATGTACCATTCTCGTTTGATATCCATACTAACCGTAGAAATTTCAAAGGTACCTATCTAGGGACGAATCCTAACGTAGCGAGGGTGGGTCGCTAGTTATACTTAAATAAAGTAAAGTGTTATATTCTTGTCGCGGAGTGTATAGTAAATACATTTTCAGCACATAACAAATGTATCTCTTTTGAAAGTAAAGATAATTAAATATAATTTAAAAAAAACTGCAGGTTATCGACGGTCACATAAAAACTTTTGTTCTATACGTAATAAATATATTTATGTAGGTATACCCGACACATAAATCTAAAGGTAATCTAAATGAATTTAAGTTGGTAGGTAGCTACTCACACCTCCCTGCCCTCTTACCTTTATATATGTAGCAATATACTCTATGCTCTTACCTCAATGTCATCAGGATGATAAATATGAATAGACGTTACATGAAACGCACCAACTCCAACAATATCTCCGTATGTTGTAGGTAGAGTCCGGAGGTAGCTAAACAATTTTTCTGTAAATATATCGTCTTTTAGTGTCTTTACAAAGTAATATTCTCAAGTACTACTTAATTATAAGATATTAAATACCTATGCATAAATAATTATTTATATCCCATGTCTTATATTTTGCATAGTAAGAAGAAATAGTAGGTATATCTGATAAATGATAATTAATAAACAGTATATCTTATTATGTTTTTGATATTGCTGGTAGGGAACTCATGATAAACCCATCATCGGTTCCCTACCGGCAGTCATGGATCAAGGGACTGTGAAACTCCTACTCAATAAAACCCACAGCGGAACTCTATTGCCACAGGTGACTTGCAGCCTGCAGGATCGTTCGTGTACAAACTACAATACACCAAAATCTGTGATTCTGGCACTAGTTTTAACAAATGCCTGTAATCATTATCATCGCCTTCCTGCACATTTCCCAAAAAACATAGGTATATGTAATTTTGAGTAGATGAAATTGTTTTAAATGAAAAGTAGGTATGTTAGTATTATGGGTTATCTAGTACCTTCGAAGGTGCTGGGTTCGAATCTCGCCTCAGGCCAAGTTCATTATTGCGTTATTCTATCTAGAAATTCTCAGTATCAGCCCGGAGTTGGGAAAGTTGGCAGTGTAGTGTTACACGACCGTGCCTCATAGGTCACATTAGCATTCAGTCCTGGGCCTTATATTACACAGCCCATGTCAAATTGTCTTCTATTTTTTAATTAATTTAAGGGTGAGTTTGCGACATGCGTTCATAATTGTGCACCATATTACTATCTCCGCAATCTGGATCCATCCATATCTCAGTGAGTTTGGCTGTTGTAGCCGAAATTGATCAGAAGGGCATTATTACTATTCATAACTATACATAGGTAAGTAGTTTGACGGCACGTTTGGCTCAGTTTGTAGTGACACTAATTGCTGTGCCAACGGTCGCGGGTTCGAGTCCCGCTGGGGGCATTCATGTGTGATGAGCACGAATGTTTGTACTCCAGTCATGGGTGTTTATATTTATAATATGTATGTATTTAAAGTTATATATGTGTACACTACACAACCACCAACCAACCACCTGGCACCAACTACCTGGTATTTATACCATATTATTATTAGTACCTGGGCCACCGAGCTTTGCTCGGAGTTTTTGGTTAAAAGTACAATTTTCTTTAAAATAAAACTAAAATCTTGAATAACTATTAAGAACAAAATAAAAACTTTGTACGCTACCGAGATTCGAACCTGGGCACCTGAGATAGTCGATTTTGCACCTTAGCCGCTTGAACACGATGCTTATATCCAAGCGTGCGAAATTATCGAACATAATATTTTGCGTGGAATAATACAAAAGAAATAATAATAATAAAGCTTTATTTATTCTATAAATGCTTACATATAATTTCAAATTAAAATTAAGTACTCTTACTTAATTAATAATTTTTAACATTGTATTTTAACAGATCATATTTATAACTTATTTGATTACCTATATTTAATTTAACTTCAATTTTTGGTTAGTGAGTTGGTTGGTGAGTTTATTTATTAACTTATCATTTTTTAACTAATAATTTTGTAATCTGGAATTAAATTATTTTAAAAATCTTTAATATTATTTGAAATTATATTGTATGTTGTGATAACCTATTTAGTTACATTTAACTTGTTGTTAGCTTATGAGCAATTACTTAATTAATATATATAAGTTATCATTAACAAATAAATAGATAAACAATCACAATAAATAAAATAATTCAATTGAGTAAATACTAAACATTTCACAATAATAAATATAAATAAAATTTCTTTCCATACATTAATTCTGACAATACATAGTTATAAATATACATAGGTATTTAATTTCATAATTAAATGTATATATTTAGTAAATGTCTTTTGTGAATTTCCTATTAGGTTTCATGTATAGATCCCTCTCGGGTAAAAACCTCCTCCAAAGTATCCTGCATAGAGCTCTCCGTTGGAGATTATGCTTGTATGATTGCAAAGGGTTTCTTTTCAAATTTTGTTTCCAATATATAATTTGTTTCTGATATGCCTACAAAGTTTATAATTTTATCTTTGTGTTCTTTTGATTTGTTGTAGGAAATGCTGCTTTTAATTCTAGAAGTTTTTTTGGTGAAGATATGTATACCTTTGTTCATTGTATGTCTGTTTTTCTTTTGAGGGTTACGGTTGAACTCCCCCACGGTGACCGGCCGTACTGGGGGATAAAGATGAGAAGTTTCTTCTGTGTTTACTATACTATATCCTGCTGTGTTGTTTTTAGTTGTTCCTGGTTATAATTTGTGTGGTTGAAAGTTAATTTTGGTTTTAGTATTATAAAGTCTTTAATATTAGCAGGTTTGGTTTTCTTTGTATGTTGTTTATTTCTTAGTTTTTGTTTATTATTGAGGTAAGGCGTTTCTGGAGATACAGGCAGACTTCTTTTATTTGAGTATTGGCGAGAAGTGTCCTTATTATTATCCATAACAATTAGTTTGACATATTTAATGAAAGCTGTTTTGCCTAGGTCTTTTTCTATCTTCAGTTGGGCTTGTAACTCCTTGCGTTTGTTTAAGACTTCTATTGGATAGTCCTCTTTAATGTAATATTGAGTGCCACATAAACACTTGCCATTTTTCTGAATTTTTAGTTTCAGGCCTATTGTTCTTTCATTTCTAACATTTCTGTTTTCTGCTGTATTATTTCTTGTTGCATGTTTATTAACAACTTTTTTATGCCCTCCACTTTAAGTATGAAGTTGGAAGTAGAAAAGCTGATTGAAAAAGAGCACCTATTATACCTAGTTGAATTACCATTTTATACAGAGTATTAAATTTAGAGGTTATAAACTTATGTTTTAATATTTTACGCTTTCACTTCACAAATTTATTTTGTTTTATTGTCATCAGATACAGAAAAGATGGTTTTGCACTGATAGTATCTATATTTTATGTTTGTCACTTTTGTATTTCTTGGTAGGTGAATTTTTAAAAGCTCATTTGTTCTTCAGCACATCAAGACTTGGTACATATTGCCCATAGGTTTTATCGATTAATTTGTATCTCTTTTCTTTAGATTATTTCCACTATACTAATATTTTTAAACTTGATTTTAATACGGACACGTTATTATAGTGTAGACAGTTGTACAGTGGCGCCTCCCACCCACCAGATGTGACAACTGACAATGCAAAAATTGTGAAAATGCAAAAGAAAATCGCATGAAAATTCGAAAACACGCGTTTTTCCAGACATAAGACTAATCTAGATCGATTTATCGCCCCCGAAACCCCTTGTATACTAAATTTCATGAAAATCGTTGGAGCCGTTTCCGAGATTATATAAGATATATATATATATATATATATATACATACATGTATATAGGTTTTACTGGAGGGATTTTGATGAAGTTTGGAATGATGATAACTGAATATCCGGGTCATATAGGATACTTTTTACCGCGGGAAAATGTCTCATTTCTGAGAAAAAATACAAAAACTGTAATGTAAGAGTATACTAATATATATATATATATATATATATATATATATATATATATATATAATATACTAATAAATATATATATATATATATATATACAAGAATAGCTCGTTTAAATATATAAGATTATTTTTGTTGGGTGTGGTGCCGAGGTCGGCCCTAGCTACGTCGACCAGTTTTGGTCCATTGTAGCTTGGTATCCATAACACAAGTCTCGTAGCTTACCATGAAACTAGATGGTGCTTTGTGTTAATGTCCCAATATATTTATATTCGTATAGTCTCAACATTTGTTTTAGATGGTGTTTTTCATCTATGTTTGTCCGTCAGCCTGACTGTAGCAGTCAAGGGGTTAGTTCGATTTCATTTAGTCTTTTTTTTTATTTAAAAGCCAAAATTTAATGGTAGTTCTTTTTTTACTTAAAAATACGCCCAGCTGTTTAAAAATCATGAATTCTCTTACCATATAGGCAATTTTATTAACAAATAATAGAATGTATTTTTATGTTACTTATAAATCAAATAGAATTTTGGTACCTACGTTTATAAAACCGAGAGGCAGATACATAATTGGTAAGGGTTTACATTTTTTCTATTTAGTTACCGATACCAGACTAAAAAACAGATACTCATACCTTGGGATAAATTAAAATTGCCAATATTCCCTATGAGAGGCCATCGCGTCGGTCCTGGTAGTTGAGCGAATAGCCTCCCTCTTCTAGTATATCTGAAGTAAATATGACAAATTACAAGCACCAAAATACTAGCAACAAACAACACTATTAACACCATGGTCTTTTCTCAGTTGAGACCTTATCCTTACTGAGAGGAAATTATATTTTTATCGCAATTTATACTATTGGATCGGATAGTATAACCATAAGTGTATAATCTATGGTATAACCTTTAAGATTGTTAGTTTCGATACTCTTATAAAAACATATATGTATAAAGATAATCTATACTTACAGATAAATAAAATTGAAGTATTTGTATTTACATAATGTCAAATATTTTTTTTTTACTAAATGCATTTGTAAGTACATATATACGGTAGGTACTAATGAGAAAAACAAATTTTTTAAAGTTTGTCTGTCTGTTTGTTCTGGCTAATCTCATCACAGATCATATTATACTATACTCGTACTTGTAAGGAGTAACTTTGGCTACTTTTATTTTAGGACAAGAATTAGACTTCCGATGAGAAAAATTAAAACGTACCTAGGAACGCACCCGCAGCGAGGGTAGTAGTTATAAAATCTTAACCGGAGGCTTGTCGCTTGAAATACTCGAACTTTAAGCACAATATACTTACCTAATATTAAATTGATCTACCTATTTACTTACTACAATAATAAATCAAAACGATCGATCCTACATGTGTATATCAATAATTTGTCATTTTTATAGGTTTATTGATAACCTTTCTACATTCAAGACATGTTTGGCTCTACAGTTTGTAGTGGCCCTCCTTGCTGTGTCAGCGACCGCGAGTTCAAGCCCCCCTGGAGCATTTATTTCTGAGATGAACATGAAAAGTTTGTACTCCAGTCATGGGTATTTATATCTATTATCTATACATATAATAAAATTCTAACTTAGTCGAATCTGTACATTAAATATTTTTTGGAAAATCTTATTGGATTAGACATTATTATCGATACAGAGGCCGAATCTATAGTTTTAAGAATTTTTGTCTGTCTGTCTGTTACCGCATCACAGAAAAACTACTGGAGGGATTTTGATGAAGTTTGGAATGATGATAACTGGTTATCCGGGTCACATAGGATACTTTTTACCGCGGGAAAATGTCTCATTTCTGAGAAAAATTGTACTTAATAGTCCAATTGAGGTGTTCACGAGCAAATTGAAGTCGGGCTTGACGGTGAGCTGCGCTCAGTTTTGGGCCTCTGGCTGGCCGTTTAGGAGTTAAATTGGCTTTCTTTAGGCGTCTTCTAATTGTCCACTGACTGACAGCCACTCCTCGAACCCTTCTGAGCTCCTGTTGCACATCAACGCCCGTGAGATGACGATTCTCAACGAAGTTGAGACAATGAAGCGGTCGTCCGTCTCAGATGTGCTCCGGTGTCTATTGGTTTGTGGTCTCCGAACGAAGCCACCAGTCTCTTGAAACCTTCTGTATACTCGTGAAACAGCTGATTGGTTCATGTTAAGTTCACGAGCGACTTGCCGTTGATTATGGCCCGCTTGCAACAAAGCTACAACTTGAGCCGCTGCTACTGAGGCAGTGTCCATTGGATCGCGATTAAAATACTGGGAGCTTAAGGAGATGTGTAACTGTCAACGTCTGACGAGTGACTGAATTGAAATATGGGTCACGTGAGCTTTTATAGATGATTTAGTCTCGCAACTCGTGGGTACCGCAACGAGTAATTTCTGTAACGCTCATGTTTGACCGTATTTATTTAAAAAAAATTGTCATTGTTTATTCGAATATTGCTATATTTATGAAAAAATATATATATCTGTCGAATATAAAAACTTTTACAAAAATTGGATAAGCCATTTTCCGAAAAATCAAACTTATATACCAATATATGGCTTGAGTCGATTCAGTTGCACGCGAGTGTATTTTAAAATCGACGTAATCACCATCCAGACACCCCAACAGCAAGCAAGGAGAATAAAAATCAAAAAACGTTTAATTTATTCAACTCCAAATCCTGTGTCTCCGTGTAGGCTGAATGCCGGCGCGTGATCTTATTTAGTGTGAAAAAAAAATCTACGAGAATAAAACTCAAAAAAGGTTTTATTTATTTTATTTCCACTATTCATCTTCAAATCGTATGTGTGTGTGTGTGGGCTGGGGCGAGGCCGGTACCAGGGCGGCAGGCTCGTTCAGGGCGGCGGCCTTGACGAGAAGCCGCGTGCGTCCTCTAACACGCTTATTTGTCCGAGCACTCTCTGCGCGTTGCCATTGCTCTTGCTCCTCTGTACCGCATAACACTCGCGCTGTACTTGAGCTAGCACAGTACTGAAATATATAAATAAGTATAGTATTCAGCCCTTTTTAACTTCCCACAGCTGGGCACGGGCCTCCATTCAATACGAGGGAAATCAGGCCAGGGTCCCATGGTAACCGTAGGTACATTTTTCTGAGATAAAAAGTAACTATTCCAGACTATCATCTATCTCTATGCCAAATTTTATCCAGATCCGTTCAGCCGTTCTGGCGTGATTGAGTAATAAAAATCCATCCAAACTTTCGCATTTATAATATTTATTGTTAAATTTATAGGATTAACACTGTATCGTTATGTATATACAAAAATAAGTCAACAAAATGTTACCAATGATCAATATTATGGCCTACCTCTTCCGCTGCCTTTGCAGAGTCGAACCGAATGATGACGTCAGACTGTCCTTCCTTCACGTCGACGTGCAACGCGTGGATGTTGCTCTTTATCTTAAATAATATAACAAAACTATACTTACAAAGTTGTTTCATTTATCAAAGCTAAACAAAATAAAAACTAAAAAAAAGTCGAGAGGTGCCTGGGACACACGGTAGGAACGAAGTTCCTTTCACTGTCTGCTCTTGGTTCATTATTATAAGCAGTTTTTCTTATAATAAATTAATTACTTCGACCAGTTTTGATCCTTTGTACAAAGTCCCTTGGCTCATACATTAGGTCTTAAAAATTGTAATCTATACATATAATAAAATTGTAACTAATCTTATTGAAATAGACATTATTATCGATACAGAGGCCGAATCTATAGTTTTTAGAATTTTTGTCTGTCTGTCTGTCTGTTACCGCATCACAGAAAAACCACTGGAGGGATTTTGATGAAATTTGGTATGGTGATAGCTGGTTGTCCGGGTACATAAAGGATACTTTTTACCGCGGGAAAATATCTCATTTCTGAGAAAAAATACAAAAACTGCAATGTACGAGTATACTAATTAATATGTAAAACCTAAGAATTTGGTTTTTGGTCATCTGAACGCGGGCGAAGCCGCGGGCAATGCTAGTATAACATACATCCCTTAACACTTATGAATGCCTCCCTAAATAAATCTATATCGATAAATAAAATTGAAGTGTTTGTTTGTAATGTCAAAATAACGCATATAGAATAGGGTGTCCCAGAAAAATCAAAGTAGTTATTTTTTTACGCATACTCTCTTAATTTGTTAGAATGGTGTCAAAATCATTGTAAATAAAATTTAAGGAAAGTAGGACAACGGTAACCCGTGCCGACATACGTCGAAATATATCAATACTTGCTTAGTAAGGCAAATCGAATCAATTTGCTTTTAGTTATTTGCAATTTTGTTAGTAAATCGAATTGTTTTAAGTCATTCAAGATGTCAGAGGAACAACGCAGTTCTAAATAGAATATATTAAAATATACTAAAGATGGAAATGTAAAACATCAAATAATAGGTTCAAAACTTTCCTCTAATAGACAAGTTTGGGAAGTTTTATTTTATTATTTAAAAGAGTTTGTCAAGAACGTAGATAATTTCTTCAACATTGCCCACGCTGATGCGCTTTAATTAATTAGAATTTTTTGGAGCGACAGAGGGAACCAGGTTGACCAAGTCACTTGGTAGACAAAAACCTAAATGATAAAGAGGAAAGGGCACGTCTCCGAATTAGCAAAGGTGAAAAGCGGCGTATTAAGTATATCTCAGCACCAAACCTTTCGACATCAACTTATGAACCTTTACAAAATGTCTCATCTTCTGATTCTTATGAAAACATATATTTACGAAAAGATTTGTCAACCATATTGAGACCGCACAACGCAGAATAAGTATAAGAAATTATACAAAGATTTCATCACTCCAAAATTAGTAGCAGCGTTAGTAAATGTCAGCTCAGTTGCATTGTTCATTTTGGAAGCAACTATTAAGACCCTTATATATAATACAGATGAATTTCCGATAAGTCTTCAATTCAAAGAATTCGACAGGAAAACGGAAACAATGCGTTGATGCTATAAAAGTTAATTTTGAAAACGAGGTAACTGATGTTGCAAGGGATCACTGCGTTGGAAAACTGTTGCCTGCTTTAGATGCTCGAAAATCACAGAAGAACGTCTTCCCATAGTTTTTTCATATGAAGATAAGGAACAATTATTGCTGTGGCAAGACTAGAAAGGAGCTCTCTTCAGGAGCGAACAGGCAAAAGCGGTTTATATAAGTTAATTGAGCTTTCTGTAAGATTTTTATGTGTAAATATGTACACAAAATTTAAAATTTATACTCCAGGTGCCATGCACCAATCTCGATTTATTCACAGAAAATATCACCGTAAGCGAACCAATTGAAAATTACCACTGCTCAATATTTGCCTGTTTTTTGTGACATCCTACATAAAACCATGGCTGCAATGTATTTTGTAGTCAAAGCACCTTATGGGACCTATGGTTTTTTAAAATCAATAATAGCTTACGAAAAAATTGATAAAACCATCTCCAAAGCGGCTTCAGAAAATTAAGCTTTAAGAACTTTGTGGATCACTAAATTGTAAGTTATATAAATAAATTTACAAGTAGATTCTTTAATATAAAACACTCAAAACAGTGAATGAAACAGCCGAAGAAGCAGTTAAGTTGATGCAAGAATTTCAGGCTTAATTAGGGTTGAAGAGAAACAAAAATGTTTTTGTTACGTTGAATACAAGGATGCCGGAAGCTTTATCCCGATTGTAAAAAGAAACGTTGAAAAGGAAATTTAAAAAAGGATATGTTTTTAAATCAAAAATAAAAAATAGTTATACGATTTGGCTATATATTTAATATTTATAACTCAATATCTTTGCGTTTTAGAATCAAGCTATATTACTTCATACAAATTATCTTGCCTTATATTTGGCATCCCGTCGGCACGGGTTATCGTGATTTAATTACAATAATATTTATTATTTGAGTCATTTAGAAAAAAAAATAAAAGGGTATGCGTATTTAATTTCGCGAAAAAAATTCTCCCTTATATCCTGGGACACCCTAATGTAGATATACGGTACTTATAAGAAAAACACACTTCAAAAATTTTGTCTGTGTGTCTGACTGCCGGAGCTAATCTTTGAAACAGCTGGACCTACTTTGACGGAACTTTCACTAGCAGATGGCTGATATTATGAGGAGTAACTGAAGACTAGAAAAAGAATAAGGGTTCCGCGCAAAAAAAAAACCTTTGAAATAGTTAAAAAAAAAACCGCCTACGTAGTGACGCACCCGAGCGAAGCGAGGTTAAGTCCCTAGTACATTATCGATACATATAATAAAATTGTAACTAAGCCGAATCTGTACATTAAATATTTTTTGGAAAATCTTATTGAAATAGACATTATTATCGATACAGAGGCCGAATCTATTGTTTTTAGAATTTTTGTCTGTCTGTCTGTTACCGCATCACAGAAAAACCACTGGAGAGATTTTGATGAAATTTGGTATGGTGATAGCTGGTTATCCGGGTCAACATATAGGATACTTTTTACCGCGGGAAAATGTCTCATTTCTGAGAAAAAAATACAAAAACTGCAATGTAAGAGTATACTAATATGTAAAATCTAAGAATTTAGTTTTTGGTCATTTGAACGCGGGCGGAGCCGCGGGCAATGCTAGTTATGTTATAAAACGAAAACTATTAATTAAATTGGATTAGTACATCTGGATGAATCAAGTAATCTCTGGAGATTAGCATGTGCAAATTCGTTTTTTACCCACGACGGAACGGAGACGGTATATGCGTTTGGGGTGAGAGGATGTTTGTTTGTTTGTTTGTGCAAATACATGTTGCCATTCATCTTGAAAACTACTAGTCTGATTTTGAATGCAGTTTTCAGTTATGGGTTTGGGTTTGATTGGTGCATGTTCTTAGATAAGTGCTACGATGAGAACTCACCAGGGGGCGCTGCAGCAAACATTGTTTGCGCAAATCCATGTTGGCATTTTCTCTAAAACTACTAGTCCGATTTTATATATTAGTATATGTAGATATTGATTAATTAATTATATTTATAATACATACTGTTCTCTTAGTGAGCCTCACGTCGAGACAAGGCTCTGAGAGGACTTCTTTGACAAACACTCCAGGGATCTTTTCTAATGGTTCCACATTCTTGCTACTATCACTATCTCTTGTACTGTTCACTGAAAACAATAAGGAAATTGTATTAAATAAGCACACAAAATAAATAAGTTTACGCGAGCGGAATCACAAGCAAACCCTTGTATATAAATTAACCGTTAAAGAATTTTAAGTTTATCAAAATATAATCAATATTACAAAGCAGCAGGTTCAATGCTGTGGAAGACATTTTTGTTGGTCAACTGTGTGGGATATTTCTTACCCATGCCATTCCACCATTCTTATTATTATCTATGTCCATATTTGGAGAATCATTTTCACTAATTAATATGGAATAATTTTTGTGATCTGTTTTTATACAAACAAAAACAGCACCTAAACTTCAATCGCTTTATAATGATTTATTTTATGTATGAACAAAGCAATAGCAAGAGAGATAGGCGTTTTCACCATTGTAACATACGAGTAGAGCCGCATGTGAAAGTTAGAAAATAGTATACCTGGTTCAACTTCCATAGCGGGAGTAGCGGGTGCAGGTATCCCGGAATATCCATGTCTTTTGCTGTGTAAATTTGTCTTTATTGCTTTCATGTACTTCCTTTGCAAATTTAAATATTTATTTCTTAGTGCCTTCCATTCACATTTGGGTAAAACTTGAAGGCCCCACAGAGCACCTTTAGGGGCTTCGCCTTTGGCTAGGTCTTTGCCTTTTTCTTTGGAAGACCGTTTCTTTAGCTTTTTCTTTCTTGGAGTATTATCCAATAGTTTATTTTCATCATTACTTGTCATACCATCTTTAAACTCGACATCAGTGTTTTTTCCTTCCTGAAAATTATTCATGAATTTTTAAAATTATACTTTTACTAGTTATTTAGTAGTAGGCAGCGATAGCCGAGTGGTAACGCGCTCGCTTCGGAAACCGAGTGAAGCGGGTTCAGATCTCGGGTCTGTACCTCTGATATTTACGTGTGCGAATCATTTCTAATATGATTACCACTTGCCTTACGATGAAGGAAAATATCGTGAGGCAACCTGCGTGTCTGAGAGAACCTAGGAAGTTTTCGAAAGAGATGTGAAGTCCGCCAACCCGCACTTGGCCAGCGTGGTGGACTATGGCCTGATCCCCTACGTATTGAAGGGAGGCCCATGCCCTACACTGGGACGTTAAAAAGGGCTGAATACTATTTATTTACCCTTGCTCATTTGCGTGGGTCCCTAGGTGGTAAGACTTAGTATTTCTCTATACCTAGTCTATCTGTGTACAGATACCAGTCATTTAAGTGTAAACAAGTAACAAAAATACATACACAAATACTAACATTCATGTCATTCGCATTTATAATAAAAGTCCAATTAATTGTATTTTAAACAGTAACTAATATGTACAATGTATGCTCACCTCACTAGGTGTAGTTATACCCTTATTTTCATCCTGAAACAAAATGTGTCAATAAAATCCCTTTCTCTGCTGCTGAATTTAGTTACTTAGTTTTTTTTATCACCGCTTATTACAGAGCAACAAATTATAGTTTAAAAAACTTTAAAGTGTCTGCCCACTACACCATCTCATACTATGACCGTGCTAGGACCGTGTCAGGCAAAAACATATTCTTTGTATTGAAAAGTATGAGACTCTGCTCACTAGACCGTTCCGTCACCGACCGGCACCGTCGGGTGCCGTGCACGGAGCGGTAACAATTGTCGGCGATCAATACCGTCTCATACCATGACCATGCTGTGAACGTATCAGGCACGAAAACGGGCATGGCACGGACTACTATGCCCACTAGAACGTATGAACAGAGTATCATACTCATACTTAGTGCTTAAGTTTTAGTGTTGCGTATGCTCACCATTGCGTCGGCTGCACGTACCGGTCTTGCAACATCGCATGCCGTATGAGATGGTGTAGTGGTCAGACAAATTTAATTAAATAGTGTCTATGTACATAGTTGGTTAAATTTATTCTGTTTTTATTTTCCAAATTTGTATGAAACAAAATAATGAAAAAATAATAATAAAAGTTTACCTTGATTGTAAAAATTGTTTATCTTATTGTAAAGTAAATTATGATAGAGAAATAGTCAAATACCAATACCTACACTTTTTGGATTGCTAAGTTATATCTGTTTGATAATTATCTGATAATTTCATTCCCTGGTAATTATATATGTATATATTAGTGAAATATTGTTATTGGATACTCACAGTTGGTGTATCAATTTTCTTTTCACTGTCAGATTCATGATCTAATTTTAAATCTAAAGATTTTGATGGCTTTTTATCTTTTGTCTTCTTAACTTTTTTTTTCGGTGGTTCATACTCAGCTTTTAAATCAGGATTATTATCCAAATTTTCTTCCATATTTTCAATACTGAACATTTTAATTGATGATAGTTCTTCAGGTGGCATACACAAAGGTAATTTGCAACCCATTTTAGTGAATGCTGTTAAGCACTTTTGTGCTTCTTGTTGTTTAGAAAATTCTATAAAAGCAAAACCCTGTAAACATTTAATTATTATCAAATTTAAATTATTTGTCACTAGCAATACACTTTAATATTATATTACGGAAGCCCTCATAATAGATATTTTTTCTTTTTTAGACATTTATTTTTGCAAAATATTCATGATTTAGCCAATAAATAATCTATCTTTCTATCATTAAAAACCATAACAGAAAACACAGTAGTTTCTGAGACTAGCCTAACAAAGCACAAACTCAATACTTGGTATATTAGTACTTTAATTTATATATACATGCAATCACACAAATAGTATGTTTTTAGATTATATTAAAATTTATAATAAATATATTAATATACTTTAATTTTATTTGAATTCTTGAACTTTGGTAGTGATATATAGGCAACTTGGCCATAATCTGAAAATACTCTTTGTAACCACTCTCGATTAGCTGTTACTGGGATCGACTCAACATATATTGTCCTTAAATCTGCATCATAAGGCATCATTGGAGTTTTTCTTCTAACCTTCAAAATAAAAATAAGAGTATGAGAAGTTGTGGTTTTTAAAGTATTTTATTTTAAGGTTTTTAAAGATGCTACTAACTTTAAGTTTATCTTCTGACAATTCTAAGAATGTAGAATGCTTCATAGATTTGACAATATCACTAATATCCTGCGTCATAGACCGAATCTTATTAAATTTGAGAAATTCGGAGATTGGTACGAAAGGATCATTTTTCACTAAATCTCCGAGAAATCTATCTTTACTAAGGTTAGCATCACTGAAGTAGAATTCCATTTGTTTCATTATATTTTCATACAGATGTTTTTTACGATGACGGATTCTTTTTCTTGGATTGTTTTCATGTTTTGTATGTTGGTCTACAACATCTGTGTTTTCGGATTCAGACATTTTGCCACTTTATAGAGAGTCCTCAATCCAATAATAGTTTTTTTATATTCTTAATTAAATCATGAAAGAGTTTGTTAATACATAATAACTGTTACTTGTTGTAACTAACACATGCTATCACATTCACTGTGCTGCTGTGCACAAAATCGCGTATGTTTCACTATGCTATGTGTAACTCAGCTCAGAGCCGGTTCAAATATTCAGTTCACAGTAGCTAGAGCCGTTGAGCTGCGGCTCAGTTGCTAGATAATCGGTTCACAGCTCAATATTACTTAATATGGCTCCGTGCATCACTTCAGCGCCACCTAACGTCAGCTATTTCGATGGACCCGAGCCGACGGACCTGTACTATAGTCTATAATCTATATTATTATACTCTGCGACGGACGGTATGACATTTCATCGCGACGTAAATATATAATTGCATGAAATTATCATTCCCATATAATTGTGTAAGAACGAAAAAATATGACTATAATAACTTTTTTCGAAATGCTGCTTTATTGCATACAAATATAATTTAGGTACATCATACACGTCATTTGTTTGAACAGAGTCATAAATTAGCTGTAAATCTATAGTTATAAGTACCCATACAACATCAATTGAGCTGAACTGTGAGCCGGTTCACAGCTCCGGTTCAAGCATATGACTCATGAGCTGACCTGCAGCTCATAAAAATTCATTGAGTTACCCATGTCTACGTATGTTTAAATTTTAATTTATTAAATAACCCGACGTGAGTTAAATGAAATTACGGACAGTATTGCCAACACTTGAAATTTTATCCCCCTAAGAGTAATTTCAGAAAACTAACTGACAAATTTAAGAAGGTTTTCTGATACTAAATTTTCTAATTTTATTTTTTTCCTTTAGTTTAAATGATTACAAGTAGCGAAAAATACTTATGGTTATTATAATAATAATTACATATAACCATTTAATAATAATAATAAATTTCATAGATAACTTTATGAAAAAAGAATAAATTATGTAAATGTTATTCAAAAGTGCTTGTAATAAATCTATTTGAATAAAGTTTTATTTCATTTCATACAGATATATGATTTTTCCAAGTCTTTAAACGAAACTTTATAAATCGTTATTTATATTTAAATCATGCTATTAAAGAAAAAAAACAAAATAAAACTCTAACCTCTTTCCCCCTTAAAAGACCCCGGTTCAATTTTTTTACCCCTAAGCTAGGGGGGAAATCCACTAACTTGGCTACACTGATTAGGGATATGACAATGACTGATGACAATTGACTGACGCTGGACTCATAGATAGATAATATTATTAACCTTTCAACCAACTGGCACGCCTAGAAGCCAAGAAATAAAATAATTGAATTGAACCTGTGTAAAATATTATGTATAAACAGACTGTAGGAAAATACATGTAACGTATGTTCTTTATAATCCCTGTTTTCTAATGGAAAAATTTCTTGAAAGGAGAGCGCCACACGTATTACCTATTTACATTCAGTCTGAGGTTATGCAATTTATTGTGATATTTTTTTATACCCGGTTTTTTACATCTATTGTGTTTGCATCTTACCTGGAAGTTAGACCAGCTGAAGGAAGAATTGAGAAGGAGAGGTGCATTCTGTGGTGGTCTTGACTGACTGATGGATCAACATTCAACACACAGCCTAAGCCGTTGCTCGTAGAAACGTAAAATTTGGAGGATATTTCTCCACGATCGCGGACACGCCGGTGTTACCGTTAACAATAGATTTCTTAGAAATTTACCTCGAGGCGTTGGGTAAAACTACTATTATTATGTGTTATATTGTATAGATATGTATTTGTGTATGTACTATGTAGTAGTATGTACATATAATATGGTATATAAATATGTATAATGTTTATTATAAATGTATATATAATCTATACTAATATTATAAAGAGGTACAGTTTGTGAGTTTGTGACGTTGTAGGGGATAATCTCTGGAACTACTGAACCGATTTTGAAATTTTTTTTACCAATAGAAAGCCACGTTATTTCTGAGTGTCATAGGCTATACGAATCGGTGCATCATTGAATAATTTTTTTTGAATTGTTTTCTTAAACCAGAAATTAATACAAGTGCTTAAAAGTAAATAATTGTCAGATTTATGTAAATAAGTTTCTACTATTGTTCTTTTGTGTTTTTAATATATTTATTTAAGTATTTATATTTGAGTAACTACACTTTAGCCTGCTTTTTAATACTATCCTCTAACTCAATTAGGTTGACTGGAAGAGTTAAGAGATCTCTTCTTGAGATAAGTCCACCTTTGCTAACTAAAAAATGTTTGTTAATTTCTGTATTTTATATATGTGTGCAATGAAGAATAGATAAAAAATACAGCATAAGGTGTTTTTGGACTCCTGGTCGGAATGAAGTTCTTTTCGCTTTTTGGTAGACGTTTGCTATATAGTCATTTTAATTTATATTATAAAACTAGCGACTCACCCGCGCTTCGCTCGGTTTCGTCCCTAGCTTACTTCTTAATACAAACTTTCATCCCCATTTTCAACCCCTTAAGGGATGATTTCCGAGATTAAGTTTTATTAAATTTTTGAAGTTTCTGCGCAATTTTCTTAATCTTTTTAGAATCTTCTACGAAGTATTACTCGTAGAAAAAATTTAGTAAAAAGATGAATGAAATTGGTAAAGCCTTTAAGTTATAGCGGGACCAGGAGAAATAGGGGTTCATTTTATATCTATATATATAAAAGAAAGTCGTGTTAGTTACTTCGCTTATAACTCAAGAACGGCTGAACCGATTTAGCTGAAAATTGGCAGGGAGGTAGTTTAGAGCCAGGAGAAGGACATAGGATACTTTTTATCCCGTTCGACCGCGTTCCAATTTTTATGATATTTTAATTTTTGGATTTCTCTTAGTCCGGAATAGGTAAGTATTAAAACATATAATTAAAATGTGAGAAAGAAAGATTTTTTCTTTTTATATCTATTTAAAACGTACCTAGCGACGAACCCGAGCGAAGCGAGGGTGAGCCGCTAGTATACTATAGATATCAAATTGATAGAGTTCAATTGAAAAATGTACGATAAAAAATGAGGTTTAAGATTCATTTATTTCTCAAAAGAATACAATTCACTTACTGAGAAACATTAGTTTTACGTAGGTAACATTGTAAACGGGCAGCTAATATTTATATAAAAAATAAAATATATTTTGCGGGTAATACAAATAATAAAAAAAATATTTATTATGTATAAGATAAATAATGATAAAATGAACACTGTATGATCTGGGATGATTAAGTTAATAACAAATCAAAATTTAATAACTGTATAGATTTTATTTTATTAATAATTCCTTTTTATTTTAAAAATAAACATTGATTATTTACTTCTTCTTCTCTCTGCCCATTTCCCAATCACTTGGGGTCGGCGCAGTACATCTTCTGTACTGCTGAAAGGATTTCTCAAAAGTTTTACAACCGGCTTTTATTGTCTCTCTTTATCTGAATAGTGTCGCGGAAGTCTTGTAATTATTATGCACTTTCCATTTTGTTATCTTTTAAAACATTTTTTATACTATTACATAAATTTTTAATGTTATTTTCGGTTATATAAAATAAACGTTGATTACACCTTGAATTTTGTTTTGACGTTGTCAATTTTTTTATGTTTTTTGTTGTTTTAATACAAATAAAAGAAACATTAATTATTTACTGTAAAATATAAATAAAAGTTAAAATAGATTTAATCATTACTTTGAATTATAGTAATAATTGGTTTGTGATAAGAAAAATATTAAAGAAAAATATGAAAATATGAAAAAGATGTGAGCATCGTCGCGCCAACTGCAACTTTTACAGTCAGTGGAATGGCGCGCGGTGCGGGGAGATTACATATAACCACAGAACAATTTTACTCAGGAGGAAAAAGTATAATAAGACTTTTTAAGTTTTTACCGACACTTCTTGCCGTGCGCCGAAAGTCTTTTTTCGGTTATACTCTGCTAGTGACTTCTCTCCACGCCGCGCGCCATCTGCACAACTCTTAGAACACGGTAATGTTTTATGCTCCTGAGTAAAAGTGTTCTGTGGTTTTTTCGGTCTTGCTCCCATCCGTTCAGAGCGTATAACCCACGAAAAAGGCAAAATTCTTCTCCATTATAGAGTATAATAACGCATTTTCGCGTACAATGCCGAAGTGTGCTTAATTGAAACGTGAATGAGTTTTCAAGTGCACCAGCTAAAGAGCATTATACGGCATTATGCTTCACTTCGAGTTTTTCAACTACAGCAACGCTCTGCACATTCGAGCAATTTGAAAAGTACTGCTTAGTGCTTTGGTGACTTGGTGTTAAGCGCGCAACTACGAAAATATGAGAAGTGTTTTTTCACGTTGTTCGTGTTTGTGCGCCAAAGTGCGGCATTATGCTATGTAATTGGAAAACAGGGACGTATACATCTTAAAGCAAGATCAGACCCATCTCAAAGCAAATTTCAAAAACAGTTTTACATGTATTATTTAAAAATACTATACAATACACACAATATTTTTGTTGATTATATTAAAGATTAAAAAAATCGGACCATGGATGACTAAAATCTGACGATTACTGATAGAAAAGTTATAATGATAAACTTTTTGATATTAATTATTAAAAAGGTTTTTAATTTTAAATATACTTAAAAAACACTTTTTAATATTATTATCGATTAAATACGCAGTAAAATTACAAATCAATCAAAACAAAGATGACAGGTTAAATAAAAAAAAAAAAAATGGCTTAAGCTATTGGCTCCCCAACTATTGGTTGTCATATTTTAATATTCGGTGTCGAATTTATTTCTATCAAAATATTCCTTAAAATAAAATTGATTTATAGCTTAAACTGTACAAATACTGTTTTCCAAATGAAATGTAATACAGAATGAGTGATCGAGCTATAGCGGTGAGTAAAAAAAATGATATTTACACAGAAAGTAGCATAAATCTCGATTCTCGACAGAGCAAACTCGAAAATAAGTTTACACTAAGTGTAAGATGATTACTAAGTACTGTTTGTTTATTACTGTTTATTAATAAATTTAAAGTGCTTAATACTTGTATTTCTTTATTAATGGATACAATATTATGATAAAAAGATGAACCTTTAAACCTACGTTCTTGTTTTTAAGTTTTTACATTTATTATTTATTGCATTTTTCAGTTTTAATTTACGCACAAGTATTGTATATATTTATTTTGTATGCTTACAGTCTCGCCCTAGTTTAGAACAAGTCGTGGCTATAGTAGATTTTATGGAAAAACATCCCTCTTTAGCATTGGGTCAGTTAAGAGGCTTAGAAGGACGCGATGAAAGCAAAAAATTATGGTTTAAACTGACTAGAATTGTTAATAATATTACTGGTCCTACTAGGCCTATGAAATCATGGATTAAAGTAAGTAATTTATTTTTATTGTAAATATTGCTTGTTTCAATTTAAAAAAAAACTAGTATACTATAAAATAATGCAATAATTACACTTTTTGTAATGAATATTTTTATTTCAGTCGTGTTAGATGTGTTTGTAATACTTATTGATCTAGTTTCCACATGTCATATCCTAGGAGTCACAAGTAGATAGTGTGGTTTATTATTATTCTTATGTAAATATTATTGATAAATAATGATTATGTGAATTTAAAATATACTTAATTTCTTATAATCAATTTTTATTTATATTATGTCAAAAGATTATTATATAACAATTATCTATTCGAGAAAATATTTTAATTCATTGTACTATAAGTTAGTTACTTTTAGGATATTCAATGTTTGGTACTTGTGTTTTATATTTATTAAAATGATTTAATTTTATATTTATATTGCAGTACTGGGCTGATAAAAAATCAACAGTGAGATCTAAAGTGCAGTCTGGAGGTGGTGATCCCAATACCTTAGGTTCTAATATAGAAAAAAAAATTTGGGATCTATTTTTAGCTAATGATGCAGGAAGTAAGTGATCTTGTAAAATTATAACATCATTAATGTTAATAATATATTTTTTAATAAAGTTAATTAAATGTAAAATATGCAACATTACAACCTTTTTACATTAAAATAAAATATATAAATATACTAGCAGAACCTGCAGATTTGCTCACGCTAAAACTAAAAATATCTCTAGGAAGGTAGGTTTTATACAAACTTATCTTCTATGTAAAATAGAAGATAAGTTCTATTTTATATACCCCTATAAAGGATGAGTTTCGAAAAATGCTAAAACAAGTATTTATTAATTTGTACTTGTAATTCTGATTACAAATATTTTTATGGTTTGTATTATAACATGTTTTCCCAGGGAATAAAATAATCTCCCGCGGTAAAAAGTAGCCTATGTCACTCTCTAGCCCTCAAACTATCTTCACACAAAAAATCATGGCAATCCATCACTCTGTTTCGACGTGAAAGAAGGATAAACAAACAAAAAAACACACTTTCGCATTTATAATATTAGTATGGATATAATAAATAAAATTTAATATCAACATATAAAAATTTATTACAGTATTTTAAAATTGTATAACATTTAAAATAAAAGTTTAAAGCAGTATTTTATTACATGTAACCAACAAATCCTATCTATTATGTGATTATTAAATATTTTAGTTTATTATATAATTATAGACCTCATATATTAAAAAATAATTAAATATATGTATGTATATATCACAGTGTTGAAAAAAAATGTATTCATAATTAAAAAAAAATAACTTACACATAGTTAATATTGTTACAACAAATAAAATGGGTGATAAATAAACAATAACACAACTAAAGTTACTTAATTTATTTTACCATAATTAAAGATATTATCATTCATATCTCTAGATATAACGGCATTTACTTATCCTTTAAACAGTTTAGTTGTTTTGACTGTTAACTTAAATACTAGCAATCTGCCCAGACTTCATCCTGGTGTAAAGTGACGGACATACAGACATACAGATACATGGAGACATCTATATAAATTATAAATACACTGGTATTACTAAAAGTTTGTACTTAATTTACACATTCCAGAAAAGTTGGCTTTAAAATTTATTTCCATATCAAAACAATAATTATAAGTTATAGTTTTAAAGTAAATGGGATTTGTAAAAGCTTATTTTCATCATCATATCTATGATAAGAATATATTTCATATTTAATTCTTTGAATTAATATGATATACCTAATTCAAAAATGATAATTGGTTTAGTGTTGGATGTTGTCACATTCATTAAATATACAAACAAATCAAAATATACCTACTTTATTTTGTAAGACTAGCCCTTTTTATAAAAAAATAATAGAAAATTAGCAGTAGAAACCATTTTCATTTGCGTCCTATTGTTGCTAATGTCTCATAAATACAATTCCAAACATGCTGTATATAATAGTCTTGGGCAAAGTCGGACGCCATTAGTAGCGCACAATTTAGTTGCAGTCCTATGGCGAATTAACTAGTTCGCTCTTTTACTTCGTTAGTTTTTTTTTAAATATTTCAGTAGAAATTATTAATAAAAGAAAATTATGTATTTACGATTATTGCGAATTCTAACGAACTACCCAAAGCTAGTATCCAAAAAAGTAACAATTTTACCAAAAATACCGTAATTTCCATGAAAATTATTACTTGCTTTATTTTCAAGAAATTTTAACTACATTTTCTTATATATTGTTTTCAGAAAAAAACTCAGTAAAACTAGAATCTCATTATATGGAAGAAACATTTTATAATGAAGACAATATGGAGCAAAATCATGAGAGTGAACCAGTTTTGAACTTCGAAGAGCCTGCGCTTGATTTTGAAGAACGCCAAATGGTTGTTATGGAGAAACTGGTAAATAAATTTTATTTTATTTTATAATATTCATACAAATTATGAATAATACTACATACAAATGAAGAATAATAAAAGAATCACTAAAACTATGACTGAAGGCCAGAAAGGACTTTTATAGAGGAACTATTATTTACAGAAGATTAAATAGTATGAAATTAAAAATTTTGTCAGTCTGTTTGTTCCGGCTATTCTCCGAAACGGCATGACCGATTTTGACGGGATTTTCATAACTTAGGTTACTTTTATTTTAGAAAAAGTATTTAGAGTTCTGCGCTAAAAAATCGCTAGCCAAGCGAGGGTAAGTAAGTTGCTACAATTTACATTTCAAAATATTAAGTTTTATAGTTAAAATAATTATAGTGAGGCATATATATATAGTGAGGCAGTGGTAGCCTAGTGGTGATGCGCTCGCTTGGGAAACCGAGTGAAGCAGGTTCAAATCCCGGGTCTCGCACCTCTGATATTTTTATGTGCGAACCATTTCTAACACGATTACCACTTGCCTTACGGTGAAGGAAAACATCGTGAGGAAACCTGCATGTCTGAGACAACCTAGCAAATTTTCGAAAGACATGTGAAGTCCGCCAACCCGCACTTGACCAGCGTGGTGGACTAGGTTATCCCTGACCTATTCCCCTCGTATTGACGGGAGGCGCATGCTCAGTAGTGAGACGTTAAAAAGGGCTGAATACAAATGTTCAATATCCAGGTGAAAGTGATGGGCGAGCAGGCGGCGGCCATGTCGCAGCTGGCGCACGCGGCGCACGTCAACGCGCAGGCCATGGAGCGCTTGGCGGAAGCATCTCAGATACAAGTCAGTAATATTTATATCTATTATCTATACTAATATTATAAAGAGGAAAGATTTGTTTGTTTGTACTGAATAAGCTCCGAAACTACTGAACCGATTTAGATGAAATTTGGTAAGACGACAGTTTGAGACCCTGGGAAGAACATAGATAAGCCGAAAAAATGCTCAAACTTTTTTACTTTTTAAAATAGGTAGCATTGTTATACCTTTCTAAATTTCCAATGAAACAGATAATTTATTGCTATAATAGGCAGTGGCAGTCTAGTACATTTTTTTTTCAGTGCTGAAGACCAAAGTTGAATAAAACAACTTTCAAAAAATAAAATACAAAGTATTAATTCTTTTTGTCGACGTTCCATAATTGTGTTTACCGAAAATGAGATTTGAAATAATAAATCAACCGCCTGAGAGTATTTGACATAAAAATAAAAACAATATGTACCTAGTTTTTTCTACGCACAGCTACAAAAGATAGATAAAAAATGACATTTTTAAAAAAAAATTACAAGAATAATAATAATATTTCATAAACGGTGGAACTTTTACGAAGGTAATTTTTTAATATGTTGTAGGTCAGCCTTACGTCTACCTTGCCTTTTTTTTGTCGTGCTATTTACCGGACATCTTGTATATATGATTGTGATTATAATAATAAAATAAATATTAAAAAGAGAAACAGACACCAAAGTAGAGTTACTATCAATACATATAATAAAACTGTGGAGGTCGAATGTCTGTACATAGAAAAAAATGCTAAATACTGAGTCAGGGGGATGTAAGAAGAGAAATAGAACAAATCCAGATTTTTTCAAACTTTTTGTATCTCTGTCTGTCAGTTTGTACGGCCTAATCTCCTAAACTGTTGTCCGATTGAAAAGAAATATTGCATGGTGGCACCTTATATTTCCGGTCAATATTTTGAATACTTTTCATCCCGGAAAATTAGAGAGTTCCCGTGGGATAGTTAAAAAACTATAGTAACTAATACAGCTTAGTACATAAAAACGACTGATTGGATTTTAATGAAATTGTACAATAATATAGTTCATATATTAGTATAGCAAATAGGCTACTTTTTATCTCGGAAATATGTACGGTTCCCGTGGGATAGATTTGTTTTTGTTTGGCTAGTTTACTAATAAAACTATATTACAGGCACGTGCGATAGAGCGTCTCGCGAATACGTTTGAGGCGATCGGCGCGGCGTCGCACGACGTACGCGCCGCCGTCGTCGACATCGACGCTACCGTCAAGCGCTTTTACGCTGCACCCACGTAGTGCCGTCTAGCGCTAATAAGCGAAACATAGCGCTGTCAAGTTTCATTTGGCACTGTCAAGGTCTAGCGCTATCAAGTGTTATCTAGTGTTGTTTAATGTCATCTAGTGCTGTCAAGTGTCATCTAGCACCGTCAAGTGTCATTTAGTGCTGTCAGGTATTTATTATCTAGCACTGCCAACCTTCATCTAGGGCTGACAAGTGTCGTGTAGGGCTGTCAAGCGTCACATAGCGTTGTCGATTGAATTTAATTTTGTTGTTAATAACCTCAAAACACACACACAACCAATGGTCACGTAAAATGGAGAAGACACGAGGGATATTGGTATATACGTTGTCGCTAGCGCTATCAAATGTTAGGTAGCGCTGTGAAGCGCCATCTAGCACAGTCTAGCATTGGTCACGCATGTACGATTTGTTAATTGGATTTCTGAATACGAAGCTTCCGAAACGATTGTTTTCGAAAAAAATCGTAATGACGTATGCGCTACTTAGAGCATTATATGAAATTTGTGTCGTTAATGTGCTATCAGCGTAACTATAGGTACACTATACAGTATACATATCTGCAGTATATATACGTTTTGACGTGAAACGTCTTTCAAATCACATCGAAACATACGGGTCTGAAAACTACTGTGGACCGTAACGAAATACGTTGCCATAGTAACCGTTCTTATTGTCTAAAAAATGATATGATATTTTTCCGTTGCTATATTCAAAGATTATGATATTTACTAATTTATTTTCAAATACGCAAAATATTTATAAAAAACAAAAGCATTAAAAGCGACTCGCAGAAACAGATGTTTCACGTCAAAACCAACGGCAATGTGCCCCGACACTGTCAGCCCCACCTGGTTTTTTCTGTCAGTTAAACAGTTCTTTCTTTCTTTAATCTATGCGACCGTCCATCTAAAACCGCGTGTATCACCAGAACAGGTCCGGGAAACCATACCTACCTGGTGGCGCTTTTGTAAACAATGTAAAAGTTATTCGATCATTTATTTTGTTACCTGCTAGGAATAATATTGTAACTCAGAATTGAGATATTTATAAAATAGGCCATGTTTCTTTAGTATATTTTAAGTTCAAATATAAAATTTCTAGAATACTGAGTTTCAATGCCTTTCCTTGCAGGGAATGAAAAGAAACCTGACTTTATATGAACATGGTGTGATTTTGATTGTGTGTGTATTATTTAGTTAATTATAATACGTACATCTTATATTGATTTTGTCATGTAACATACTGTAGTAAGTTCGAAGTAATTACTAATTACTGTGTACTTTTTGGTACTATTTGTTTAATAGATTTACTAAAAATGTTGTAAATAATACCATAATAATTAAAAAAATAAAAAGAATCTCGTAAATTCCATCTAAAGAATCCAAACAATTAAATATGTCAACACAAGTATGTTTAAAGAAAAGTATATGTCGCAGGGTAGTTGAAGATCCGTTAAATTATAATTTCACTTGTGAAATTACTATATTGATCGCAGTGAATCGACCAATCAAAACAGTCCGAGGCTTCGCATCACATCCTGGTATTGCTATTATTGACAATTTAACATTTTAAATAAAACTATCTTTTCGGATTATATGGTGGATTTATTTTGATTTTTGGTTCCCGACGTTTCACGGGAGAGACTAATGTGTTAGACGTCTCCCGTGACCATAATTGCTGTAAAGCATTCGAAACGTAATTTATTTAAAACGAATTTATTTAAAACGTCGAATATACCTACGTGTAAATCTTAGAAAGAATTAGGGAATTCCAATTTCACTCAATGTGCTTAGGAAAATTATAATTTACCTAAAAATGTCCCGCGATATTGTAAGAAAAGGAGACGACTCCAGGTAGTTATAATTTCATTAGTGAGATTACAAATAATAATAATAATAAGCGTTTATTTCGGACAAGAAGTCCATAAAAATCATCAGTATTTCATAAATGAATGGACCTTACAATTTCTCTGCGACATATATAGATACGTAATGTACGTATGTATGTAATGTTTAAGGTAAAATACGCTAATTTATATTATTTTCAAATGAAAAATCTCATACTTTATTGCGATAGAGAATTTATAAAGAAGCACTAAAACATGTTATGTACATACTCGTGTAAATATCTTGTAAATAAAAATAATGTTTCTATTAAAATTTTGTTTCATTTATATTCATATTCATTTTGCTTAAGACACAATTTAGGTGTCATGGTATATTTTTTAAATCACTTCTTTTTTAATTATACAAAATATAAATTCTTCTTAAAACTAAGGTTAGAAGAAACGAAAATTAGTTACTCTAAATGTGAATAGATGGCGCTATTGACTACAACTACCCACAAAAAGTATAAATTAATCCGTAAGAAAATACTCTTATGATCATAAAGATAATATATAGAGTAGGCAAGCCGATCTAAAATGTGATGTCCCGATAGAAAGAGACAAAAGAATAGCAGACTCCTTTGTATCTACTTTTATTTTTAATTTTTTTAAATATATTTTTTTAGAGAACTAGAATGTACTATAATAAATTAATAATTTTTAGTAGGCAATAAGAATCGCGGGACTAAATAAAATTTAATTTCATAAACTATGATGTTAATTTATTAAGATTAAGATATTTTTTATAAAAAAATAATATTTCTTGTTACTTATTGTGCTATTCTTTTAATTTGAGTAATGCGCCATATGAAGCCTACTAATGCGCATGCGTCATGAACCAAAAAATAGAAACTAGGCAGATATTTTCCATCTTTTTTTCTCCACGCCTCACCGCCACTTACAGTGCTGAATGGCAGTTGCCTTCTTTATCGCGATAGAGAATTTATAAAGAAGCACTAAAACATGTTATGTACATACTCGTGTAAATATCTTGTAAATAAAAATAATGTTTCTATTAAAATTTTGTTTCATTTATATTCATATTCATTTTGCTTAAGACACAATTTAGGTGTCATGGTATATTTTTTAAATCACTTCTTTTTTAATTATACAAAATATAAATTCTTCTTAAAACTAAGGTTAGAAGAAACGAAAATTAGTTACTCTAAATGTGAATAGATGGCGCTATTGACTACAACTACCCACAAAAAGTATAAATTAATCCGTAAGAAAATACTCTTATGATACTAAAGATAATATATAGAGTAGGCAAGCCGATCTAAAATGTGATGTCCCGATAGAAAGAGACAAAAGAATAGCAGACTTCTTTGTATCTACTTTTATTTTTAATTTTTTTAAATATATTTTTTTAGAGAACTAGAATGTACTATAATAAATTAATAATTTTTAGTAGGCAATAAGAATCGTGGGACTAAATAAAATTTAATTTCATAAACTATGATGTTAATTTATTAAGATTAAGATATTTTTTATAAAAAAATAATATTTCTTGTTACTTATTGTGCTATTCTTTTAATTTGAGTAATGCGCCATATGAAGCCTACTAATGCGCATGCGTCATGAACCAAAAAATAGAAACTAGGCAGATATTTTCCATCTTTTTTTCTCCACGCCTCACCGCCACTTACAGTGCTGAATGGCAGTTGCCTTCTTTATGTATATATGTATGTATGTATGTATGTATATATAATCTCCATGCTTATGATTTCTGGATGATGAAGACGTATAAAAGAGGCAACTTAAATTAAATACTTTAAATTAATTATTAAACTATGGCAACATTAATTAGATTTAGAAGTGTTTATTTTTTTTTGAATTGTAATGGCACATGAGTAACATTTCTCTTTTCTTACAAATCTTATAATTTGAAACTGACATTCTTGTTCATTTAGTATGTGACATGATTTCCGAGGTCTATTCCGGAAATGTAAAAATGTATCTGTGCTCGGGTGTAACATAAAGTATGCAAAACCTTTATAACAAATTAGAACCACAGCCGAAGATTAAATAAAAAGATTTCAGATAATTATATTTTTTATTATTTACAGTGTATTTACAAAAAAATATTGGTATTTGCATTAAATTATAAATGCTCGACATTGTAAACGAAATTGCCTTATTTAAATAAAAACTATGTACCTAATCAAATTATGTACAATCAATCTTAATCAAGGAGTTTCATAAGTTGTACCTACCTATTATTAGATATTATTTAAACAAAAAAAAATTCTGATGCCAAAATGAAATAAAATCTAAGCTCTAGAATCTAGATTATATTAAATATAAAATGTGACCTAGCATTTATGGCAGCATATTCATTTATAAAATGTACCTAAAATACTATTTTAGGTACATTTTTAGGCTCACCAAACTTAGCCCCCCAGGATTTTTTATTTTTAAGTTTTGAATTATATTTTCTCATATCGGTTGTTCGTTGTTTGTTCTTGATTGTACGCCATAAATAATTGTTTGTTCGTAAATTGTATATTTATAAATAAATTTTAATAAATGTAAATAGCTAACGGATTTTTCATAATAAAGAAAAAAAAGCTAATTTTATCTCTATCTCTTTCAAGGGAAACAGAACCAATGCTTATAAAGTACAAAACACAATAGTATTTTTTTTTATTTTTCATATTTTCTTCTCAATAATTGTAAATTAACGACTAATGCCTATATAAAATTTCCCATTTATGTTTCAAAATAAGTAAACAATCAATATGGCGAATGGAACAAAATCACGCTACTATTTTTGACTTTGATATTTATTTTAGCGGACTCCATCTTTATAGTTCTTTAGTCTGACGTTTTCTATAAGAATAGTTTGTGCAGTATTTTGCATATTTTCAAATGAAGTCATAAATTATTTTTTTTGAAAATTAAAACTAAACTTTATACAACAAATGAACCAAACAATTTGCTACGTAGGTACGTTATGCTACAGCATGCAAATACATAATAGTAATTTTAGGCACTTGCGAGTTGGTACTAAATGCATTTTTATTTGATTTTTATAATACAAATAATAAAGGCAATTTTGTACTATTCATCTAATTCTAAAGAAATACGTGCAATGTGCGCTGATTTTTATAAGAATTTTTTGCTAATTACAAAGTATTTCAAAGCGCATAAAAATAATCACCGTAAGAATCTAAAAATCGCGGTTAATGCCAACGTCGATGGATTTCTTCGCTTTCTTAATTGATTGTTTGGCATCATGCCGATAGGTCCTTTGCTGAATGGAGCCTGTCCATTTGTTGTTAGGTAATAATTGCCGCGTGCTCTGAAATATAAAAGGAAATAGTTACAAATAAATCTTACAAAAGTCCAACATGAGATTCCCTTTAATAAAATAATGCATATGAAAATCTTTATTGGAAACGTTTTTAAGATTTACAATCTAAAAAATATATACACTAAAAACTTAATTAGTTTAAAACTGTGTCTTAAATTAAGTGGTAGATTAAAAAAAACTATATTTACCTACTAAACTTGGACGTCTACGTTACGACCAACCTGTATAATACTGACCAAGTTCGATATGGATTCGCGATGAAATTTAAAGATGAGTGAGGTAAAGTTTGTTTTATTATATTGAAAATTTGTATAAATTGTCACCTAACTCTACATATAATATATCTAATGTAACTTAACTGCCTTGGTGGTGTAGTGGCTAGCATGTACGGCTGCACACGCGGAGGTCCTGGGTTCGAGTCCCGGGTCGGGCCAAGTTTAGTTATTCGTTTTTTTTTAACGTTGGGAAATGCATTTACGCACGAGGTTTGGACTTACCGGCGAAGTGAGTACTACCTACTAAAACCCAACAAAACCTTCCCCCGTCTTAATGGGGCGTCGCAGGATCGCTTACGCATTCAACTACGACGCCCCGATGGCAGGTAAATTAATCTAAGGCATCTAAATGATTGGTAACGTATTGTTTCTTTTTTACAGACAGACGACCGTTAGCTAATAATTATCTTTAACGAGCTTAAAAATAAAACTTAACGCGCCTCGCATTAATTATGGATTTATATATTTAAATATGTCAATATAATATGAAATTTAAATTAATTTATTAAGTAGCGACCAGCCGTCCTCATTTTTCTAGGTTATTTAATCATATATGTACTATTGTTTTTATTACATCCAGTAATAAATACCTATATATTTTTTAAATTGTCAAATTAACAATATCCATCCATATAATTGTCAGATTATCATTAAGGACGACTAGGACATCAAGTTGAACCGTTTGTATAAAAACTGACGCGCTCGTATTTCAAGGTCATATTTTTTTACATTTTCATAAATCGTTCATGACTTTTGATAACGTCCAAATCGCCCCTCATTTGAATAGGACACTTTTTTAAGTTCACTTAACATTCCCTCTGAATATCTCGATCGACACGCTCGAATAACTTTTTTTTCTACCCCTTTTTACGGTCACCCCCCACTAGTTAATCGTCAGATTAATATCTCTCGGTTATCAGAAAGACAAAGCGCGTATACATTATGAATGTCTGACGCGCTTGAGTATTTCCATGCGACTGTCTTTTTTACATATTAGAAAATTGTACACGCTCTCCTCCCCTCTAAAATGGAAAACTTAACATAAACTTTTTTCGTTTTAGAACCTAATCTTCACAATCCAATAGGTAACCATGACGCTGTAGTAACTGCAAATTTAGCATCCTAGGCTTCCTTACCACTAAGTACCTACTTAATCAATATCCTTTTCCATATACCTACTTAATAGGATAGTAAGTTCAAAACAAATATAACTATAGTTTTTTTTAAATATTGTCATATTCCAAAATATAAAATACTAGCGACTCATCCTCGCTTCGCTCGGGTTCGTCCATAGCTTGTTTCCCAATACAAACTATTATATCCCCATTTTCACCCCCTTATGGGATAATTTCCGGGATAAAAAGTATCCTATGTCCTTCCCAAGGTCTCAAACTATCTTCTTACCAAATTTCATCTAAATCGGTTCAGTAGATCCAGAGATTACCCCTACAACGTCAAAAACTCACAATCTCACAAACTTTACCTCTTTATAATATAATATAGGTAGTATAGATTTACACATAAATTAATGTTATAACATATGTATGTGCATATTTAATGGTCGTATCAGTGCTTATTTATTGAAACGACCATTTTACCCAAGGTGTTTTTATTACAGAATGATGGACTTTTAAATCTCAAATTTATAGGTATTAAATAAATATTTTACTTTAATGAAGCCGAAAAAAGTATTTTATATGTACTTACCTCCATGTAAATCTAGAAATAAAGTTTTGTTTTTAAAATAACGTAAAAAATCCTCTACTGTAAAGTACAACATATTGTATCGGTCCTTTGAACAAATAAGCACTAATACTACGTATGTTATTGTTTTAACTATTAAATAAAAATAAAATTAAAGCATTACTTGGTATTTGTCAATTCTCCCATGTACATTGTGATGTTGGGAAGCGTGTTCATATCGAGCCATGTACTGTAACTTTCAGCCCCCGCCGCGGGAAATGCAGTTGCTGAAGAAATTGACTCTACAAGATACCGCCAAGCGCGGTCGTGACTGCAGAGATCTGGAAGTAATATATTATTAATGATAATGATTCAAAGGATCTATTCAAAATATATTATCGAAAGTCGTCATAGTACGAGTATATGTACCACAATCTAGCAACCGCCTTAACACTTTATTCATAAGTTTACCTACATACATTATTAAATAATAAACATACTTCTATATTATTAAATTAAATAATTACATTATAATGATCGATATCGACCATATAAATTTTTACAACGATAAAATATTAATCAAGTCATGAAGTTTTCTTTGCAAAAGTTTTAGTTTTAACTAGCGATTCACACTCGCTTCGCTCGGGTTCGTGTCTAGGTTGCTTTCCTTTTCAAACAACATACAAACATACAAATCTTTCCTCTTTATAATATTAGTATAGGTGAGCACGCTCTAATTTAAAACGGATCGAGAAATTCTGTCAGCTGATAAAATAAAAGTGGCCATAAACCACAAAGTAATTAACAACTGCATAATATTAAAATGATTTAATAAAATACTGGGTTATGTTAATAACATAATTAGCGTTGTGAATTAAATTACTAGGTTAAGCTAAAATGATTAAGGTAGTGGTAGCCCAGTGGTAACACGCTCGCTTGGGACACCGAGTGAAGCGGGTTCAAATCCCGGTTCTCGCACCTCTGATATTTTCATGTGCGAATCATTTCTAACATGATTACCGCTTGCCTTACGGTGAAGGAAAACATCGTGAGGAAACCTGCATGTCTGAGAGAACCTAGCAAGTTTTCGAAAGACGTGTGAAGTCCGCCAACCCGCACTTGGCCAGCGTGGTGGATTATGGCCTGATCCCCCCACCTATTGAAGGGAGGCCCGTGCCCAGCAGTGGGACATTAAAAAGGGCTGAATACAAGCTAAAATGATAATTATTATGTTTACTAATAATCTAAAACTCATTAAGTAGCGTCCCACTGCATTTACTTGTTATTTAAATTTTAAAATTAGAATACATTTAGGTATATACTAGCGACACCTTCGTCCCTAGACAAAAACAAATCTGTCCCAAGGGAAATCTAACCGTACATTTTTCCGGCATAAAAAGTAACCTATGTGTTATTCCAGACTATAATCCATCTCTATGCCAAATTTCATCCAGAGCCGTTCAGACGTTCTGGCGTAGAAGAGTATCAAACATCCATCCATCCTCACAATTTTCACATTTAGGTATAATAATAGTATGGAAAATAATTTAAATCTTGTCTTTTAATTTTTCATCAAAATTGAGCAGGTTATTTTTTAAATTATTATTAAATCTCCTTTTAAAGAAGCACAAGAAAAGATATACTCGTACATAGATACTTGTCTTCAAAAGATATAAGCAGTCATTGGTTTCTCTTAATTTATTAGAAATACACATTACTTTTTCGGTTCTTACTAAATAAAATGAATGTATATAATACGCATATTATCTACATTATAAAAGATATTTGCTTGAATTAAAAATAAAGTATTTTTGCTAAAATATTTTATGTCATTTGCTACCGCTTATAATATTATTCTTAGATTACTATATTATGTTTTATAAAAAGGTAATAAATACCTTAGTAATATATTATAATGACGATATTTTATAAGTTATTAGAGTTGAATATAAATGTTATAAGAGTCGGTGTATAAATTAGGCACATAATGCATAAACACAATTTATGTTTGTTACCTTCAGGTGTAAACCTGTCAAAGTTTCCTTTCGGACAGCCAGGCTGCATGCCATCACTTGGCGAGAAGTTAGGCCATATATCTACTGTACCAGTAGATTTGGTACTGCCATAGTACCCTGGGTTTGTGTGAATGATATCGACGAATTTTGCACAAGTTCTATCTAATCCACTTCGTATTGATAATGTACCTTCGAACAGAGCTCGTGCAGGATCTAGACCTGTTATTCTGTAACAATTATCTATTAATAACATAAATATCTATAAATATAGGGTGGATATATAGGCTTTTTGGACCGCAGCCCAGAGCTCCTAAGCTACAACGGCCCTGTTGAAAACAATCGATAATATTGAGAATTAATAAAATAAAAATTTATTTAAGATAAAAGAATAAGGCCATAAAAGGTTAGCCTAACCCTATCTATTAAACAGAACAAAAAACAATAGCGTTATCTTCATTTCGTCTAGTACCTACCATCTATACAGATAATAAAATTGAAATGTCTGTTTGTAATGTAAAAATAACAGCTTTTTACTATAAAATGTATATAAATTTGTATACGGTACCGTAGGTACTTCTAAACAAAACACAAATTTTAAAATTTTTGTCTGTTTGCCTGTTTTCTGTCTGTGTATGTCTGTTTGTTCCGGCTAATCTCTGAAACGTTGATTTTGATGGAACTTTCACTGGCATATAGCTGATGTTATAAAGAGTAACTTAGGCTACTTTTATTTTAGAAAAATAATTTTGGGTTCTGCTGTAAAAAATTAAAACGTACCTAGGGATGCACCCAAGCAAAGCGAGGGTAAGTCGCTTATCTATCAGTATAGATTTTGTAAAGATAAAATTAAATTAATTTTCATTTTTAGATCCCCACTAAGTGTTAGCCCAGGGCCTCTCAAATTCACGATCCTCTTTTTTAGTCTAAAGTATCTCGCGTTAGGAGTTAGGATGGCTTATATTTAACTTGGTTTAATATTTAACTTGTAAGCTTATCATACGAGTTATAAAGTTAAACTGACGAAGCTAAATAAAATAGTTGTCCACTTAACACTTAAGTACCAAATTTAGGTACTTGAAAATTTTTAACGCACTTAATCCCAAAGGGTTGGCACAAATTCTCCAGTTTTTTAAAATAAGTAGAAGTAGTGCCGGATTTAATCTTAGAGCCGCCCCTGGGCATTGTAAAAAGTGCCGCCCTATTATCGAAATTTTGAACAAAATTATAATTTTTTTCATTATTGTTTTTTTGGAAAAATGCAAAAAAGTAATCATAAATGATATCAAGTTTTCGAAAAATGTACCTAATACTTAATCTTCTTTTATCTCTCATTTTTTGAAAATAATAAAAGCATTTTCGATAAGATTTTTTTTCCCGCCCTCCGAATTTTGTCGCCTCTAATTCGGCCCCGAGTGCCACTAGTGTAAATCCAGCACTGAGTTCATTAAATACGGCGGAAACATATTTAATCCTTAATCACACATTTCTTCAATACAATCCTGTGAGTTAGCATTCCATTGCAAAGTAACCTTTAAAAATAAAGTTTTACTTAAAATAACTCTTTTACCTTGAAATAACCTGACCTCTTTGCCGAGTCCATCTTCCAGCGTAAGCCATGACATGGGCTCCCAAAGAGTGTCCGATAAGATGTACTTCAGTCATATTAAGCCCATTTCGAGTAAGGATCATTAAAGCTTCACCTAGTTTGTGCCCAATCTATAAAAATTGATATATTCGATTGATATGAAGAATCATATTTGACACATATATGTATATATATATATATATATATGTGAAATATGATTATTATATATATATATATATATATATATATATATATATATATATATATATATATATATTACTTATATCTTAAAAAAATAATTTTAAAAGAAAGAGTTTTCGTAAAATTTGTCTTCAAAATTACGCAATTAAAAAACCTTATTTTTATATTTATTGAAATACAACAGAATGATTCGAAAGGTATGATATGATAAACCTCTTTTGTTGTATATTAGCAATAGACTATAAAAGGCCACTTTCATACTTATTTTTTTTCGAAGTGTTCGAGTATTTTTATTTAAATGTTGATTAATTATTATGTAACTAGGCTTAATAAATAATTAATGAATGATTTTTAGAGGTGTTACTCTAATAGAACTGTGAGATGATACCATTTTTTATTGCAACTTCCAATTTTTTCAATACTTTTTGTACTCGTAAAACGTAATCTTCAAAACTATTAATGATAAAGGGGTAGAGATGCTATATTATTGCACAGTTCCACTCACCAAATAAACAACATAAGTAAGTAAGCTAGAGAATGGGCCATTTGGCCATGCTTATCCGGGCTTGGGCACCGCCCGCGTAATTTATTTTAGCATAATTCCTCCACTACTCGGAGTTAAATAACTTATAGGCTATAACCCTACTCAATAAATAGGCTAAAAAGCAATTTGAAGAATTCTTTATCTCAGAGCTTAATCAAACAAACCAAAAAGAAAAACAAACGAACAAACTCTTCAGGATCTTATATATAAGGATAGATAAGCATGGAAATAAATCTTACATACTTTTTTGGCATTAGGTACAGCGTATAGTGCGTATCCAAGAGGTATGCCCAAAGTACCACTTTGAGCCTCATATTGCCAATCTAACAACAAAACATTTCTTTTCTTCATATTCAAATATGCTTGTAAAACTGCAGTTGTCGCTGGACCGTCACATTTTCCTCTATATCCGAATGCATAGATTACAGTTCGGAGGTTTTGGTCAAAACATGGATCGTGCAAGAGCGGGGTCGGATTGTCTAGAGATGTCTCAGTGTAGTTATTGAGAGAGCTGAAACATAATGCACTTGTAATTATATAAAACTCTTTATCAAATGATTATTATATTGTTAAATATATTCTGTGTATGCTCAGATATAACAGACAGACAGACCGACAGCAATTCATAAGATATTTAATTAGAAAAAACCGCCACATGCAAGTATCTTTGATTTTGAGATATGACTATTTAGGTAAGATTTGTAACATAATCAGTTTTTTATAATATTTTAAGATTGGAAGACCCATTTAAAAAAAAGATGAAAATCACAGGTAGGAATTCTGAATGGACAATTTTAATGATTGTCTTCCGTATTGTCCTTGATTTAAAATATACTCGTAATAGTTTACGAGTATTAATAGCTTATTGAATGCAACGCAATCACGTACGGTGAGCGGGGATAAAGCCAGTGACGTTTGCATACTAAAAAATCGGGCACCTGTGTGTCGGACTCGCACACTGAGGGTTCCGTAGACCGTACTGTAGGACATAAATTAATTTATGTTATTTTACTCATACATAATGTTTGTGACTTTAGAAGCATACGATTTCGCAACTATTACTAGACTTCTAATGCTATAAACGTTTGTCGCGATGTTTTCATCTTTTTTAACCGAGTTTCAAAAAGGAGGAGGTTCTCAATTCGTCGGAATATTTTTTTTTCTTTTTTTATGTATGTTCACCAATTACTCGAAGACGCCTGAACCTATTTGGAATTTTTTTTTGTGTTTCAAAGGATATATTCCCCAGGTGGTCCCATATAAATTTTATCGAAATCGGTCGAGCGGTTTTTAAAAAATCAACAATAAATATATTTTTTTAAATAAATTGTTTAATCGAATATGTTATTAAAAAACTTTCTTCTTACAAATTACCTACTTATTACGTCTACACTAAAAATGGAAAAATAAAAACTTAAAAAAAAACCGACTTCCAGGCACTAAAATGTAAAAAATAACTAAACGGAGGTTTTCATTTAGAATAGATACCTAATGAGATATTTTCGAAGTCGGTGCCAGCCGACAATATTTAAGGGTAGGAATATCTAATAGGTAAATATGTGTTTTAAGTATCGAAATAATTATATTAGATTTGCTTTGCATCTGCTGGCACCGATTTCGAAAATATCTGATTAGGTATCTATTCTAAATGAAAACTTCCATTTAGTTATATATTTTTTTACATTTTAGTGCCTGGAAGTCGGTTTTTTTAAGTTTTTATAGGTAATTGACGTTATATGTTATATGTTTTTACGTATTTTATAACATGTTTACCTGAAGGAAAACATCGTGAGGAAATCTGTATGTCTGAGAGAACCTAGCAAGCTTTCTAAAGACGTGTAAAGTCCACCCACCCGCACTTGGCCCACGTAGTGTAGTGTAACCTAATCCCCTTCGCATTGAAAGGAGGCCCGTGCCCAGCAGTGGGACGTCAAAGAGGGTTACAGTTGGTCACTCTGACTATCCCCCCCAACGTGCGTTCACCTTGTCGTGGTGGGGGGGCTCAGTAGTGCCCGGCAAACCAACCGGGCGCGAAGCCAAGAAACGCACAGGGAGGTGGCCCACTTCGGTGGGCGGTGGGAGGTGGCCCTCTTCGGTGGGCGGTGTACCATGTGGGTTGCTCCTGGTACTTCTCTGATAGCAGAGTGGACCTTGGAGCAACCCCATGGTTGTGGTGGTCTGCTTCGGCCGCCCTGTCGTCGGGGCGTCGTAGTTGAATGCGTAAGCGATCCTGCGACGCCCCATTAGACAAGGGAAGGTTTTGTTGGGTTTTAGTGGGTAGTACTGACTTTATTTCGCCGGTGAGTCCTACACCTCGTGCGTAAATGCATTTCCCAACGTTAAAAAAAAAATGGTCACTCTGACTATGATCGTGAACGCGATCGGCTAGTGGGCGGGCGGAGTGACTTAGGAGTAGAGATATATTTCGCACTGAAACGTATTGATGATTTAAAACCTAATACCCAATGTTTGTTACGTCACAGTTATAAAATAAAGCTTTTATTAATAATTGTAAAATCTTCTCAGTTTGTTAAGAATAAATATATTTGTATATAATGTACTAATCTTTTGTTCGGGGGCTCTATTCCAAAATAGAAAGCGCGCTAAAAATAACTACATAAAGCTACTAAATTGGCCTCATTATTACATTATACAACACAACCATGCTTACATTAATGAGTTTAAGAGTTTTAAGAGATTCGACGACACATTTGGCTCAGATTGTAATTACCCTACTTGCTGTGCCAGCGGTCGCGGGTTCGAGCCCCGATGGGGGCATTCACTTGTGTGATAAGCACGAATGTTTGTACTCCAGTCATGGGTGTTATATTTATAATAGGTATATATTTAAAGTTATATATGTGTAGTGTATCAACTATCTGGTATCCGTAACACAAGCCTCGTAGCTCACCATGGAACTAGATGGTGCTGCGTGTGTTCCAACATATCTATTTATTTAAGACATGGACGAAGAGTGAAATAATTACATTTTTCTTTTCTTACAAAATAAAACGGGTTAAGATTTGTTTGAAATTTAAAACATACATTTAAAGCTAAATAATATCTTTAAAGTTATTTATTAGTAACTTTTCTTGTCTAGTGTGTTTTTTGGTGCTTAGGTCTTAATAAAATATTAAATGATTTTATGTGCCCTATTTCTTCATATTATTCTCTTAATAATTCTTGGTTGTTTTGTGGCAAAAAACAATACGCGCCGATTTTAATTTTGTCACGCATGGTTTAATTGAATGAGGCCTTCATGAAAAAAATTAAAATAAATATTTAACTTTAAAATTAACATTTTACTAAAAATATTAAATATTAATAATTGTATGAGCGTAATTGAATAAAATTTAACAACTGTTGCGTCTCATGCAATTTTATTTCAGATTACACATTAAAATGGCGGGTAAATATATGTAAAATTATATTTAGTAAATAATTATTTCCGATTGGCCAATTTAATATACACTGGATATTTTCGCAGCGATATTATAGTGCAAGTGAATATACAAATTAGATCAAGGGCCTAGACTAATAAAATGACTATCGAAACAAGGACATAGCATTATTAATGTCAACACTACGGTTTGTTACTGAGACTTTTTCTGAAAAACTATTTTTGGCCTGACTCGGAAATCGAACCTACAACCACAAAAACTTTAGCTGAGTTCTCACGTGACTTTAAGCTCCACAAGCCTGTAGGCTAGAATAGTCATCTCATATGTATAGTTTTTTGTGACACATGTTTTTTATTTTAATAAAAATGAGGTGAACATTTTAATCTATATTTTGATCTAACTAAAAATCGAACCTATAATTTAAAAAATATTCATAACACTTATTATATTTTGAATTATAATACTTTTTTTGAATATAAAACCGAGGTTATGTAGAGGTTCTTATGTTAATTCTCCTACGAGTATATTTAATGATTATTACAAGATAGAATACCGTGTCATTTGTTAGGGCTGTCAGTTGTCATACGTTCATTATACGGCTGACAGTAACTTACCATGAATATTTAAAAATTAACAAATATCTTTAACTACTTATTTATTTACTTTATGTCCTATTGTGACCATGAAATATATAAAGCATTCAAAATTAATGCGCCAAAAAATCTCCAAGAGGTTAGAATTATTTAATACTTTAACTGGTAGGAAGAGAAGCTCAATGAAAGTCACTTTTCGTTTGGTTTCTTATTTGTCTAGTAACAAGTCCGTTCAATACATAATTATGAATGTTAAATTGATTTACGAGTATATCTAGCAGAACCCACGGTTTTTTTGCCAAAACTACAAAAAATCGTTAAAAAGGTAAATTTCATACAAACTTACATCCAGTATTTTACCCACTTATGAGATGAATTTCGAAAAATTCTAAAACACGTATTTATTTTATTGCATTGAAGAGCATTTCAACAGCATACCAAGTTTCAAGTATCACTGATCATAAATATTTTTTTAATTTTATTATAACGTCTTTTTCATTCAGAAATAAGATAATCTATCTAAGGTAAAAAGTAGCCCATGTCACTCTTCAGCCCTTCGACTATCTCCACACAAAAAATCTCAAAAATCCATTACTCTGTTTCGACGTGAAAGAAGGACAAACAAACAAACACACTTTCACATTTATGATATTAGTATGCATGTATGAACTTATGATAAATTATGTTGAACTACAGATTTTGATTTATGTACCTATAGGAAGATTTTCTTTTATTTTTGGCTAGCTGGCATACGAGTATAAGCGGTATTTACGTAGAGTAAACGATCCGGTTTCATTCAATATGTATCTAATTTACTGAAGGTAAAAAAGATAGATGTCACATGAAACAAGTTATTTTATATGTCGACGCCTGCAAGAAAAACATTGTAACTCAGTATAGTAGCAATTTTGAATTTAGACTTTAAATATATAGGAAACTAATTTTGATATTAAAATTAGAAGAATAATTACTAGAGCAACATTATACTTTTTAGGTGTATGTAAGAGTATATATGTATGTATGCATGTGTGTAAGTAAATTCCAGCGATAGTATTTGCAATTTATTTATTTCAAGGGCTAAGAACCGGAAATAATAGTCATTGAAGTGTATCAATCAAAGGCAATCGCTTGGATCCACTAAATATTATTCTTACTCGGTAAAAAGAGCTATTACATTTCCGTTATTTATATGGCTAATTAACCTATTATCCATGGTAGTGGCTAAATAACTGTATAAATTCCCTCCACGACCGCGGACACGCCGGCGTTACAGTTAACAATAGATTTCTTAGGAATTTAATTAATTTCTTAGAAATTTACCTGGATGGAGGTGTTAAAAATAAATAAATCACTAGCGATTTACGGTCCGCCATTGTTTTGCCAACTGTTCAGTATTATGCGTTTTCAGTACTTTTTCAACCGACGTCCTCAAAAGGAGGAGGTTCTCAATTCGGCTGTATGTTTTTTTTATGTTTGTTATCTCAGAAATCCGTCATTTATTAACCGATTTGGACAAT